TTTCCGATACCTCGAACTTTATTTTAATCCCTTTAATAATTCTAAGGCCGTTTATAGCACTATCTCTATAAAATAATATAAGGATATTATCTATAAAGAAGATAATAAATACGTCTTAGGTCTTAATATAGAATAGACACGGTTTTTCTTTATTAGCCTTTATCTTTAAGTCTATTAGGGTAGCTATAAAGGTCTAAAACTATAGCCTAGGCGAGTCGCGTAGTCTATATAGTACTTTATTAAGCTCTAAGCACTTATCGGGCTACTTAAATCTATTAGGAAGTTCGTATATAACGGGTATACCTATTTTACTCTTTTAGGCGTTAACGAAGGCGTTAATAATATTAAGTTACTCAATCTTTAGATTAAACTAAGTAGCTAGGGCTATAATAATATAAAAAGATTATATAGCGAGCATTATTACGTAGGTTCCCTTAATTATTAAGCTCTCCTATAAATCCCCTTAAATATATAAGCGTGCCTTATATCGTTTAAGATATCCGTCTGAGTTAAACTTATAGGTAAAAACCCACTTTAATAGAAAAGGCTTTAACTTCGCCTCTAAGCGCTTAATTTCTTTTTATATATACTTCTTAATTAGCTTATTTACATCCTTTTACACGGCTTCCTTAAACCGTTTATATATCGAGTAGTTAGTAAGCTTTTATTAGTATCTTAGTATAGCCTTTAGATAGTCGCGATAAACCCTGCCGTTAATTAAGGGCTTCGGTAACGTTATAGCCTTTTTATTAGTATTCGAACGGGTATTTATTTTAGTATCGGCTACTCTAAGACTTATTAAATTAAAGGTTAGAAGTCTTTTTAGCCCGTCCTAGCGCGCGTTACTTCCTTTACTAGTATACTCTATTTCCTTTAGTAGGCGGTTACCTTAGGAGTCGGTCGGATAGGTAGTCTAGATCTGGACGCTATAGTTTAGCTAGTACCGTGGTTCGGATTAGGGGTAGCTCGTCCCTATACCGTCGCCTATATACTCCTTTTTATAGTTAAAATCGTTAAAGTATCCGTATTAAGCTCTAGTATATATAATCCTAGCGTATCTATTACGGTATCTTCTTATATAGCCGCTCTATTATCTTATTAGTCGGAAGAATTATTAATTAAGAGTTCCTCCAAAGATTACGGCTTTATATTTATAACCTAAAGATTCCTACTCTAAGGATTAAGTATTACGAGTAGGGTTTAAAGTCCTGTTACGGGCGGTTCGGGTATACTAGGTACGTCTATATCTAGTAATAGCGATAAAACGTTTATTTTAGCCTTTACTACTCCTACCCGCGAGTTTAAACCCGTGGACTCAGCTTATTCTCTAAAAAATATGCTATTAATTAATCTACCCAGAGGGTAGGCCTATAGAATAAAGTAGTTATCTTTATCTTCTTATATTTCATAAGTTATAAGCTAGTTTCTCGCCTTAGGCTCCGGGATCTATTCTGCTTTTTCGTGTTATAGTTTATAAAACAGGTGCTTATTAAACTATATATTACGCGTTATAATAACCTTCTAAAGCTATAGAATCTATACTCGGTAAATATTATAGGTAATGTAACCTATAAGATACCTAATATATCCCCTTAGTTAAACCTTATATAGTTTCTTATTCCTCCTAGCCTCTTTATCCCTCGCTATTAGATAGGCACGGTAGCCGTAGGTATAAATACTACTCTAATTAGGGTATAGGTCGGCTATATACTCTTTTACCGGAATCGGCGTATTATCTCTAAACTATAAGTTAAGAATTTCTATTAGGGATTTCTAACCGTGTCGTTATAAGGGACTTATATTATATAATAATGCTACTATTTTAGTACTCTCTAGCTATTTATCTAGGGGAATTCCTGCTCCGTTAAGTATAGCGTTAGACTTTATAATATTTAGTTAACCGGCTCTTTCGCTACCTCTATTTAGTTTATAGGTATAGGGCGGTACGATTTCTATATCGATCCCTTAACTACTCGCCTATAGCTAGATTATTAAATCCCCTGCTAGGTTAACAATTAAGGGCTTATTATCACTACGTATCTTATAGATATATAATATAAACTGCCGATTGACCTATTATTCGAAGGCTTATAGCGCGTTATAAACCGTAACGCTGTTTTTTAAAGCTAAAGACAGCACGTAGATCCAGCCGCTATATTTATTCTATATTATAAGAAGATATCGTATACCGTTATAGCTTTTAGGTAGCTTTTAAAGACCCTAATAAATACGCTAAAACGGTTATAGGGAGCGGTATTCTAACGTGTATCGAGATATAACTTAACGTGCCTAGGTTCTAGAGTATATCTCGTAGTCTATCCGCTTAGTTCCCTTAATTAATATATTCCTAGCGTTATAAACTAATACTCGTAGAACGTCTAGTCTAAGATAGCCTGCTTTTAAGTGCTATAAGTATTCTTTATCGACTTATAGATAAGGAGGGTTATAAGAAGGTCGGTAGTATCGGTAAACTCTTATTAATTAATTAACTATTATAATAAGTATATACTAATAGTCATAGTTAATCGGAATAACACTATATAGTATTAGTTAGAATAACGAATAAAAAGAAGAAAAAGATAAAATTCGCTTATACTAAAGGATAGTTATATTAAAGCATCGAAGCAGCTTTAATAAGACCACGCTCTTCTCCGCTATTCTAAAATATAATAAATAGTTATAACCGAATACTAGATCCTAACCTTATATATTAGAGCTTCCGATATAATATTCGTACAAAATCCCTTTATAATAACTATATCGTTAAGCTCTAAGTTAGCCTTCAGAGCACCTAAAGGCCTATTAAGAATTCCCTTAAGAATCTGTTTACCTTTACTAATAATCGGAAAGTCGGTTATACCGGATTTAATAGATCCTTTTATAGGAATAAAGGAATCTAGAATAAGCAGGTCGATTAAGTTTATAAGGTGAGTTACGCCGTAATTATTAAGAAGAGTACTTTATAAGAGCGGGTAGGGGCCTAGTCGGAGCGTAGCGTAGATCCTAGGGACCTTTTTTATAGTATAAATAAGGGCGGGATCCAGGATAGTTATAATAACGTTTCTAGGATACCTATCTTTACCCTTACTACTACCGCTCTTTAAGCTTTCCTATCTCTTTTTCTATAGTTTTTCACGTAAGCTCTTCTACTTTAGGAGCTTAATCTCCTTCCGTATCTCCTTATACTATTTACCGTTAACATAGGTAGTAGATCTTTACTTATATTTTCCGGTTAGAGCGTACTCTAGCTTATTATATTACTCGGGCTTCTATATATATTCGCGTTAATAAGGGTAATTAATACTCTTCTTCTTAGGCTTTTTTCCGCCTTTATTATTATCTAAGTAGTCTCCTAGGGTAGCGTAAACGTTATAGCGCGTGCTATTTATAGTTAGAGCGCTTATAATAGCGTTAAACTCGTGGCCGTATATTAAAAGATTGGAAATCTTATCGCCGCGGACCTTTTTTATTACTAGCTCCTAAAGCTTAGTTTCTGCCTAAATAGGCGTAAACTTCCATCTAACTACTATAACGAAGTTCTAAATAATAGTAGGTCCTTTAATCTTAGCTATCTTTTACTAATATACGCGTTTAATAAGGGCATTCTACTCCGTATACTATATAGCCACTTTAGTATTAGCTTAATAAGCGTTTCATAAATACTTTTCGTATACTCGTCTTACCTCTTCTTGTATATAAATACTATTCGGAGCGAAGCTATTCTTAAGTTCCTTTATCACGTAACGTAATATAAAATATTAGTTTTACTTATCTTTATTATAGCTAGGATACTTCTTAATAGCCTTTTCGATAGCCTCTTAATAAGTAAAGGTCTCTATAATAGTTTTAAGTAATTAATTAGCCTTATTAAGCGCCTTAATAAAGTAACCGAGCTTTTAATTCTAGGCTATAATCTACTAATTCTTAATTTCGGCGAGGTGTATAAGGTCCTATATTAAGGGTATAATAGTATTATCGCCCTCGTTTTAGAAATACTATTCGCGTAATTAATCCAGAGATTTAGATATAATATACTTAGGACGGTTATCTAGCTAATCATTTTAGCTAGGATTAAGTAATACCTAAACCTTTATCCCCTGCGTATACGATTAGATATAAAAGATCTAATCGGCCTATTACCGCGTAGATTTAAGGCGCGGGATACCGAGCGCTTTAGCCGTGATCTCGAGCTTATTCGATATAGTATTAAGTAAGGGTTTAGCGAATAAAAGCTTATTATTAAAAGAGAGAGCGTAAAAGGGCTCCGTAATACTATAGAAGTATATAAAAATAGATATAGATAATAGATTAGTAGGAAGTTACTAGTTACTACTATTACCCGGGCTTATAACTATTAAATTAACGGGCGAGTACTTATATAAAGCGTTAATTTAGGAAATATATAATTATATTATATATAAAAGAGAAAGGAAAAGGGGGCGGGTATATATATCCTAAATATATCTACTACCTTCTAAGCGAGGATAGTGGGACACCTCCAACCAATAGGAGGTCACCATACCGTGGCTTACGTGATAGAATATGATAGCAGGGGCATGCATCGATCCATGTCGTCATGGAATAGGGTGGCTCTTTCTCCTTGACGTATAACTCGTAGCTCTCGGCTGAAAAGAAGCAAGTAGGAGGGCTACAAGAGGGAGCTCTTTCTCTTCTGTTGGGATTCGGCACCGTTTGATTGTTAAGCTATCGATGGTATTGACGTCTTGAGTTGTTTCAATTTATACGAAGTAAGAACTGTAAACGTCATCATGAGCCTCAAATGCCGTGCCCTCCCGCTTACCCCCCAAGCATCTCAAATACTACAGCACATCAACGGACGCTGCACTCATCTTCTCCCCCTTTCCTTTCTTCAATCTCGTCAGTGTAGCACTGTCTTACGAAGCCGACCTTGTTCTCTATCCAACCGCAAACAACAAATTCCAGTCTTCAGATCCCCATTTACGCCTCCAAACAACCTACAAAACAACCGGAGAGCCAACATGTCGACTCAAAAGACGTCTGGCCCTGAGGGCAATAAGCTCTTCGCCCGTGACCACCTGTTCAACCTGTCGGGGAGGGTCGCTCTCGTCACCGGTATGTACTTCTCCATGTCGAGAGGGAAAACGAATCACAGGAGAAAAGGGGGAATGCGTTTTTGTTTTCTTTAGAAAGAAGAAAATAAAATTAATACGAGGCACACAAAATCATTCAACATTGCCGTTGACAAACATTTGTTTTAGGCGGTGGCTCTGGCATCGGCCTCATGGCTACCCAAGCCCTGGCTGGCAACGGTGCCAAGGTGTACATCACGGGCCGCAACAAGGAAAAGCTCGATACCGTAGTCAACACGTACAACAAGAATATCAGCGGCGAGATTATTGGCATCCCGGCCGACGTGACCAACAAGGAGGACGTGGCACGACTCGTCTCGGAGATTGAGTCGCGAGAACCGTGCCTGTGCATCCTTGTCAACAACGCTGGCATCAGCTCGGCGACTTTTGAGACAGAGGCCAGCTCGGCCCAGGAGATGAAGAGCAAGCTCTTCGACGACAAGTCAGCCAACTTCGAGGACTGGGACAATGTCCACCGGACCAACGTCGCCGGCGTCTATTTTGTCTCCGTGGCCTTCCTGCCTCACCTGCAGCGGTCCACCGAGCGCCACCCCGGCTGGTCCGGCACCATCGTCAACATCACCAGCATCAGCGGCATGGTCAAGACCGCTCAGCACCATTTCGCTTACAACGCCTCCAAAGCCGCCGCCATCCACATCAACCGCATGCTGGCCGCTGAACTCGCCGCCAACAATATCCCCATCCGGGTCAACAGCATCGCTCCTGGCGTCTTCCCCAGCGAGATGACCGCCGGCGAATCCGACGAGACCCAGAAGAGCGGTCTGGCCAAGGACAAGTACGAAGGCAAGGTCCCCGCTGGACGTCCTGGTCAGGACGAGGATATGGCTTCTGCCGTGCTGTTCCTGGCTTGCAATCAGTACCTTAATGGCCAGAACATAGCCGTGGATGGCGGTTACACCCTGGTCGCTGGGCTCTGATGGAATGACACATCTGTCCTCATGCATCGGATCTTAGCTAGGAGGAGGGCGACATGACAAGCCAAATTGTTCGCGTAATAGCTTTAATGATAATGATAAATGATGTGGTCTTTTATGTTTGATGTTTCCCTCGTTTGCCTGTGGTTGACCATGTACGGCCCCTAACGACACCCCCTACTCCCTGGCGGAGGTTGCAGGAGCACCCATGCAGCATGACGCACGGTGACCCGGTATTCCCGCGGCAAATAGCCGGACCGGAGGTTGCAAGGAGGTCCTTGTCGTTTGTCGTTTTGTTTCGACCAGTCTAGAGCATGCCACGACGAGCATAGAGTCGGCATGAGATACGACAACCTGGGAAGGATCATCATGCTTATCGCTGTGGCCGGACAACGCAATCTTCAAACGAACAAATTTGCTGCGAGTCATGAGAACAGAATAGGTAGATAACTTGAAGCAACCTGCAGGTAATAAGGAAAGGTCAGAAAGAAAAGAGGAAAAAAGAAAAAGAAAAAAAGAATGGGGGCAATGTTGATGCCTGAGGAAGCTCTGCGTCTTTGTCCGGTGTCGCCAAGTCTCCTATGCCCCCCATGTGAGTCCCGGGAAATGAGCAAGCCGTGAAGACATCCAGACATAGAAAGAAGTTGGCCGTCCTCACTCTCATAGACGTATTGCTCTGGATGTCATAAAGCTCGGTCCTCAGACCATCAGTCCCCTCAATTTAGAATACGCCAGTGTCTTTCCTTATTGGGACGATGAGTGAGGATGACTCGGCTGTGGTGGTGACTTTGGCCCAGTGGGGCCCCCGGGACGGGAACGGATTCTGTCACACCTTGACCCAGCCCGCCCACATGGGTTTTGTTAATCGGTACGGTTGGCCCGCTGCGCCATGCGCCGTTCCCTTGGGAATTCCTGGGGGAAACGACCGGGGGCGGGGGGGCCGGACCCGCTGTACCTCACCTATGTAGACGTTAAGATGATCCCGATCGTAGGGCTGAAAAATGGCGCCAAGGTAATCCGAACCGCCGGTGGTGGTGAAACACGTATCGATGACATCGTCGTGTCGTTACCGACTACACCTCGCCGCAGTGATCGTGGCAGCACGTCGACGGGGTCGAACCCTGCGAATCACCCACAGAATGTAGAATGAATGACTGGTTTGCATTTCGTTGACAGCAGGAGCCAAGTTGGCGACTAGTTGTGCGTAACGGGAAAGAGGCAAACGTCTACTATTGATTTGGTGATCCTCTTGGGAAGGAGGCAAACAGGTGGTTCTCAGTGGAAAGGGGGAAACATCCGATTTCATTTAAATCTGATCACATCCCAAAACTAACTAGCCCCTTCCCTGACCGCCTCTGCCAACACAGCCTTGGGAGGCAAACGTATAACGCCAATGCCCATGCAATACCTCGCGGAGGAGTAAAGAAAACAAGCAATTGGGGTATGTCGGTCGAATGCTGAAACCGGACCTGAACTCAACCTGACCGTCCTGAGAATGCCAAGACAAAAGAAAAAGAAAAAGAAAAACGGGAAAGGCCGAAAGGGAGAAGGAAATGTCGTGGAGTGGGGATGACGAGATGGGGGAGAAATTCCTGTTTCTGTCGTGCACTCCGGGTATCATGGCGAGGATTTCCCGATGCTCATGCGTGTCCAACCAGATTCAACCGTGCCGTGATGTGTGTGCCGATGCCAATGCTGATGCTCATGTCCGTATCCATGTCCATGTCCATGTCCATGCCGATAGCCCATGCCAGCCCCAGATACCAATCTGTACCCACCCAAGAGATCCGTCGCAAAACAAAAGGTAAGGAAATCAGAATAAGAGCCACGTGAGTGAGGATCGGGAGACAGTACGTCATAAGCCCATCCTCATCATTATCCTCCTCAATGTCGTGTCATATCTCGTGTCGAAACTCATCATCATAAAGCTGATAGATCATGCCAGCTGGTCTGTTTAATGCTGCGGGGAAAGGGAGGAGTTGAATGCTCCCGTCCCAACGGGGTTCTCGCCACCCTCTTAAACAAAAGACTTCATCCACTTCAAGTCCAACCAGCCGACCTTCTCAAAGGCAGTCCAGAGCTTCGAGGCCTTGTTGACGTCGATCTTGCAGGCCTGCTGAGCGTCTGTCTTCCGGAACTCCTTCCCTATCCTGGCGCACTCCAGGCGACGGATGAAAATCCGACGCTTGCTGGTGAGGTAGGTCGCGCAGTCCAGTCGCAAGTTGGCCGCTAGGCTCAGTTCGTCGGGGTGAAGCAAGTGCGCATTGGGGTCGCTACTGAGGTCCACGGGAGCCCCCTTCCAGTCCACTTTGAGACTGTTAGTCTTATTGGGAAGCGAGCTGATGGGCGGGCAATAATCGGGAAGCGCTCTGAAGTCGCGGTCTTCGCGATTGGGGGCCACAGTGCGTCGGCTTGGTTCAGGCGGGGAACCGACATGCTTTGCTGAGCTGTGTGGCGGGAGAGGAGATCGGTTTGCGGAGAGGGGCTTGACGATGCGGCCGGGCTTCGTGACGCCGCTATTTCGCACGGCCTTGGTAGGTTGATGAATCCTCGTGGGCGCCTTTGAAGATTTGGCTGGGGCCAGGGCTGGATACCTCTTGTTGCTCCACCGATCTCGAATGGCCTCTCTGTCCTTGATGAGCAGTGCCCGCTCTTTCTCCATCCATGCTCTCCTATTTTTCGTGTAGAGAAGCATGATCTGGGACTTGAATTGGAGAGTGAGCTCGTAGTGTTCGCGCCTAGGAGGCGAAGCCCCGCCAAACAATGCCGTGTTCCGAGAAGCAATGTGGCGGTCAACAATGCGACGATGCTCAGCTGACTCGGAGGAAGGGAACAGGGGTTGCTGAGGAGGGCTAGAAACCGAGTCCTCTGGAGGGTAGAGGATTGGGTCTTTGACGGCATTGTCCCCCGTGGTCTCAAGAGTAATCCTGTCGCGCCCTGTGTCGGGGGAGACGGGAGGGGACATTGGCTCCTTCGCATCTTGGTCCTTTCGAAGGTCGACCTCAGGTTGTGATGTCTTGAAAGCGGGCGGGGTAGAGGTGCGAACGGTCGTCTGATTGAAATTCTCAAAGGGCGGGGGGTCTGGCGGCGACATAAGGTTGCTGATTTCAAGAGCTTTCTGCTTCAGATTACTGGTACCCGCTGACGCGGGGTTCTGCTGGTTTGAGAGCGCCATGTTGATGGCGTTAATGGCCGAAGCCGGTATTGGTGATGGCGACAAAGTGCTGGACAAAACTTTGATGTTGGAGAAGGAAGAAAACATTTTTTGGGAAGAAGAGGGAATCTCATAAGAAGAGAGAAGGCGTCGCTGGGTGCCAAAAGTGTGTTTGTCAGCCATCGTTGTGATGACCGTTGTAAGTGGCGAGTTTAGATATATGTGTATCAATCAGTTGGAGGGTGGAGAGGGAGGCGTTTGTTTCCGATGGTAAACGATGGAGTTAAACGGAGATGTCTGGCCGAAGGGGCTGGAACGGAAGCCAATCGAAGTGGGGCGAATTAAGGGCCTTTTAATAGGGCGAACTGGACCAATTCGCCAGTCCAAATCGAAGTGACCAGAAGAGAACGCAATCAATTACTGCGTGTGTTTTCTCCCTCATATATTAGGGTGGTCCGATTGATCCGCCGATTTGTCAATGGTATCTTTAGTCAATGGAATGGGTTGTTCGGTCATCGACCGAAGCGAGACGACCTGCGCGAGTCTTATGGTCCGTCTGTAGGACAGGGAAATGCGGCTGACGAGTGATATTGCGGTTTGCAATCGACAAATTGACCAGAACAGCAAAGCGGGGGAAAGAGGGGATGAGGAAAGAATCAGTTGATTCTTCTTAACCGACAACCAAGAGTCTTTTTATTCATCAGGGTATGGGCTTTGTTAGGCGTGATAAATGGCCGACAGGGGCGTGGGCGGCGCTTGGGCACTTGGGCGGCGAAAGTGGGTGACTGGACAATGCGTTGGTCGGTCCCTCCCCTCTTTGTGTGTTAATGGGCCAATCTACCACAGTAAGGGAGTGACAATCGTGGGTGACAATGAGGCTAGAAATGCGGAGGCGAGGACGAAAAACAGTAACAGCACGGCAGTCCGAAGAGGCGAGTAATATGACAGAAGGAGAAGGTCTTTAGTAGAAGAAAAGAAGGATGAAACGGCGACAGTGTTGTTAAAAGAAGTCGCCAGGGCCAAGGACTGGAGTGAAACGGAGGTTTCTTGATAATTGAAGAGAAGGGAAGGGGGGGGGAGAGGGGGTCATTCATTACCCAGGAAGGCACCAATGCTTTCCCACCCATCAAGGGTCCTGAAATCGTCAGGTAACCCCGTGTCAGACGCCGAGACAGGATCCAAAAAGGCAGCGGCGGTAAAGACGTGGACCGTGGACCATATGCTGGGAGGCGGAGTCACCCTCCCCCACACCCCCCCTTCGACTCACACGCCCCACTCACGACCCTCTCCCCCCTGTCCCCGCGACCACGGCTGCCTCGTGCCCTGCTTCCGTGTCATCCCACCTTGGATGCCCAATGTGGCCCATCTTACTCTTTGTATTGCGCACACCCCTCTTCCACTTCCCCATTTCCCCATTTCCATTATCGCCTTTCATACTCGCCTATCAGGCAGACCACAGTCACTTGACCAGGGCAACAGGGCCGCCACACCACCTACTTCGGGTCATATTTTCATACACTGAACCGTCAAAGAAGAAAGATGGTTTCAGCAGTGCGGGTAGTGCCATATAATAGAATTTTTCTTTTTGTAATGTTCCAGGGAATCCAGGGAAACCCATCAGAAACCCATTGGAATCTTAAGCCGCTGGCGAATTCAGGGGGGGGTGTCATTGCAAATGCGAATATACACTACACGTAGGTCAGCGCGGATGGGGGTGGTGTCAAATATGGGGTGTGCCCGCACTTGTGTACGTTGCACGTACACAGGTATTCTCGCATCATGCGGGACCATGAGTGAAATTTAGGGTATTTTTGGACAAGTACCTGGAGTACTTTGCACCCTGGGGTACTTCCGACCATCAAGCAGCACATACGCCGTAGGTCAGTGATGGAGGCTGCAATGGACCAGCAAAGACCCTTATGTCGGACATGGTATATAACTAGCAGCTTCGCTGCTCTGGATTGACCTGCGATTTACCCCAGTCCTTGCTTGAGAAGAATATTAAAAGAACCAGGAGCGAAATCATGTCAAAAGGGCATAGCATTATGTTTCAAGGTATTACATTTTTATATGCCTCGGGCTATCTCCAGCCAAAGTTCGGAACCACATGAATGAACCGGGCGGCGCTGCTTTTAATCTCGTAAATCGAGCATCGGTCATGGGGATATTGGAGTGAAGTGTCGATGGATCGCCTACTAAAGAGAACGAACGAAATGGGAGCCTCAAAATAATGTGATAATGGCACTAAGCAACTTGCTCCGAGACCATCACCCCGAGCTCCAGGGGGGGGGGGGGTTATGCTCAAAGGGACTTGTTGAATCCCAGGGTTTAGAATATGAATCACGCAATAAAGATTCAATGCAAGTCCGAGACCGAAGGGTGTGTAGTGTGTGTTTTGTCTTAACTCTAAGCGTATGAAAAACGAAGAGACGGGATAAGGAGACAAGGGGAGCGAGGAGCACGAAGAAATCTTATACTTAATAGTCTGGCTGGGTATGCAAAGGCATTGTGGCAACGGACTTTGGAGGGAGTCTCACACGAGATACCAGGCACAACCCCAAGGCAGAGGGCCAGATAATGCTTCCAGAGAAGATGGAACAGCGCTAATTAGCTCCTAGATGCAGATGGCATCGGAACAGCCCACCTGCCGTGTCCCAATGCATAAGGCAATGCAAGAACAACTCATGCATACCTTGAAGCAGAGAAATCGCATCTTGGTAGGTGTCGTACAAAGCCGATTCCGTGTCGAATTGACCGGGTGCGGTAACCACGAAAACAAACGGGAACAGAGGCCCATGCGATGCATGCGATACTTGGGCAAATGGCAGCCTCCGATAGGAAACGTCCTGAACTACCTAGGGGGTCCGCATATCAGAGATCCGTTTCAAAAAGACGAAAAAAGGGGGATGGCAAAGGAACAAAACACTAGAGAAAGAAAGGGCCATTGACCAATGGGTATCCATCGTCCGGAATTGGGCCTCTGTCATGGCCCCCAAAATTCTGACCGCCCAAGTACCAACAGGAAGCATTAGAACCAGCCAGTCAAGCGCTCTTTCTCACTATCCCCATACCGGAGCAAGGACAACAAAGCACTGCAAAGCACTGCAAAGAATTGCTGGCACGTCTGAAATCCTAGGTTTGCCACACCGCTCTCCACCTCACTTTGCTGTCGGCGGTTGTGGTCCCTGTCCTGTAGATTCGAAGCTTGGATGGACCACATAGGTTCTTCAATTGCATTATTGCAGAGGAGCTTGTTGCGTATGCCCGCACCGTGAAGCCAATTGCGCTGGTAGGAGACGTCGGAACTGAGGGGTGGTGATTGCGATATGGTTGGATGAGGGAAGAGGGAAGGCCAATGTGAGTCACACTGCCGGAGGCATGGTCGTCTTCCGAAAGGAAAGTCAATTGGTTGCCTGGAGCATCACGTTCTTAATAAGGGACCATGACGTTATATTGTTTTGGGACTAGTGTTAAGGTATTGAATGATCGCCACTTATCGATAAGCATTGCCATATCTCCGCTATCTCACATGCCATGGGCAGGAGAAAAGCATGTTGTACTGTTTGGTGAGAGGAAGTACTGGTACGTACATATACAGTGGCGGTCAGGACCTGACGGACGCACCGTTGAGTCGCCCGCAGACTTCATGCTAAGAGCTGATGTGATAGCGAAATCCAATCCGCAACTCTACCTAGGTTAATTATTAACTACTGGTCAAGTATTATCTCGCATCTCCCCATTTGCAACCCAGCAAACTCATGATCTGTGTCGTGATACCAGTATCCCATTGCGGGAAGTGATTCTAGGCATCTACCGATAGACTGGGCATGATGCTAGGCATCCCGCGAGATCTCCCTTCCTCCCCTCCCCTTCTTCGGAGATTGGGGTTAATTAAGTCAAGTCATTGGCGTCGTCAATCACCTCAGCCCGAACAAGCTTACGTGTGTGCCCTGGCATTTCACTCTCCATTAACTCCGAGATTCCCAGGTTTGGTTTTGGATGACGACCTGGCGTGGTGAGGAACGGGACAATTATAGCGCCCCTAACTCCGTTGATTCAACAACCATCCCGACTGTTGAGAGGTATTACGAATACAAAGTGCTGAGCCAGTCTTCGACCGATTGAACCTGGACCAATACCCAAGTCCCGGCACACACCGGGGCTCAGAACGTTCGCCAAACGACTCCAGCCCCCTCGGATTGACAAACCTCCATGATGGAACTGCGCCCTCAAACCCAGGCTCGACAGTCTCGCTCCCCGACGGTGATAACTGTCTACTTTCTCGACGCGGGCTATTCGTGTCGTGTGCATCCCCAGCAGTCCCACATGACCCCGCCAAGTATTGGGTAATAGTCCTGGTGAGCCACTCCGATGAGCGAAGGTCTCACCAACCCCGCGCCATCTCAAGCTGAGCTCTCTCCCAGGCGGCTTTGGTTTTTCTTCACCACCACGGCCTCCCCTCACTCATTCTAACGGTTTTGCGAATGGCGCGCTCCCAGTTTGCTACACCACCATCATCAACGTCTACTACCATCCTTGACGGAAGACGGTGGCGCCGGCCCGGGTCGCGTCCCTCCTGTCATCTGAACAGACGGTCATGCTCGTCCGTTGTCGTATTCCCCCCCCCCCCCCAACTCCCGTGACAGTGAAACGGTAAGATCACTTGACGTTCATCATCTGAGGAAGATAGATTCGCTTTGATAAGACGGTAATTACGCTACATGGGGTACATGAAGGGGGGGGGCATGGGTGGTATCCCACAGTTCGCGCACGGGCGTACCTCTGCACACACACCAACAAATGGATGTCTTTCCCATGATGTCAATTCACATGCTTTTTCAGCAGGGAAGGGACCTATCGAATTACGTTGCATTGGCCGTCCTTGTTTCTCACACCTTTCTCCGCCTCTCAATACCTCCCCCTCTCAATTCCATTATTCGCCATATTCAAGTCTGAACTGACATTACTGTTCTCTGGGTACAACGTAGTGCTCTGGGATTTGAAACTGAAAAGAGGGGTGAGTTCAAAAGACACTGTATTGTGAGGAGAGGCCCAAGGCGCCCAACGCCGCCCTCATACTGACCTGGCCTAGTCTTACCATTTGGTAGGTACCTTAGGTAATTAATTAGTACGTCTGAAGTCGTCAAATAGGAAAGTGGAATTGGCTTCTCTGTAAGGTAGGTACCCCGCGATAGACCCGTAACCCCTCCTTCTTGGGATGTACGGAGTACAATGTTCTGTACTTTCGTAGAAGCTATCTGCGAATAGCGCACTGACGTACCTCCACCATACGTGTGGGCATCCCGGGCCTTATACCTACTCCTCCTTGACCCACGCGGAGTCCGTGCCCTGCCTGGCCTACGCCAGCCGCCAGCGACCCCACTGGTTGACCGTTGCCCCTCTCTACATTTCTAAGTGTACCCCCTACCCGGACATGGCCTCCCCCACCAGCGCAGGAAAGATATAATAGCAATGGAGTGTTGACAAGGAGGCCTTCTTTCTTTCGATACGTCGCAAATAATATTATCTGTGATGTAGATGGTCCGTAAGCTCAAGTCTCTTCGACGGCATTGTTTTGCTATTCGCTGTTGATGATCAGAATGGACACGCACGCACAAGTTACAACGCGCTGTGTGGTGATGCACTTGTTCGGGTACACAGCCTTCGATTCCCAATACGAGGAATTGCCATTGCAGCGGCATGTAATTACATTCTAATCTTGAAGATGTGATCTCCCCAGGCGAGGGAGAAGGAGTATTCTCTCCGAACTGCTTTGAGAGCCAGCAAGTGGAAAGGGGAAACCAACTATTACCATGTAGCAGCCTTGAATGTTCATCCAGACTTCCATTCGCCAATGCATTTTCGCCATGGTCGCATTGAGCAGTGTAATTTACTAGAGACAAGTCTGAGCCCACCAGTCCCATCCCATTTTACGATGTAGGAATCCGTGGGCCCTGTTCTTCATCTTGCCACCGCACCGTACTCGATCGAACACTAGCTACGTCTCCGGCTTCTCGAACAATCCTAGGAGTTGTCAACGGAGATACCTCTGAGACTTTCGGTGGCAGTGAGTGAGTGTTAAAACGATGCTGACGACACAGGCATTGACATAGGTTGCACCGCACCAGGACAGGTTCGGAAGCCGTTACAGCTCTCGCAGACGACTCCCCGATAACCAATCGTTGGACATGTGCGCAGCCCGCATTATCTTCAATGGACTCAACTCAACATACGAACAAAAATGTGCTGACGTCGTCATCATTACCAGGCTCGGAGGGTTTAGAGGACAGAAGACCGTTCCGAGTCGAATGAGAAACATTGGACAAGTTTGACGTGCTCCGTAGAGACCCTATGGCCATCTCTTCCGGCTCAAAAGGTGAAAAATAAAATAAAAAAATAGTTGGGGTAAAAGAAGCCGACCGACACGCCCAGATGGATCGACGTCGCCAACTTGCCACCTGCTGCACGTCCTCCTCGCCCGTTCCTGGTCCCTGACGCTCATCTACACGTGTAAGGTTGGCTTGATCACCGGCCCGACGCGACTCATGGACGGCGATCAATGGACTACCATGCTGATGTAAGCAAGGTAGGCAGATACGGCGGCGTGAGCGCAGGGAAGTTCACCATTGTTCACCAGGTCCGACTTTGGCGTCTTCGGCATTAATGACGTAGTAGATAGAGTAATAGAGATCGATGAGCTTGTTGGGACACCGCACTGACTAGGACCCGTGAGCGAATAGGTAAATCCAGTTGTTGTGCCTCCATCATAGACTGACTGCATCGTGTCGTGTCTTCTCCAAAACTTGGATGCAAAAATTAACATGGCGGTATTAGGCGAATCAAGTTTCAAGTCCCCTCCAATGCTTGTTATGTTGGCTGGTGCTGGCCTTTATCGGGGATGCCCTTGCCAGTCGTTTCGTCCGTTTCGTGTTCGTACTGAGCGGTTCTTCTTGACCACAAGCCATGTCGAGGCCGGAATTTGCCAAGTTGCCTATCCTGACTGGCTGCTTCACCAAGTCCATTGGCTCCCGACATCTTGTGGCTCAATGTGAATTGCTCCACCACACGTGTCCGCGGCATGATCCTCATTAGTTATAGGAGTGCCCAAGAAAAGGGCCTGCATGCGACCAGATGCAAATGCGGTACAAGGATGTACAGACATAAGACAGGCGTCAGCGAACCGTCCTAGCACCGTGTGTATCCTATGTGCGTGTTGAGGTCGATAGAGCAGGTAAAGGGTAGGTGTGAGGCACAAGGACCGGGTGCTTTAAATGGTTGCCTGGTACAACACAACCCCATCCAGGGACATCAGTTATCGTGGTGATCCAACGGAATTGATGATTGGGGGCTGTGCGCCTGGGCCGAAACGCAAGAACTGTGGACAAGTATCTCGGTATTCTGGAATTGGCCAGTATCCCCCTATGGCTGCTTTTTGGTTCCGGCAATGAAAACTGTCTCGTAGAACTGACAAGACGTCTTTTTTTGCATATGACATACCTTAGAGCTCGCTCGCACCGATACCGACGTGTCAAAGATGGAGAATCCTGGTCGCGCCCTGTATGTCGCCGGTGACTCATTTCGAGTCCTCACGTAAAATCGTATACAACGAGGCTCTCCCGGCCACCCCGCGCCTCTTTCAGAACTATGACCATTTCGTCGTCGAAGCCGACCCAGTTACGTCGATTGTCCCACTCATCCGCGCGTACCGCGAGTTCCTCCCCACCGCCCAAGTCCCTGTCATCCTGATTCACGCTCGGTCGAACCTCAATGCTGTTGCCTCCCGCCCGTCCCTCCAGCTCCCAGACGCGAATCTCTTCGCCGCGGCAGCTCACGCTCACAGCTTTGCCCCTGGCCGTGATCTCCGCGTCGCTGATGCCTGACGTGTGGCCCCAGAGGCGGATTCCTGGCGACATAGACAGGGCCGTGGCATTAGACGTGCATACGTGAAGGACGAGGGTGTTGTCGGGGAGTGTCGCTAAGAGATATGGATGGGAGTAACAGAGCCTTGTGGGGCCGTCGGGGGACGCAGTCGTCGAGTTCGGTGACCGAAGAAGAGAGCCCTCGGGTTGCCTGGAAGGGGTCGCTGGAGGGGATGCATAGCCTTGGCTTGAGCGGACTGGCAAAGCGTACGCCAGTCGGCTTGAGGCTACTTCGGACCTGTCGGTCTGGCTCTGACGAATGTGGAGGTCCTGAATGCCAATGGACCACCCTTCGCGGTTTAGAAAAGTGTAAGCGATGGAGGCGACCACCGAAGAGGCCATGCGACGTATGGAGAGAGCCAACGGGGCTCTTGACGTGTGTGATTTCAGAGATGTTACAAGCAAGGGCGAGGGAAGCGATGCGCTGTTTCCGGCGGTGTCGTCCTCAACGAGCTCGTCGGACTCATCAGACTCGTACCCGATATCAAGAATGCCTGCGCCGCTACCAACCCCAGGCGTTCTGCTCGATGGTCGGACTTTCCTCCTGCGGACTGGCGTTTTACGGTCATGAAAGGCTCCATCGAAATCGTAAAGGGATATCAAAACGGAATCTGTAGCTGTCAGGAGAAAAGGATGTTGATAGGCCACCCCGATCAGCTCGCCGCTGCTTGACTTGACATGCCGGTACCGCCTTTCCATCTCATTCCGGCGCAGGTCCAGTCTCCAGATGCCAAAGCTACCGTCGAGAAAGCCCAGGCATATGTCAAGTTTCCCCACGCCCAGGAGCTGGTCATCGACGGCGAGGCACGTCGGCTCAGGTACCTGATCATCGTCGTCCTGTAGTGCGGTCTGCACAATCTGCGCCTTTGTCCTCAAGTCCCAGGCGCGCAACCCCGACGACGTATCAGCAGTAACGGCGATGCCTTCGACGACCTTGACTAAAGTTCGCCTCGGCGCAGTCTCATCGCCGCTCATATCCAACTCCTCGACTGTCGCCTTGCCCCTGGCCCAGTTATGTCGTAGTTTGTATTGGCGCTTCCAATCGACGGACGGGCCGTCTCCGCCGGTGCCCCGCCTCCCCATGTCGACGAGCCCGCCTTGCCTTCCGCCGCCTCCGTCGGCCCAGAAGGTGCGCCGGGCGGAGTAATGCAGGCGACTCCCATGTCGCTTGGAACCGTCGCGGAAGCCGGGGATGCGCAAAGCTCGGGGGAGGACGAAGCGCGAGTAGTAGTGGGCGCGCCAAATGTGGGAGTCGGATGCGAGTCTATTGAGATGGTGTGAAACCAGGGACACGTCCAGCAGAGTCGGTATCGAGAGATACGAAAAGATGCGGAGGACGATCTCGTCAGAAAGGGAAGAGAGCCGGTCTCGTGTGTCCTGGGATGTTGAGGGCGGGGAGGGGCACACTTCGGGAATGCAGTGCCGTTTTGTATGCGAGGGGCCGTCGCATTCACGAAGCGCCCGTTGGCGTTTGCCTAACATGACAGGTCTCGGTAGCACCCGTTCTTCGACCCGATGTGGAAGCCGTATTCTACGTCGAAGAAAAGGAACTGCGACTGCGGGTCGTGACAATTTTCGCCCCCCCACGAAGTCGGTACGGACTCGTGGAGTGGTATTAGCTGGGATAATTGTTAGTGGTCGAGCCGCGATTGGCGGTGAGGGATATCGGTCGTCGGTCAAACGATCCACCGTCCAGCACACCGAGCTTGACGACCGACGTACCTACATCGCGCTAGCATCCGCCGAAGGGTAAGGTAAGTTAGGGAATTACTCGTTGAAAAGCTATACATATGAAGCTTCAGTCGTTGCATCTCTCCCAAGCTCTAACCACTACGGGAAAAGAAACAACGCTTTTGTAAAATATAAAATAAAAACCGTTGGTACCATACCGGCTGCACCGTTCCCAATCAACTACACTTTACTTTACATTCAACATGCCGCCTGTACGATTACCCCCCACTCTGCCCTTCTGTCTGCCATGTCGCATCATCACCTAACCCAGACTCCTACAGCGACACCAAACTCTCCCTCCGGCGGCCACGTCCTCCGCGCGCGAAGCCCTGCAGTCCTTCTACTGTACCCTCTGCTCCAAAGGCTACTCCCGCATGAACGACTATGAAGCCCACCTTTCGTCATACGACCACAGCCACAAGCAGCGCCTGAAGGACATGAAGGCCATGGTCCGCGACCCCAACGCCGGCGCCCGCGCCCGTCGTGCTGAAGCCAAGGCCGGTGGAATAGTGAGCATCAAGCTTGCCCAGAACGACGCAGCTCCCCAGCAATTGGCGGGTGGCAATTCTGGCGGAGGAGGGGGCTTCAAGAAGGGTGGCTTCAAAAAATCGGGATTCAAGTCGGCGTTCGCGCCCGCGGATGCTCCACCTGCAGCGGCCGCTGCCTCATCAAACCCAGCCGAGACTCCGGAGAGCGACGTCAGACGTGCTCCTCTGGACGCTTCTGCCGCACCGCTGGCCGGACTTGCTGCCGAGAGACCCGGCTTGGTCGAGAGTGATACCGACGATGAGGGTTACGAATACTACGACCCACGATACCCTACCGATTGAGACACAGGGCACTAGCTGCCAACCGATACCCTGACACAAATTCACGGGGTCGATGGAGACTTCCCAGCTCAAGCAACATGGTCCCATCACCTGGATATGGTCGTGAAACGCCTCCGGTCATCGTCATGGAGGATATATCATATCACGCTCTGACTATCATCTCCTACCTCCCAGGTGTGTGGCTCAACTCGTTTTGAGACGTCCTTGTACCAATCGACCCCGGGGACCAAACCCCGGTACTCAACTTCCTCAGACAGGTTGCGACGGGTTCTGCCTCGAGCAGTCCCATCTTTTGCTGGTTCCCCGCGAACCAGCTACCCAAATTCTCCATTTGCTTCGCCATATGGGCCTCTGTGCTGGGCCATAAGTTTATTTGGGGTAAACCGCAGTGCAGTGAGGTTACATACATGTCGAACCCCTCGTTGATGAGGGTTTCGGGTCTGGCCTGGCCTCGAGGTAAAGCAGGACTGCGTTGTATAGAATTTGGCAGAGCTGCCCGAAGAATGCGGCGAATTGGCATGAACAGCTTTGGGGTGGTGCTTCTCCACGCTGTGTAAAATTGTGTCGACGTGGAGTACCATCGCCAACTTATCGCCGCGAACTTGGGAGGTCCACCAGCTTCGAACTGTTCAAACGCTCAGGCCAAACAGGGCTTGTTCTCAGGTCTGGGAGGCTGTCGCCGTGGTATTCCTCTTATAGCCCGAGAATCTACTGAAAAAGACTACCTGCAGTGACCTTATCGTCTCCAGTCTCCTATTCTCGGAGAGCCCGGTGCTGGATCTACTACACAGCCATGATGTCAGTTAGGCGAGCGAGGGAAGCTGGAATAGGCGGCTGCAAAGAAGGGGAACACGGTGGAAGTGGCACACAACTTTCGACGACTCGGGTCGCCAGCTTCGTCTTCATGTTTTGCATGAACGGATTCAAAGGCTATTTGTGTGGTACAAAGGGGCAGCCTGTTGTTGGCCTACGCTCGTGTACCTAATTGAAGGTGAGGTATCGGGTATCAAAGGCTTAGAGCCCACGGAGTACGTAATTGGCTGGACCGAAGTTGATTCTGGGCCCGGGCCTGATTACTATTCCCCATCAATTTTGACCACGTTGATGTCAGGTACCTCCTCTCATGTATTCCGAATGGCTTTCGTACCTTGGTTCCCAACAATCATCACCTTTTGCCAAGCAAGTTCAGTTCTTCAGTTCCCCAACATTTGATTCAACCCTCCGCTCCTTCGTCACTCCGCAACATCCACGCCCACTCGTCTCCCAACTGGACCGATCCACCGATAGTAACATAATACACTTTACTCTCAGTGAGCTCGTCGTTCGGCCCTCAAGGGCGAAATCGCCCGGCATCATGGACTCATATCCTCTCGAAGAGACGACGCCGCAAGACGCACTCGACCCGCTTTCGCAACTGGAACCCTCGCCCATCGAATCCCCCGTGCTGCTGCCTTCAGTCGATAACCTGGCAGACGAGAACCTACAGGACCTGCACGACCTGCCAGAGGACTCGACCACTACCCCGTTAGACCAGAGCACGGCTTCGGTTTCGTCCACCACCGTATCTTCTCCCACCTCGACTCTCGGTCTAAGTGGTACTAGCCATGGCGCCATCTACTACCGTTCGTCCCCCCTCTCTCCCGTCCGGTGAGACATGTGCGCCGACACTGAAATCTAACTATACTATACGGTCGTGCAGTAACCCGCATCCAGCGCTACTCCTCCTACCTCATCCCCGTCTTCACCTCCATCCACCTAACCACCACCTCCCTGATCCCCCTCCTCTCCCGCTCCGTCCCAGCCTCGGAATCCTACCTCCTGCAGGCGCGCGAGATATACCAGACCCCGCTCTCCGAACCGCACCTCGTCGTCCTCCCCATCGCGGCCCACGTCGCCTCGGGCCTCGCCATCCGCCTGATCCGCCGCGCCCGCAACCTGCGGAGATACTACGGCGTCCCCCCCACGGCGCGCAAGCCCGTCCCCTCGGGCCCCCGCATCTGGCCCCCCGTCAGCGGCATCGCCGTCTCGGGCTACGTCTTCACCGCCGCCCTCGCCGCCCACGCCGCCGTGAACCGCGTCCTGCCGCTGCTCGTCGAGGGCCACAGCGCCGACGTCGGCCTCGCCTTCGTGGGGCACGGTTTCGCCCGCCACCCGGCCCTTGCTTGGTCCGCCTACGCCGTCCTCCTCGTCGCCGGCTGCGGCCACATGGTCTGGGGTGCCGCCAAGTGGGCCGGCATGGCCCCCGTGGGCCTGGGCCTGCGCGGCGCTCTGGGCTACGCCCCGCCTGCCGAGTGGGTCGACGACACCACCCTGGTCCGGAGACGGAGGCGAAGGGTCTGGTGGGCTATCCAGGGCGCAGCCGCCGCCTTTGCCGCTGTATGGGCCGCCGGTGGGCTCGGAGTCGTGGCGAGGGGAGGTCTAGTCGAGGGCTGGGTGGGCAAGATATATGACGGGCTATATGATGCAGTACCCTTCCTGTAACGACTTGACGACCCCGCGACGCACGACGCACGGCCCATGCACGTTTTTACGTAGGGAGACGGAAGGGAGACGGAAGGGCGGCGACATCTCAAAAGAAGCCGCGCCCCTGTTCTGTTGACATACTGCACATCTCAGGCATTGAATTAGCATATATACCCGGCTGCATTAGGAATCGCAACAACGATTTCATCTTCTATTCCGACCTTTGTCTAGACGGACGAAGAAACCGAGACCATCTACTTTGACCTGTTTCTGGGAACAAATGACCGCTCCAATGCCATGACCTGTTTGTTAGCTTCCCATGGCACGAGCGGCCTGCATGGTCAGAATACGTTCCGCTGTTCGACTCCCTTGTGCGAATGATCTACTGTATGGGTATTTCCGTAAGTAGGCTCTGGGGACCATAGCTGTCCGCCTTTTCTATTTGCCTCGGCCGAGCCATGTCTTCACAGAATGAATTCTAACCAAAGTTGAAATACATGTCGCGCTGATGGGCAGCACCAAAACCCAAGTTTCGCTCACTATAACATCGCTGATATCACGTGTAGTTGGGCACTCTGGGCAGGGCAATTCCACCGGTACGTTCCTGCTTGCCCCGTTTGTCCGTTTCATTTCTGTCGTCGACTTGCCCAGTTCGCGCGAAGGCGAACATCGTACGCTGCCAGCACCCTCAGTGGGCGTATATGCCCGGAAACGGCTCTGCAGTGAAACCAACCCCCATGCCACATGCCACATGCCACATGCCACGTCCTCCACGGCTTCGAGGGCCCGAACAAGATCCCGGAGTGTCCCTACAGAGGTCCGGAACCGCCACCGGTATGACCTGAGGGAGTTGAATGAGTTGAGCATGAGGCGGCCGAACACGTCAGGTCGTCTGGGGGATGCGTCTGTGTCGGAGGGCCTGCACTACGTTGGAGTTCTGTCACTAGGAGGACGACCGACAGGAGAAGGGCGGCACTGAATAATATTATCATGATGACAAGGATGAGTGTATCGTTCGCCGACCATTCTACATCCCTGATGGGACGCTGATTCACCGGACCAGGGGGCTCGAAGTCGGGCTCATTGACCGGGGCTGCCTCACGACCAAGGTCCTGCAGTTCGATAGCTTCATGTCCGTCAATGATCCCGACTTGGGGACCTGCGTTCGCCTCGTGCTCGGCCCATTGGTTTATTGCCATTCTTTGCATTGGACCGCTGCCTGGTCTCAATGGGTCGTGCATGATTCTCTGCTAGATGTTGCTGTTCAAGAATGTTGGGATGCGACGTGGGAGTTCAGGAGTTGGTATCTCTGTCTTTCTTTGGTGCTGATTATCTCGATGAATACTAAGAATAGGACGCAACGAGTGAAGTCGTAGTCATGAACACAAGAAGGAGAAACGGAAGAAGAGGAGGAGAGGGAGAGGGAGGGGTTATATGGATATAATTATGAGGCGTGGTAGATGAGTCCCTCGTCCCTCGTCCCTCTCTATCTGGTCGTTGCTTCCAGCTTCCTCTCGCTGTGAGGTCCCATCCGGGTCCCAGTCCCTTCCACCCTCCAGAGTCAGCTACGGAAGGGTTGTAAAGTAATTGGAAAGAAGAAATTACTTGTTTTTATGATGTATAAGGTAGGGTTAGGAAGAGCCTAGAGTTTGGACCTCGTGCGGCGAGACTACACTATACTGTCACCTAGACAAACCAGGCATCACAGTCGCGCTTGCATATTCTAGATGTCCCATACATCAATCCTGCTACAAATAAATGAACCAGTGGTTGTTACACACAAGAAGGTCTCTGAATAGCGGCTCCGCAGTACTTGCCAGCGCCGGCGGACGTTGGGAAGGATCTTCTTTATTGGTCTCTTCATGTGTAAACTCCGTCACCGCGTCTATTTTCCCGCAAAACCAAAAGGGGCTGACAACAGGCCATCCAGAAAAGCCAACGCAGAACACCCCCGAGTCATTAGACACTCGCGTGCCCCGGGACCAGACGCCCCGGGACCAGATAGACGAAAGGGACATGTCAAGGTGTCGAGAGTTCAGTTGTCGTCGTCGCTACAGGGACCGCCATCCGACTCAGGCGAGCGACTTGGCGTCCCCTTCCTTCAGCTTGCCAGCCTCAACCAGCCGCTTCACCTCGGCGCTCCACACGCTCTTGATCTCATCAGCCACCGTGAGCCCGTTCAGCTTGCCCGCAAGTGCGGCGATCTCCTCGGGGTCGATCTTGCCCTGCACCAGCTCCACGTCGCCCAGGACCGCGTCAACGTCCGCCGCCGACGCCGCGCCCGACGCGAAGTAGTTGGCCTCCTTGACCGAGCCCTTGAGGACACGCTTGTTCTTCTTGACCGCGTTCTTCGCCGACTCCTTGGCCTTCTTCTGCGCCTCCCGCTCCGCCTTGGCCGCCGCCTCCGCCTCCTGCGCCGCCCGCTCCTCGGCCTCCTTCTTGGCCTTGGCCTCCTCGAGGGCCCGCTTCTCCGCCGCCTCCTTCTCCAGACGCCGCTTGTTCTTGGCCGCGTTCGCCTCCTGCCGGAACTTCTTGATGCGCTCGTCGCCCGCCGACGCGTCGTCCAGCAGCTTGCGGAGTCGCGCGTTGTCCTCGGCCTTCTTCTTCTTCCGCGCGTTGGTGTTCTTGCGCTCGACGTGCCGCTTCTGGTCGCGGTTCTCGTTGTCGTCGGGGACGTCCTCGTCGAGGTACTCGAACGTGCGCCAGCTGTCGAAGTTGTACCAGAAGTTGTAGAACTCGTCCACCTGCTCCTTGGTGGCGTTTTCGTCGCCAAACTCCGGCACCGGCGTGGTCTTGGAGAAGCGTCCCTCCGACTTGAACACGGAGCCCCAGAGCTTGTAGTAGTTGCCCTTGGCGAGCTGCTTCTTGGAGGGGGGGTCGACGTCGGCCTTCTCGTCGACCGAGTCGAACTGCCGTCGTTTCACGGGATCCATGAGAACCTCGTGCGCCTTCTGGATGCACTTGAAGAAATTGTCGTCGTCCGTTACGCCCGCGGCCGCCTTCTTGTCGGGGTGGTGCTTGAGCACCTTCTTGCGGTGGGCGCGCTTGATCTGCTCTTCCGTGGCCTTGTAGCGGTACTTTGAAAGGCCCAGCACTTGGTAGTGATCTTGGCTCTGTAGAGAATCGGTTAGAGTTGGCTTTTAGAGGCCCCCCCCCTTTCGTTACCAGCAGAGCAGCGCTGTCTGGGCCATGTATGCTGCAGCTGAACAATGAGAGAACGCACCTTCCAGTCCTTGGCGTCCCTCTGCAGATCCATGGGATCCTCGGGCTCGCTGATTTCGTCATCATTGGTGCTCTCAACCTTCTTCGCCGCCTCCTGCGCCTGGATGCGGTCATCCTCGGAGAAGGTGCGCTTGTGACGGGCACGACGGGCATGGGCAAGGAAGTGAGGGCCGACGGGCTCAATGGTCCGCTGCGTCGCCGCCGACAGCGAGCCGATGGGGTTAAAGTCTTTCTCGCCAGCCCAGCCCTCAGGGAGGACCGGCAGCGGTTGCGTGGCGAGGGTTGCGGTGGCCATGATCATTTGACGTGTAGCAGGTATTCCGGACTGCTCGGTCAAGTTTGTTGTCGAGGAAACTTTCACGTTTCGAAAATTCTAGTGGGGGACGTCGATAGGCTGATAAGAGGAAAAGTATGTAGGTGGGGTCGTTGATAAGGATAAGGTCCGTTTATTTGCTTTGAGTCGGACCAGGACAGGTACGGATAGGTAAGGTACCTAAGGTAGGTACCCTAAGGTACTTAGGTACGTATGGGATACTTCGTCTTGAACTATTGAAATTACCTAATGTACCTACAAGGTAGAGCAGGTACCCGGGACAACTCGTTTGCCAACCCGTCATAGGTAATTATCTGGCTTGCTTCCTAACTGATCCGTCACGTCACTGCAAACTCGAACCACCCTACAGCGAATTGCTGTATCACCAGACGATACTTGAGAAATCCCAATGTCTGACCCAGTCCTAGATCCCGTGGCCTACTCGTGTTTGCCCCTTGAAATCTCGCAGTCCAAAACAGTTGCCCTGCCCGTGAGATAAAATACTCGGCGAGATGGCTTCGACGAACGCGAAAACCACCAGGAATGAAACAACAACACGATGAGAAGCCAAAGCTACCTTCTGGGCAACTTCGGGTCAACGCTAGGAATAATGCTTCCTTGAAATACCCAAAGTCCTTGAACAAGGGACGCCCTCATATTCCCCGTCACAACCATCTCAGAATGCGTCAACCTGTGCTCTCCTCCTTTCACCATTGCAGGAGCCTGCTTAGCCAATATAGCCACGAATTTTTCGATATCCGCTTGGCTAGAGGGTAGCCCAGTTGGAATGTCAGAACTGATACCGATGCGGCTTCGTCTGGCCGCGGTGTGAAGTTCGACGTAGACGACACAGAGAACATCCTCGGCCCATGCCGACGCCGATGCCGATGCCGATGCCGGCGCCGATGCCGATGCCGATGCCGATGCCGACGCCCTGAGCCGGAACAGTAATGCAGTGTGGACAATCTCTGCGGGCTTACTGGGAAGTTCTAGGACCAGAGTGCTCGTCTTTTCATTGTCGCGCCACATGCCGTGCGGGTGCGCCCCGACGAACCGGAGCTTGGGATCCTGGTCGCCACCTCTACGGAGGGCATATTCAAGCCAACCTCTCGTTGCCTTCGGTTGAAAGTCCTCCTTTTGGCTCCTCTTCGCGAGTAAGACGGGCTCCCCTCGAACGAAGGCGCTGAATTTCGGGAAACGGACAGGTTTCGACCGGAGGCGGCAGTAGTGTGCCTCGTTCACGATGCTCGGGACGACGGGGATGCCAATGCGCGAGGTCAAGTCACCGCCATAGGTACACGACAGAACCGCCACTTTCTGTCCATGCAAATAATTAGCGCCGTGGTTGACCGGAGTTTTCCCCGGAAGAGACTCATCGAGGACGACCACGAGCTCGGCATTGATTCCCTTACTCGTAGAAGACATCGGACGGCCCATGAACGGGATGGCCTCGACATCGAGACTGTCGGCGAAGTAAGCCGGGGACGGCGCCAGCGCTCCAATCGTGCCCCAGGTCTCGTCAATGCCCGAGGCGTCCCAAGCGAAGATGGACTGGTCGTCGAATTCCTTGAGTATCTCCTCCTGAAGCCTGAAGAAAGCCCGCTCGCCGCCTTCTCCGTAAAGAAGGGGCATGTTGACACCGAAGATGCCGAGGAGGCAGTACGCGATATCTTCCGGTCTCGTGGTCTGCCGCCCGGCCGCCCAGGACATGCGCTGCGCAATGCATGATCGTGACCACTCGCCGAGGACGAGGACTTGAAGTGGGATTCTGGTCCTCTGGGAAACACGGTCGACTAGTGAAGCCCTGCTCCCGAAATGGCGCCAGGAGCCGTCCAGGAATTCCAGACTTTTCGGGGCCAGCAGCTCCTGCAAGGTCCAGCCTCTCGTGAACCATCTGGACTGCTCGAAAGTGACTGATGGCTGTCCCTCCGGGCACTGAACGTCGGAGAGGTAAGCGAAACAGACGGCGGCATCGCGGTACCATTGGAACATGGAGTTGATGGACTCCGAGAGGTCCGCAGTACTTGTCTTGTCGATGCAGCAAGTATCGACCCATATATACCGTACTGGGCTCATCGACTCGTCGGCCAACTCGGCATGACGATTGCCCTTGCGGCAACGGTTGACAAAAGCGCAGAAGTTGACAATCTTCGTCCATCCGGGTTTCAAAGCCAACACATCGGGGCGATCAAGATCCTGAAGCGTCACCTCGCCGGCTTCCCACGCATGAGAGAGGATGGCGTATGGGGGAGGATCTGCGACGAACTCCTCGAGCTTGAGGGTTTCAATATTCAAGAGGCGCATGTCCGCAGGTGTTCTTCTTACAGCATGTTGGAAACGGAAGATTTAAGAAAAAGAAAGCGAAAAGGGGCAAGATCCTGATACGGGGTTTCACTGCTAATCTGCACAGAGACGGTGTGTTTTTGCTATGAATCCGTCAAGCATGGGATGGGAGTCTGGCAAACAAAAAGACCGTATCTATGGTTTAGGGCTGAATTGGGAGCTTATGCCCTTCGGATGGATACAATGCCGGTCCATGGAGTTAGAAGAGCCACCTTACATGTCAGCCCTGCAGATTCTGCAGCTCGTTGGATCGACTTGTTTGAATCCAGGAGATATCCAGGGGCAGGTTGGTGTTGGCTGTCCGGAGTACGAAGGATTCAGGGGTGTCTGCACGGACCATTTATTATTACACACGGACCAGCACCACTTAGAGTCTCTTATCTGCAAACTTTGGATTACCGCATACCTCTGTATACTCATATGAAGAAATATACATATTTACCAAAGACGGCCTGGGTATGGGAATTCAAGCATCGTTGCTCTGACGGAACGAAGAAGCATCCGACTACGGAGAACTCAACCTGAAATATCAGTCTCGAGTACAGTGAAGCACACCTTCTATACATATATACCTTACACGGTCGCAACCATGTCCCTCGCCGCCTACCGAAATCTCATGCGCGCCGCAAGGGTAGCGTTCCAAGGTGCGCCAACGTCGATTCCCCCTCGTTGTTCACCCACCGCCAATGGAAGCTAACAAATATCTTATTATTCGTATCCAGGTGACGAACGAATTCTCTCAGCAGCTCGGCAGCAGATTCGTCAAGGGTTCCGGGAGAAGGCACCGCTGTCTCCAACCGACCCCGAGCTCCAGCCCGCGATCCAGCAGGCGAACGAGGTGGCGACTTTCCTAAGGCAAAATGTCGTCCAGGGAGAGCACCGGGGTGATGGCACATACAGTGAGTTTCATGCACTAGAGGCGGGATTTGTGGACTCTGCTAGACAATATCTAATGGACGCCGCTTCGCAGGGCTTCGGATACACCAAGATACGGAACGCGGAGACAACGACTCCATCAAGAAGGCGGGCAAGGGCACCACATTAGGCGGGGGTTGCGGATGTAGCTGAGGGAGGGAAGACACAAAAAGGGCCCGTCCGATTTTCCCCTCAAGATAACAGACATTGATACCCGCCTGTGAACACTAGGTATACATGTGTAATGACCCTCACCTCTGTACATGTACAAATATACGCTGCAACTTCATTCAAACCTGAATGCTATCCATGCTCCGAGCGAACTCCAAACTCCAAACGTAAACAAAAGTTTTTTGCTCTCCCTCCGTCAGAGCCAAGTCACTCTCCAGAAAGACTGGCATACTGTGGGCCGTCACCGGATCCTGGCGGCGGGGCAACTGGTGCTGCTGAGCTACTCTCGCCTTCGCCCACGGCCTGACCATCCGTAATCTGCCTCTGGCCGCCATTCCTGCCTGCTCCCCTGCCGCCACCCAGTCCGCGCCGCACGTCCATGAGCATCTGTCCTCGCTGCTCCCTGTTCATTGTGCCGACCGCCTTGGGGACTCCCCAGCGCACCCGAAGCGGGCAGCCGGCAATGACGGCTCGTCCCCGGCAAGCATCTGCCGCCTTCTCGGCGGCCTCCCTGGTCTCGTAGTTGACAAAGGCGCAATGCGACATGTGGGAGCACACCAAGCTCTTGATTTTGCCGAATACCTTGAAGAAGTCCCTGATCTTGAACTCGGGCAAGTCGTCCTCGATCCCGGTCACGAACAACGACATGACATTTTTGTCCTGTGGCGGCAACCAGTCTTGGGGTCCGGGCGGCAACTGCGCAGCGCTGGGGAAGGCCTGCTTGGATTTGCCCGGCCGGGCCCCCACAGCGGCCGCAGCCCTGGAATCTCGTGTTCGGATGGGACCGGGTCCACCAACGCCTGCGCCCACTGCAGGGTTCCCACCTTGCGGCGCCGCCGAATTCGCATTCGCATTCGCATTCGCGTTCGTTTGCGTTAGGCCGCTGGAGCCTTCGATCGCTTTGCCCTTTCGGAAATACGGTTTGCTCGTCGCCAGTCGTCGCAGCAGCTCCCTCGCCTTGTCGTCTGTCTTCTCGTACTCCTCCACTCCCGCCCGGCCCTCTTCGATGGCTTGCTCGTGGTTCTGGGCAAAGTATTCCCGGTTGATGTCGGAGGAAGGGCCCGGTGCGACCATTTTCAAGGCGGCGTCACGCACCATAAGAGGCAGGCCGAACGAGAGATCGAGCATGCATGTCTGGCAGCAGTTCTTGAGCCTTGCGCACGTCAGGCAGATGTTCGTCCTCTTCTTGCGCCCATGGGCCCGGTCAGCGTTCCAGCTGAAGACGGTGAACGGCCTGGTACACTTATCACCCGAGGGATTGGTCAGCATGCGCAACTCACAGATACACAGCATGACGCGGTGGAGAAAACATACCAACTTGCATTCAGCTCCATGGTCTTCTTTGAGCATCTTGACGTATGGATTATCCGGAAGGCAATTTTCGCAAACGGAAGGGAAGTCGGTCGACTCCCAACCGGAGCGGTTAAGATCTTGTTTTATCTGAGGAGGCATCGCGTTTTTGTCCGCCCAACCTTCGGTGTCACAAAGAAAAGGAGACGACAAAAGAGCCGAATAGCCTTCTTTGTGGATTGTTGCGGGCCAGATAAGGTGAGTTGTCGAGGCTCCTCTGGCTGTTTATGGGTACCTAGCCGTGGCGATATGAACGTCGGTGATGGCAAGTTGCGGGTTCAGGTTCGTCCTTTTCTTTGGTTGGAATCCATGGTCTGATCCCCGCTGTTATCTAATCGGAGCAGAACCGCTTTCACGTTGTCACGTGATCTCTCCATCCCAGAAAAAATTGCCCAGATCCAGATGTCCATAACCACGCCATTGTCTACTCGGCACCAGTGGGAAGCCGTTGAACTCAGCGAAGTCAATCTAATACCATCGGGTCTGAATGTTAAATCCAGAGGTAGTGATATTTAGGCAATGTAGATAACCTGACTACGCGCTGTAGCTATAACCAGGGACCGTTGGAAGAAAAAGTGCCGCCCATCACATGCAAATGCAGATTCCAGCATTTACGGAGTACGAATACGGATACTTGGGGAGGGACCTACAAAGTTTTGTTACTTCCCTCGGGGGCTAACAAAGTACGAAGTAATTTAAAGGTACCTTCGAAGCACAATTAGAGGCCCATTCCCGAACCAAGATCGAATTCGTATTCGCATCTCTTTATTACCGTTAAATTGACCGCCTACCTAATACAGAAGGGCAAATCTCAATTCACCAATCAGCTTTGGCTTTAGCTTTGCGTTGGTTGCATTGACAGATTGACCCCTTAGTGGGGCCTCTTTCCCATGTTTCCATCCCCTTTTCACTCCTTCCCCTGTCCAGAATTGGGGAACTGCTAACACGGTCACGAAGCAAATAAATTTCTGTGCACTCCCTACCCTCCGCGTTTCTTTCTCTGCTCGTCACAGGTCCCAGAAATCAACAAATTTCCTCCCATACAGGTCTCCCCACACCTCTTTCTTTTCCTCCAAATCTTATCCATTTTTCCTCGCCATCATGGCCTCTTCGACTGCGTCTCGCCTCGAAAAGGAGGATCATGCGCGTGATGCTGCCTTCAACAAGGCGATGCATGGCAACTCGGCCAAGGCCAGAGGTGGTGTTGTTGCCATGTTGAGCAAGGGAGGCGAGGCGAAGAAGGCTGCTGTTGACGAATACTTCAAACATTGGGACAACAAGGCTGCCAAAGACGAAACTCCCGAGGAGAGAGCTGTCAGTTTTGCCGCCTACACAGACAATCTAGCAGTAACAGAATAGTCACTGACCGGTCTTTTACAGGCGCGCCAAGCCGAGTACGCCACTCTGACCAGGCAGTAAGTTGGGGCTTCTTGCAGCATGCATCCTTGTGATGATCGAAAGCTAGCTCACCGTCTACCCTCCCTTTTGACAGTTACTACAACCTTGCGACCGATTTGTACGAGTATGGCTGGGGACAGTCCTTCCACTTCTGCCGCTTCTCCCCCGGAGAGCCTTTCTACCAGGCCATCGCCCGTCATGAGCATTATCTCGCCCACTGCATCAACATCCAGCGTGACATGAAGGTCCTCGATGTTGGTTGCGGCGTTGGTGGTCCGGCGCGCGAAATCGCCAAGTTCACTGGCTGCCACATTACCGGTCTGAACAACAACGATTACCAGATTGAGCGCGCCACCCACTACGCCGCCAAGGAAGGGTTGTCAAATCAGTTGGAGTTTGTCAAGGGAGATTTCATGGTACGTTGCTATCCCTCCATTGCTATCCCCCCGCTTTGTTTTGCTTCTCTTCTTCTTTTTCTGTTTCTGTCTCCGGACACAGCGGATTTTCCTGACTTGGGTCGTCACAGCAAATGTCATTCCCCGACAACACTTTCGATGCCGTCTACGCTATCGAGGCTACCGTGCACGCCCCCACTCTTGAGGGCATCTACAGCGAGATCTATCGCGTCCTTAAGCCCGGTGGCGTCTTCGGCGTCTACGAGTGGCTGATGACGGACAAGTACGATAACGACAACTTGCACCACCGCGAGATTCGCCTGGGCATCGAGCAGGGCGATGGTATTTCCAATATGTGCAAGGTCTCGGATGCTCTGGCGGCCATGAAGGCTGCCGGTTTCGAGCTGATCCTCAATGAGGATCTCGCCAAGGAAGACGACCCTATGCCCTGGTGGTGGCCCATGGCTGGTGAAATTCGCTACGTGCAGACTTTCTTCGACCTCTTCACGGTCGTTCGTATGACCAAGTGGGGGAGATTCTTCGCACACAACGTCGCCGGTTTCCTGGAGACTCTCAGGTTAGCCCCGCCCGGTACCAAGAAGACGGCCGACAGCCTGGCCCTTGCTGCCGACTGCCTAGCTGCAGGTGGCAGGGAGCATCTCTTCACGCCCATGTACCTCATGGTCGGCAAGAAGCCCGAGTGATGGCTGTTGGAGGTGGACTCGATCCCGATTTAAGGGTCATTGATGAGAGGAGGAACGCAGGAATGAGGGTACATCAAGGACTTTGGAAGTGCAAAAGAGCGGGAGCTTCTTGGTTTTACATGCTTGTAATCTTGTCTCATTCCCCCATAATTCACTTCGTCACGGGGCATGGAGAAACAGTGGGCGTCATTCAATGTAGAATATTCACGTATGAGGTCTGGGTTCATTAGAGGGCTTGAAGCTATAAGAGACGGATCTTCCACATCATGAACAGCAACCGGACGGAATACCTTATATGTCTGGTACGTTACTAAAGTACTGACCTCTATGTTAGGTATGCTACCCGGGGCCTGAGGTAGGCATATGTACTACCTAGGTAGCTAAGGTAAGTATATCTTCCATGGGTGCTACCTCAGGCAGGTAATTACAACGTAGCTGTATAACTTAAGTCGTGACTTCCAACTTCAGTCGCACTCTTCCTTCGTCGATTACCCTGGTACACACGGAAAGGTCCACCCGTATATTCCTTGAAGGTACCTTATCCCCTGAAAAGTAAGGTAAGGTAAGGTACCCTAGGTCAGTAGGGCCTATCTCGAGACAGCACAGTATCATCCACGTGTGCTCATGGCTACCTTATTTCCTTTTTCTCCCTTTACATCGTACGTGTCACATGCATTGCTGAATGACCCGTCGTCCCTCCCTGGATTTCACCTTGTGGTACGTCCTTATACAGCAGTTCTCCTTGAATACGACAGGGGGCTGCGCACGAGTTTAAACTCCTATCTTCAGTTCCAATACCTCCATGAATAGATACCTCTCAGGCGGCCAAGCGATCAAGGTGGGTTAAGAAAGAGATGCAGACTCGAAGTGCTACAAAGCGTGCCTTCGAGGCTCAGCCTTCTATATCAGGTGCAACGCCGGATCATGGTAAGAAAGACAATAAGAGAAGGGTCGGGCGCGCAACTATCAGCCGCAATCCGCAACCAATCGACGAACTACCTCATGGCTTGGGCAAGATTCATGTCCCCAGAAAGAATAGGGCTTCTGTCGGCGAAGATGGTACAGCCAACACAGAGGAATCGGCGGCGCCAGCCCCCAAGAAGTCGAGGAGAAGCCAGCAGATCAGCAGTGAGAGGAGGAAACTTCCCCATACGGCCAATATTCCCGGTGGCATCCAGGGGTCATTCCAGACAGGGACTCAGGCCATCAAGATGGAGAAAACAACTCGTGTCCTCCGACCACGTAAACGTCGTCCGATACACGTCGACTCTGTCGCAAGCACTGATGCAAACAGCGGTCAGATTGAGAGAATAAATGCCAACAATAGTGACAAAAGCAAGGAAGAGGCTCTGCCGGAAGAAGAAGTTCCTGCTGCCGACAATGACCACGGAGGAGACACAAACAGATCCAAACGCATTGCTCGAAGAACCAAGGAGAATCCGTACGGACTGATGCCAGGTCGCACCCCCTTCCCCGACTGGAGAACTCCGTTGCCCGAAGAATGCGAAGAGGTGTACAGAATTCTCACGGAAACACACGGGCAGTTCCAAGCCCCTGAAAAGATCGCCCCGCCGTCGACATCTGTGGCTGGCTGCGGTGAGGTCCCCGACCTTTTAGACGCGATGATTCGGACGCTCATCAGCGGTCATACGGCCATGAAGAACGCCAATTTAGCGATTCAGGATGTCATCGCTAGGTACGGCCAGTGGGATGAACATAGCATTGGCGCGGGTAGCATCGACTGGAATAAAGTCCGTCTCTCCGCGGAGCACGAAGTCGTCGAAGCTGTCAAGCGGGCGGGTCTTGGGCCCACCAAGGGCCGAGAGATCAAGGCTATTCTCGAGATGGTGTACGAGGATAACACGAAGAGGCGCGAAGCGTATCTCCGCGAGAAAGAGACGGGTGAACCGGCCCCGATCAGCGGGACTCACCAGCTCACGGCGGGGCAGAAAGATCACCAAATGAGCAAGATTGAGACAGGTGTACTCACGCTGGATCATATCCGTGGGATGGCCCCTGACCAAGCCATGCTGGAGCTCACCAAGTATCCGGGGATCGGCGTCAAGACAGCATCCTGTCTCATCCTCTTCTGCCTTCAGCAGCCTAGCTTCGCCGTGGATACGCACGTGTGGCGGTTCTGCAAGTGGCTCAAGTGGGTGCCCCCCAAGGCATCGCGGGATGACACGTTTATGCATGCGGAAGTGCGAGTTCCCAACCATCTCAAGTACGGTCTCCACCAGCTCTTTATACGGCACGGCAAGCAGTGCGTCCGATGCCGCAGCATCACGGTCGAGGGAACTTCGGACTGGGAGTGCAGTGCCTGCCCCCTGGAGCACCTCCTCGACCGCTTCGACAAGCGCAAGAGCAAGGTCCAGCTCAAGGTGAAGAAGAAGATTGTCCTGAAACAGAGTCAGGACGATGATACTATCAAGGGCGAGGTCGTTGAGACTATGCGGATAGTTCAAGACGGTACCAGTGCCACGACCGTCGAGCTTGAAGAGACAAGCAGCCGAGAAGCTGTCCCGCACCCGCAGCTCAATAAAGAAACGGACGATGAGAGTGGGAGCAGCGGAGAAGCCGATTGGTCTATCGCCGAGGCAGAGACCAAGGAGGTGCAGGTCGGCGAAGGTCGATTTCCCCATGAAGCGGGCGATGATAATGACCATGTCCTTGTCGACTCGGTCCTGGCTGGCGGAAGTCAAAGTGAGGACGTCGAGATGGATTTCGACGCCACTGGGGGGGACCCGGAGGTTTCAGAAGTCAGTAACACCATCTTCGACAAGTGAGAACAGGCAAGCAGAGGTTTTGCAATGTCGAATGTTCCTTATCCCTCGGGGTTTTCTTTTCTCTTTTTTTTTTTCTCTCTTTTTTTTCTCTTTTTTTTCTCTTTTTTTTCTTCTCCTTTTTTTCTCTTCTTTTTCTCCTTTTTTTTCTCTTCTTTTTCTTCTTCTTTTTTTTTTCTTTCCCCATTTGCTCTGGTTCTGTTCTGGTCTCTCCCCTTCTGTTCTTGCCCTCTTCTTTCACATTCTACTTCATTCAACTTAACATTTACAAGTGTCGTTTCTCTTATATTTCTGTTCAACGTGGATTATGGCAAGTTGATTCTGGGGGGTTGGTGCTAGTGGTGGGGATAACAAGAGGGCCATATGGTGAATCTCAAATGTAAGGTACCTGCACCTTATGGTGCTCATAGGTACATGAAAGTACATCCTACCTTGTCCCACCCAAGTACCTCTAGCAAGGATATCGAATTAATTCTGCTCCTGGTTACTTGCTTGTAATTTTTTCTTCTTCTTCAGTTTAATACTCTATCAGAAAAGCAAAGAAACAAGTTGCCAATATTAAAGCTACTATACTTTTTGTATTCTTGCATCCTTAAGGTACCTAGATTGGGCACTCTTTCTGGTCATGGTGCTGTGAAGTTATCTTGTGTTACTCATGTACCTACTTTGTTATTAGGTACCTAGCCTTACCTACCTTAGGTAAGGTTGGGAGATCCTAGAGACATGCTCCGTCCCCCCACTTTGCTCGGACCAGACGCGGAATCTTTAATTGATCCTGAGACGACACGCGACTCAACTTCATAGAACACCCTCCAGAACACCCTCCAAACACCCTCCAAACACCCTCCCCTCCCTATTCTTGCCTTGGTGCTTGAGGTTTCCGGTCGGCCCACGGAACTCTCCTCAAGGGCAGCTTCCTTCATATTGTGCACCATTTACTCCTTGCCTATTTCCTTACTCTTCTCCCTTCTCCATGTGAAGAAAAGCCAGAGCTTCTTGGTTCTTGGTTCTTAGCCCGACCGAACGAAGTTTCTTCTTCTTTCCGACTGCAAAGCCTTTGTCTTGCTCCTCGTATATACATCTACTATCTACTATCTACCTACCTTACGACAGTAATCTATTCTTTCCGCGAGCTGACGTTGCAGCTCATCCTGCTGCTGCTAGACTGGATTGTCGACCGAACCTGCAACGTCCCCCTTTCCGACTCAGAAGCCAATATCCCGTCGCCACATACCTGCTGCGGTCCCCGATTCCAGCTCTCTTGCCTAGGGCAGATCTCCCACTACTCTTCCCTCTCGACATGAGCCTGTGGCTCGTGCCTTCTTAATACAATGGAATTCGACAAAGTTGACGACCTGGTCGAAGACTATTTCAAGAAATTTCGAAGGATACCGGCAAGCGTCCATTTGCTCTGTGCCAAAGTCGACGACGATGACGTGGAGGACTACGACGACCTGACACAAGATGGCCTGGACATCTCACTTGACGAGAAAAAGAAGAGGGTAGAAGATGCCACGGTCCGATTAGATCTTGCCTACTGGACGAGCCTCTTGACGGCCTATCCCAAGGACAAGGCGGGCGTCTGGCTGGATCAATGGAACGACAGAATGTCCACGGCCTTGCACGACTGCGACAAATGCGTAGTGAACTGGCACATGCACCGCAAGGAATATCTTCAAAAATTCGCTGCGTAAGTCAACCCCCTCGACCTTCGTTGGGCATGCATTTCGACATAATCGGAGGGTTTTTGCGAGCTCATCAATCCGTTCTGCAGCAAATGGGATGACCAGGTAGCCCACCAGCTGGAAAATAACCTGCACCGATACGATTTTGCGAGGATCAATGAGGGCTTGAACTGGGCGAAAGAAATCATCGAGACATTGGAGGAGACGGAAGGCCGGGCTTTCTCGCGTGCCGACCTTGGAGACGAATCGGGCCGCGTGCTCCTAACCATTTTCGAAGCCCTCTGCTGCATGGCCTATCTTAGCGACCCCCAGCGGCGGATGCTTTTCCAGGTCGTCTTCGAGCGATTATCGAGCAAGAAACCCCTGAAGCTCGGGGACAACGTACTCCTTCCGGCCATGACGTATTTCTTGTTCGAGAAAGACCCGACCCGCCACCGCTTCGCCGTCAAGTCCTGGGAACGGATCGCCCCAAAGTCGGTCAGGCAACAGCAGTTCGACTGGGCCATCCGCGACCACCTAGTGCCCATCCTCGAGAAGGCGGCCATGTGGGACCCCAACCACGTCGACCACTACCCCGACGTCCAGCAGTTTTGGGAGGGCATCAACTTCATCCTCAAGGCCCTGGGCGGAGAAGTCATGCTGCGCGGCATCCGCAGCCTCGACACGCAACCGCGGTTCGGCGACTTGTTGTTCAGCCACATCCACTGCAGATCCGAGGCGATCCTGCTCTATGTCATCCAGGCCCTGTCCACCATCCTGAAGACGGCCCCGCAAGTCATTCGCGACACCATCAACGACGCACGCTCGTTCGTCGTCGTCGAGCAGATTTTCATGACTCCGTTGATCCGGCGACTCCTTGCCCAGTCCGTAGCCTTCGCGATGCAGTCGCCCGACTCCGATTCCAGCCACGCGGAATGCGCCACCATTTCTTGGATAGATACATGGATTCGCTCGCTTCAGCTCTCCGAGAAGAGTGACGCCTGCGGCCTCCTTCTCCGCCTGCTGTTCACCAGGGAGCTTGTGAATCCCGAACTGGGCGAGGTGGGGAGGGCTGCGTGCATCCGGGCCGGACTAGATGCCCTTGAACACGTCCTGCAGTCCTTCCTGGACCCTTCCGTAAACCTCACCTCCAGTACCATATCCGTATGGGTGAACTCGACGCTCAACGAGACCCTGAGCTACCGTGACATTATCAAGGAGGCCTTTCGTAGCGAGTCCCAGGCTTCGTGCGCCCTGGGTGTCCACCGCGCCTCCATGAGAGTCATCAAGGCCGCCCTGAGCTTGGACTCCAGGGTTATGTCTGCGGAGCATCAGAAGCTGCGCTTGGAAGACGCCGAGGACCTCCAAAAGAAGGGCACCTCCTCGTCCTCCTCGCGACTGCTCCAACAGGCCGTGCTGCGAGACTCGCCGGCGCTTTGGAAGGCCTTCTCTGACCTTCTCGAGCCTGGCAGGATGCTTCTCGCCCAGAACATGGTTCTCGCCATGGGACCGTTGATCAAGCTCGACAGGTTCCGAGCTAGGCGCAAGGAACCCGACTCCATCGACCAGGTGCGCAAGCGCCTCAACGACGAACTGCAGAAGACGGCTGGGGCCTGCGGCGGCGTTATGCAGCTCCTTTGCGACTTCACCAGGGACGACCTCAGCAACCTCCTCTACCAGGGACAGCTCATCCGGCCCGTGCTGGCACTCAATCTCCACGCCGAGGAGGAGCTCCGCGACGCCAGCAAGGAGGTGGTCAAGACGTTGACCGAGGAGTTCTCGCACTCGGAAGCCCTGCTCGAGTTGCTCCGAAGTCGTCTGGAGTACACCCTCGCTTCGCTCAACTTCGGCGTTCGGCAACTCGTCGAGTCGAAGATTCTGACGTGGGGCTCCGCCATTCCCGTCATCACGACGGGCCGCAACGTTCTCAGCGCCCTCTCCGACTCGACGTCGGGAATCCTTCGTTCTCGCGAGCTCGACGCCGGCGAAGACGCCGCGCTCTCGACCTGGTGGAAGACGCAGTGGGCGTACATAAGAAGAGCCTTCGAAACCATCGGGTCGCACTGGCATCGCGAGGTCGAGGTCAAGGTCATGGAAGACTTTTGTCGCGATACCATCGAGTTAGCCGACAGCCTCGCCGCGCAATGCGGGACTATCGCCTCGGCTCTGCAGCCGGACCGGCGACGGAGCCAGCCGGCCGAGGGGGGCCGCCGTGACGACAGCCTCCAGTCGCGGATGCACATGTTACTGGGCGACCCGAAGGGCCATCTCACCCCTATCGTCTACATGATTCGTCTCCGGGACAAATACCTAGTCGACGTCACCGTAAAGGTGGTGGCCAGGCTGCTGACGAGGCTTCGGGAGAACGACCACGAGATTCCCCTCGAGCCGAGGAACATGATCCGGTCCATCTGCATCAAGGGCCCGGATGGCCGGTATGGTGTCCCTTCCAACGCCAACGACCAGCAACGAGCCGAGCTGCTCAAGGCCCTGGGCGAGGATGACGAGTTGCAGGTTGTTCCCATCCTGCCTTCGCAGCAGCAGCAGCAGCAGCAGCAGCAGTTGAAGAAGAAGCAAAGCACCATCGACGCCTGGTCGAAATCTGCCTCCTCGTCGGCGGCGTCGAAACCGAGGTCAAATAAGGACGATGTCCTGGAGATGAGCAGCTCCTTGGACAAGAAGCGATCGCTGCTCGACCAGATCACCGCTCGCCAGGCGCCAGCGACATCCAAGCTGAAGTCTCTTGCCCCGACGTTGAGGGCGAAGCCCGACCCCGGCCTTGCCGCTCTGATCGAATCCAGGAGGGCGTCCAAGGCGGAGAAGGCGAAGCGAGACGCGGCTGCCATCGCCAAAGCAAAGGCCCTGAGGGGTACCGAGGTCAAAGGCCTGAGCGGCGTCGTGGGCAAGGACCACGCGCCGCAAAAGAGCGCCATCATGGTGGACAGCGACGAAGATGACGATGACGACTCGGACGATGGGGATGTCCAGGCACTCATCGCCAGGAACGAGCAAGGGCAAAAGGCCGTTGACGAAGCCACGAGGCGGCGGGAGCGCGCGCTGCTGGAGAAGACGCGAGGTCCCGTCAAGAAGACGAGGATCATTCGTTCGGCGAAGGACATGCGAGCTCGCTTGATTCCTCCCATGGACCAACTGCACCAGGCCATATTGGAGTGGGATATTTTCTTCCAAGGGAACGACCCGCCGAACCTGGGAGGCTGTGTTCGGGTGGCCGACACCTACATGAACCCGGATCAGTACCGGCAAACGTTCTGGAACCTGCTCATATCCGAAGCCTGGCGCTCGTTCGTGACGTCGAAGGACGAGGCCACGTCGAAGAGCTACGGCATCCGGATCGCGTCCCGGATGACGGTTGATCGATTCCTCGAGGTGACGGCGAGCATGCCCGCTGCCGAGAACAAGGAGCGCGGCCTCTCGGAGGGGGACATCGTCCTCTTCTCCAAGTCGCCCTCGCCGCTCAACGACCCTGGCGAGGCGCATGCCCTGGCCCGAATCTGGAAGACGGCGTACAAGCGGGACTCTCTCGAGGTGACGTACCGCTTAAACTCCAAGAACAACCCGCTGCAAGGGAGCCTTCACATCAACTCGGAGCTGTACGCGCTGAAGATCACGAACATGACGACCATTGAGCGTGAGTATGCGGCGCTCGAGAGCTTAAAGTATTATGATCTTATGGACGAGGTGCTCAAGGCGGAGCCGTCCCCCATCCTGAAGTACAGCGAGGATGCCGTTCGGCTCCTCATGAACACCTACCAGCTCAACCCGGCCCAGGCGACGGCCATCCTGGGAGCCAGGGACAACGACGGCTTCACGTGCGTACAAGGGCCGCCCGGCACGGGAAAGACCAAGACCATCATCGCCATGGTCGGCGTCATCATGTCGACGAACGCGTCAAAGAAGATACTGGTGTGTGCTCCCAGCAACGCGGCCGTGGATGAGCTGGTGCTGCGACTCAAGCAAGGCGTCACGACGACGAATGGCGCCCGGACAAAGGTCAACGTCCTACGTCTGGGCAGGAGCGACGCGATCAACGCGGCCGTCAAGGATGTGACGCTGGACGAACTGGTCAAGAAGCGCATGGAGGGAGACACTACCAAGGAGAACCTCAAGGCCGACCGCGACAAGCTCCACTCGGAGGCCGCGGCGATCAAGACCAAGTTGGCCGAGCTCAGGCCGCAGCTCGAAGCGGCTCGGGCGACCGACCCGGACCTTTTCTCGCGCCTGCGGAATGAGACGGACGCGCTCCGGCTACAGCAGAGACGCATCGGTTCGCAGATCGACGCGGACAAGGAGAGCGGCAACACGCTCTCCCGCGAGATGGAGATCAGGCGCAAGAAGGTACAGCAGGAGATCCTGGACTCGTCCCAGGTGCTTTGTGCCACGCTAAGCGGCAGTGGGCACGAGATGTTCAAGAACCTCAGCGTGGACTTCGAGACGGTCATCATCGACGAGGCGGCGCAGTGCGTGGAGCTCAGCGCGCTGATCCCGCTGAAATACGGGTGTACCAAGTGCATCCTCGTCGGCGACCCCAAGCAGCTGCCCCCGACGGTGCTGTCCCAGTCGGCGGCCAAGTTTGGGTACGACCAGAGTCTCTTCGTGCGGATGCAGCGCAACCACCCGGAGTACGTGCACATGCTCGACCGGCAGTACCGCATGCACCCGGAGATCAGCCAGTTCCCCAGCCAGGAATTCTACGAGGGCAAGCTCGTGGACGGCGACGACATGGCGGGCCTGCGGCTGCGGCCCTGGCACAGCAGCCCGTTGCTCGGGCCCTACCGGTTCTTCGACGTGGAGGGCAGTCAGGAGAGGGGGCAGAAAGGTCGGTCGTTGGTCAACGTACAGGAACTCAACGTGGCGATGAAGATCTACGAGCGGTTCCGCCGCGATTACGGGCAGCAGCAGCAAGAGGACCTCAGGGGCAAGATCGGCATCATCACGCCGTACAAGGCGCAGCTCTACGAGCTCCGAAACCGGTTCACGGGTCGGTACGGCGAAGGGGTGATGCAGGAGATCGAGTTCAACACTACGGATGCGTTCCAGGGCCGGGAGTGCGATATCATTATCTTCTCGTGCGTACGAGCGAGCGCGACGGGCGGCATCGGTTTCATGCAGGACATTCGGCGTATGAACGTCGGTCTGACGCGTGCCAAGTCGTCTCTCTGGATCCTGGGAGACTCGAGGGCACTGGTGCAGGGAGAGTTCTGGGCGAAGCTGATCGAGGACGCGAAGCGTCGTAAACTGTACACGCGTGGCGACGTCATCTCGATGCTCTCGAAACCGAGTCAGGCTGCTGCTGCCCTGCCCCGGCCGGGACGGGAACCGGCTTTTCTTTCACTCTCTGCTCCCCCTGCCCGAGAGGCCAACAAGCACGATGCGAATATCGTCCCCGCTCGACCTCTGGGCGGCCGCCCCACGGACAATCGCGGACCTGCTCGGGATGGGGATCGAACTGATAGCATCAACGAGCGGGGCGAACCACGGCCGGCAGTGGCACGGGATGCGGATGCGCCACCGGTGATCCAAACTCCGGCGATACAGCCGTCGCGGATGTCGGATGCCAAGAAACGACCTCGAGAAGGAGATGGCGACGGTGTGCCGACGGGAAAGCGGGTATGTCTGACCAGGACGAAGAAGAAGAAGGGGAAGGAGACAACTTCGACGGCCGATTCTGATTCTGACCCAACCATGACAGGTTGCCGCCGCGGCCGCGCCGTCCAACAACAACAACAACAACAACAACAACAACAACAAGCCTCGCGGCGGCCCGAGACCGAACGAACAGGCGAGGCCACCGCCGACGGGGCCCAAGGCGATGATGACGAGGGACCACAGGGAACAGCGGCCGGCGAAGCAAGCGACGGATCCGTCGGCGATGGTGGCTCTCGGTCTAGTACCCCCGGCACGGCCTCCACCTGTGCCAGCGGGATCGAGTGGAACGACGTTTGGGAATACGGCACCTGGTTTGGATCTCGTGAACCGACTCCAGCAGAGGGTAAGCGAGCTCAAATGTTCTTTTTATCAACTAGCTAGTGGGTTGGCGAGGGGTACGAGCTGCTGATACGGTGACACAGAACCAGGGACAGAATCACGGACAGATCCCCAGAAAGAAGAAGAAACCCGACGGAGCCGGCATGTTCATCCAGCGCAAGCCGGGTAAACGCTAGAATCCTTCCTGGTCGACATTTTGGAATCCAAGGGAACAAGGAAACGAGGTTCGTTTGGATTTTTCTCATCGGGGGTCATGTCATACCCTACACTTCACAATACGCAGGCACATTGCACAGCACACGGCGTTTCAGACGGTTCAGACGGTTCAGACGGGTTCGCTTGAAAGTAGCAGGGAATTGTAACATCAGGACATGCATGGGATATGATGTCAGGCACTGGTCCATCGCAGGTTAGAGAGGCGGTATAGAAGGGGGGAGGGGAGGTCTTTTTTTCTCCTCTGACGCGGCGACTTACCTACGTTGCAACCTCGGAGACGGCACGGCAGAAACCATGGTCGGCGGCAAATCTCGAGGAGGAAAGTGAGAAGAAAAGAAACAAGGAGAGAAAGGCGAAAGAAAAGAAGGGACAGCAGAGTAAATAGTGATGCCGCAAGCTAGGGGTGACTGGAGTAGCCTGCACCGAGAAGGGACAGGACCGGCGCAGGGAGTTCTCTCGTAGTGTCATACTCCTTCAGAATCTCTGCGTAGTTGAAGGAGTAACCGCGCCGATATCCGAATCGGTCCCGAGGCCTATGAAGGAGAAGAAGTCCCTTGCCGTTGCTCTGCTCTTCTACTCCGTATGCTCCGGACATGCGGTGAATTTGTCGGCGTTCCGTCGGCCGAGACGGGGCCGCTCCACGGTGGCCTGGCAGCCAATCAGATGTGGTGAAAGCCGCACTCGCCCTACCGTTTGCTTACGTACCTGGATAAAAGTTGTTCCTACCTTATTCTCCGGCGGTCTTGCTTGCCTCCTCTTCCCACTTCCCTCCTTTCCTCCTTTCCTTCAACACGTCCCCAACTCTTCGCTTCTCCCCAGTATATTAGACTTAATATCGAGGCGTGATACAGATATCGTCGTCTACGTAGGAAAGGGTCCATGGCAGCCATGTCTCCCCCTCGTATCCTGGTCATCGGCGCCGGCTCCCGTGGCCATGCCTATGCCCGCGCCGTGACCGCCAACGCCAACATCAACGCTGTCATAGCCGCCGTTGCCGAACCTTCACCCTTCAAGCGTGCCCACTTTGGCCGCACTTATATCTGGGGTCCCGACGGTGAGCCGCAAGAACAAGAAGGCCAGGTCTTTGCCGGCTGGGAGGAGTTCCTCGAGTACGAGACGCGCCGTCGCGAACTCGCCTCCTCACAGGCCGTCCCCCCAGGCGTCGACGCCGCCTTCATCTGCGTCCTCGACGAGATGCACCGCGACGTCGTCGTCGGTCTCGCCCCGCTAGGTCTGCACCTCATGTGCGAGAAACCCCTGGCCACTAACCTCGCCGACTGCCTCGCCATCTACGACGCCCTCTCCCCGCCAACGCAACAACAACAACAACAACAACAACAACAACAGCAACAGCAACAACCAACCTCAACAGGCCACCGCCCCACGACGCCCAGCAATGCCCTCTTCTCCATCGGCCACGTCCTCCGCTACAGCCCCCACAACGTCTTCCTCCGCCGCCTGCTCCTCCACGACCGCGCCATAGGCGACGTCCTCTCCGTCGAGCACACCGAGCCCGTCGGCTGGTGGCACTTCGCCCACTCGTACGTCCGCGGCCACTGGCGCCGCGAGTCGTCCACCGCCCCGAGCCTCCTCACCAAGAGCTGCCACGACATCGACCTGCTCCTCTGGCTCCTCTCCGCCCCGCCTGACGCCGCAGCAGCCGGCTTCCACCTCCCCTCCACCGTCTCCTCCACCGGCGCCCTCCTCGCCTACCGCAAAGCCCGCAAACCCGCCGCCGCCGGCCCCGCCACCAACTGCATGCGCTGCCCGCTCGGCGACCAGGGCTGCAAGTACTCCGCCAAGAACATCTACCTGGGGCCCCACCTCCAGGGCCTCGCCAGCGGGAACACGGGCTGGCCCGTCAAGGTTGTGTTGCCGGAGATCGAAGACATGCCGCATGTCATGAGCGCCGACGCGGCCCGGGAGGCCCTCGAGACGCGGCTTGCGGAGGACTACGATGCCGAAACCACGCCCGATGCCGAAATCGCCGCGCGCCCTTGGTTTGGCCGCTGCGTGTTCGAGGCTGATAACGATGTGTGCGACGACCAGTTCGTTACACTGACCTGGGACGACGACGACGCGGACGAGCAAAAGGACGAAAATGAGGGAGGGACGAAGGGGAGGAAGAAACTGGCCAAGCAGGCCACGCTGCACATGGCGGCGTCTACCAAGAAGATCTGCGAGCGATACACCCACGTCTACGGGACGGACGGGGAGGTGTACGCCGATTCCCGCACCATCACGGTCGAGGACTTTGTCACGGGCGAAACGAAGACGTACCACCCCAAGCAGGAGGACTCGGGCCACGGCGGTGGCGACCTCGGTCTGGCCAGGCAGTTTGTGGCCGCCGTCGACAAGGTCAAGAACGAGGGGTGGGACGTGGCGAGGGCGCAGGCTGGGTTCATCGGCTGCTCGTTGGAGGAGGTGATCCGGAGTCACGCCCTGGTCTTCGCGGCTGAGGAGGCGAGGAGGGAGGGGAAGGTTGTCAAGTGGGCCGAGTGGTGGGAGCGAGTTGTTTCGACGAGGGAGGCAACGTAGCGACGATTATTTTATTGAATGGGCGGAATATAGCGGAGAGCATCTTGGACTTGACTTACCTTCTCTGCTAGGTGGTTGACCAGGGCGAATGCAGAGGATAGAGTCCCGCCTCGGCAGCCTCCTGCTCCCAGAAATCCCAGTCAAGCCAAACACTCCTTTGGTCGACAAGCACCAGCTCCCCCTCGGGGCTCAACATTCCCTCCATCTCCATCTCGGCTGTGCCCGTGCCAGAGAGGCCTCCTCTTCCACCAACGCCGCCGGCAAACGCCCTGGACCCCGTCCGCAACCCAGCGACAACAAGCCGCCGGAGACTCACCCCGACGCCCCTCAACTCCCGCGCAAACTGCACAACCGAAGACACGGACACGTCGCCTGTCGCGCAACCACGCAGGTCGAGGAACATGGTCTCCATGTTGTCACCCAGGGATGATGAAGCCTCTAGCCACGCCATGCCGTCGTTACCATCCCAATCCGTCGTGTCTACGGCGCGGGTCCCGAGGTAGCCGGGGACCATGACGCGCAGAGGGAACGTCGGCAACTTCCCCAGCGTGCCGTCCATCTCGCGAACGGCCCGGCCACGTTCGTCTCCTCCCACCAAGGTAGTGTGTCTCTGTACCGCCCGATTAGTCCGAGTAGACAAGGTAGGTTGATGAGCATGAGGGGAAATCAAAGGGGGAACAAAGACGGAAGAACTTCGACGCAGCGCGTCTACCAACCCCACGTCAAAAGCCCCAGGCCAGCGGCGCCGGATTTCCATCATAATGGGCGTCGTCGTCGCCCCCGGGAGCAAGAAGTCTCCCCATACATGCTGGTGCTCGGAGAGAACGACCCGGGAGCCGTCGCTTTTCCGGTACGTCTCGATGCGCTGAAGGCCGTAGAGCTCGTCCAGCGCCCGGCGACACGGGTCGTTGGTGCAGAGATCCCATTCAGGGAGGAAGACCCCGAGGACGCAGCGTTGTGTGCATAGGGCGTCGGCGATGACCTGGTGTTTTAGCTCGTTGGGGAGGTTAGCGATTTGGTCGACCAGGGATGGTGGTGGTGGTGGTGGTGGTGGTGATAGTATGGCAGAAGACACCGACCTCCCTTCGCGGCAGCTCGGATTCTGTGTCGCAAGCGTACTTGCTGTCTCTAAATTCATTATGGCCAGATGATGACGGATCGCTGGAGGTTCCGGGTTGGGGCTCATAAATTCGAGATGCCCAGATATTCTTCTGTTTTGCTTTGTTAGTCGATATGGGGAGATTCTCATACCTACCACCTTGGGGAAGAATATGACGGTAGGGTGAAGGAAGTCCGACTGCCTGGCATTCTTTCGTATATATATTCTCTGGGATGAGCACAGATGACAAGAAGCCGGCCTGTCCCGCGCCCTTCTGTTCAATAGCCTTTTGTCCTCGCCCTTTATCCCATGCGGCCTTGTTCAGAACAGAAGATGTCCGACTTCTGACAATGAGAATACATTGGTATTGTTCCGGTTTACGAGACATACTGAATAAAGCCAGCTTCCCTAGTTCTCTTTGTTGGTCCCTCGAGCATTGAACTTGACCAAGGTCATCCAGCGTCTTCTCTCTCTGCTGTGGTGGCCCTGAGACGATCCCACATCGAGCGACGAAACGAACATGCATCCCACCGCGTTGTGGACTGATCCATGACAGAGAGAGTACTTACATGATCGAATAAAATCATAGAAGACACGCCGTATATTCTTTTTCACTGTATGTCGGTCACTCATATCTTCGAGTCTAAACATCATCTTGTTGAGAGGTTCTTACCATAATCTCATTGTTCTATTGCTTCACTTCGCTTACCTTTTGTCATAACCAGCTAGAATACGTTTGTTCTTCGTATGTTGTCGTATATGTTATGTCCTGTATGCTGTGCCAAATTCCAAGAAAAAGAAGGAAAAAAAAAAGAAAAGCCAGAGCCGAACAGAAAAGGGGGAAAAACTCACCTCAGGGGAAAAACTCACCTTACTCAATGGTAATCCGCATCCTCTCGCCATCATTCGTGGTCCCCGTCCTCCCAACCCCCCCAAACTCCAAGTCCTTCAAATCCGGATCCGGAAGATCCTCCTGCTCCATCCGCTCATTCTCCCCATTGCGCAGCCGCGCCTCGCACGCCCGAGCCTGCTCCGGCATGCCAAGGTCGACCAGCAGGTCCACCACGTCGTACTGCCCCCCCTCCTCCTGCGCCCACGCCAGCAGCCGCATGACCGCGAGGAAGTCCACCTCGCTCGCATCCCGGCACCACCGCAGAATCCCGCACCACACGCGCGCCCACGTCGTCATCCACTCCGGCCGCAACGTGCCCGCCGCCTCGCGTATCTCCACCGTCGTGCGCCGCGGGGACTCGTCCTGCATCGTGTCCTCGTCGTCCGCCAGCTCCGAGTCCCGCCCCCCGCCCCTATGGTACGAGAGCAACCGGTACGACGCCAGGTTGTATGCCGCCGACTTGGTGTTCCCCAGGTTGCACAGCAGCGTCCCGACCAGGCCGGCCGAGAAGTCCGCCCCCAGCAGCGTCGCCACCCCGGACATGACGTCCTGTCGCCTCGGCGGGTCCAACTGCCCGTCCCCGTTTTCCGAGTCTTGGTACGAAGAGTCCCCGTCCCCGTCCCCGTCGCTGTCACCCTCACCCTCACCCTCACCCTCGCGCAGGTTGGCGTTGGAATGGTCCTTGTCATCTTCCGTCTTCCACTGGCGGAGCGGCACAGGCGGGATACTGCGCACGAAAATTGGCTTCCGCGGTCGTGGGGGAGCCAGTGGTCCCGTCTCGTACGTTTTGGCCTTGGCCGTGCCACCTGCCGGAGTTTGGATATCGACCTTGGGAGGGCCGTATCGTCGCCGTAGCTCTTTGTCCTCCTCCTTCTCGTTCTCCTCCTCCTCGCAATTCGAAGAAGGAGACGTCATGTGGCGTCTGTTCTGACCATGTCGCGCCGGCTCTCCAAGCTCTCGGAACGAAATGTCTTCTCCCATCTCGGCTCTGATGGCCAAGTCCGTTAGCTCATGTATACCCAGCGTGCCCCGGGCCGCCCTCACGTACCGACGGATCTTCTTCAGCAAGTCGTCATCCGCGATATTGTACGGCTCGCCCACCCAGCGATCCCGCCCAGAGAAACGGGCCATCGCCTGGTCGACGTCGTTCAACTCGCCCCACGAGCGGGCAACCGCTTGCGGGTCGCCACTGCCGAGGCGGCTGATGTTGTACCGGCGGAGGCTGCGGCTGTACATGTGGTTCGTCCTATGAGGCGGGTGCAGCACGCTCAGCAGCGGGCTGGCCGCCCAAATGAAGGCGCCCAGTTTGCGCACCGTGCGTGCATCGATATGCCGGCCGAGTCCCACCCCGATGTGCACGTGGAAGCCGCAGGTCGAGTTGACGCGGCAGCGGAATGACGACGTCATGGTCGTGAGTGCGAGACGGATCAGGTCGAAGCTGTTGTCCTTGTCCCACATAGCGGGGCTGATCAGCTCTATACCGCAATATTGGTAGCCGGCACTGGATTGATATTCGTGAATCGAGAAGTCATGCGTGATGGAGAAGGCCGAGGTGCATCCAACGCCTGCCTGGCGCTGTTGAATTGAGCCCGGGGCATAGCCCTCTCCCCCTTCGACGGGAAGGCCGACCTCGACCAAGGCTTTCGTCAGTTGTCTCCGGATATGTAGGTGCCGCGCAAACGAGGACCCCATCTCCCGGGGGATGCGAAGCAGAGGGGCCAGCTTGTCGGCGATATCTTGGTCGGGATCCGGCTCGTCTTCGTACACCCAGGCCACGACGAACTCGAGCTCGACACCGAAGGAGATACCTGCGGGCTTTATGGCTGGTGGGTTACAAACGCCGTGTTCCCCCGGGGCGGCGGGCTCGTCCTCCAGGTTCGGCTCGGACGAGGACTGTCTGGACGCGGTAGCAAGAGGCTTCTCACCGGGAGGGCCACTTACCTGTTCACTAGCGTCGATATTCATTTCGCCTAGTCACTCTCTGTGTTGTAGGTTCTTGTTCTTTGTCTTTGGTATGGTTGTCGAGTCGGATAAATTCTGTTGTTAGTAGGCTGTTTCTGTCGCTTGTTAACCTCTCATGAGTCGAGAGAAGCCAGACTTCCGGCATAACAGCCCGATACTTATAGGAACGGACCGAGGCGGAACATGTGTCGAGTTGTTCATCGTCAGGTGCGAGTGTAACGGAACAGTGTGCAAGATACAGATACAGAACCGAGGACGGGCCACAGAAACGAAGTCCCCGTTTCAATCCGCCTGTTGCGTTCCACGCACTCGACATGTCCAGACATGTCCAGAAACGAAGATTGGACATGGTCATTGTTCTGTCCAAGATGAGTACCCCTTTGGCAGTCTGATCCGGCGTGGCATTGTGCCATTGTTTCTGGTTGTGGCAAGTCAAAGGGATCGCGAGGGATCAAAGAACACGGGGCTGATGATGTTTGCTTTCGGACAAAGCAAGGGCTGTCAAAAAAGGTAGAATTCGGGGGGGCGAGGAAAAAGAAAAGAAACCCCATTTCATTCGCTCAAAAAAGAATTCCACTACTGTTCCCTGTCAGTCAAACCATGTGACCGTCTCTCATCTCTCATCCTCCCGGGACCACCTTACATCCCAACTCCTTTCTCCGCCGGCGTCTTCGTTCTCGTGGGAACATCCATCTCGTCGTGATCCCCCCCCCTATTTCTCTCTCTCTCTCTCTCAAAAAAAAAGCGTCGTCGATTAAGGCGCACAGAACGCCGAATGAGCCGGCGCGGCCAGCCGAGGCACGTAAATAGAGAAGGTGAATACAAGAGAAGTGAAGATTAAGGATCCGCTAGGGGACGCAACAGGCGCTCGCTGGGCCGCTGAATGACTAGCTCGAGAGATAGTGCCCGCCTTCCCCTTTAAACCAGGTAGGCAAAGACAGCAATGGCCAGAGCGGCGGCGCCGACAACAGGGGCGGCGGTAGGGGCGGCGAAGCTGTCATCGTCGTCTGCCTCGGCAGTAGGCTCGGGGTCCTCGGTCTGCGAGGCGTCAGCGACGGAGGTGGCTGACGCGGTGGGGCTCGTGGTGGCGGCGGGGGCTTCGGCGGCGGTAGAAGTATTCTCGGTGAAGGCATCGAGGAGCTCATCGGGATCGCAGGCAGCGTCGCGGTCGTCCTCACACTGCTGCTGGCCGCGGGCGTTGCCTACATTGGCAATGATGCACTCCTCGAAGACAGCATTGCAGATGAAGCTGGGCATGGAGGATCGGTAGTATTCAAGACCGGGGGCAGTGCCGTTGCTGCATTGGCAGTCGTAATCGAGAGTGGACTAAATAAGGAGAAAAAGAACACGAGACTTGATTAGCGCCACGACAGGTCCGTCTTAACATGCAGCAACATGAATAGCGGGGTGGGTATCCGTCATCTCACCGTGGAGCAGTCGTTGGTGACGGCATTGTCGCAGAGCCGAGTGCAGACATTCCTCTGGCCCTGGCACCAAGCGTCTACAAAGATAGAACAGGTCGGTCAGTAAATCGAATTTGCGTCGTCACTAAATCGCCGGAGGCCCGTGAGCGAAGAAGAAGAAGAAGAAGGAACTTACTCCGAGTGCCAATGTCGATGGCATCAACGCTGGCGAGGTCTTCGTTGGTGTAGACCTTGCGCTGGGCGGAGACGAGGCTGCTCGCGGCCACAAGGGCCAGGGCAACGGTTGCGAGGGTGGGCATTGTGGACGGTGACGGGAATCCGGTGAAGTGGTGGGGAAAAGACGAGCGGAAGTGAGGTGCACCGCAATAATTCTGTTGCGAAAAGCGTGCGTTGTAGGGATTAGGGGGAGATGCTTCGGGTACGGTCTGCTAATAAGGTCGAGGTGGTTTTAAGAGAGAAGAAAAAGAGAAGGGAAAAAGGGAAGAATAAAAACAAAAATAAAGAGAGTTCGGGCGGGAAAAGTACCGTAGGCTGGCTGGCTGGCTAAGGTAACCTTGGCCAACAAGGCACAAAGGCAGGTAAGGTACGGAAGTTAAGGTACCTGAGGTATCGGTACTTACCTAGGTACTTACGCTCTATGGAAGGATGCAAGCTCTTCGCGGAGACCAGAGGGAGGCAGCTACAACCGGAAGCGGGTGACGATTCTGGTTTATTATTATGGCAGGCAGGTGTGATCTTCCCAACCTTCCGAGGCACCAGCTGTAAGGTACCAGTGCTTTAGGTGTCCGTACCTGGCCTTGTGACCGACTACAATGAGCTCATCTCATTTAGCGTTCAGGAACTCGTTAGGCCCTTCCCTCTTCTTGCGCTCTCCCCTCCCCCCTCCTCTTTCTCTTTCCCCTCAGGTAGTGTCGTCTAGCAATAGTAGGGCAATAGTCCCGGTGTCATGGCAATCGCGACCGGAGGAAGAGCCTGTCGAGAGTTACAACTTTAGTCGGTGTTTGTGTTGCGGGTGACTGGGATCCACCAGGGAGTGGCTCACATCATGACGCTATCTCGCCGTAACGCCGAGTGAAGAGCTCGAAGATAGCAAATGGGATTGGCAAACGAGAGGGTTAAGGTCCGGGCTTCTCTCTTGGCCGTCTTGGCAGGCCGTTTCAGAAGTACATATACTTTGTAATCTGTACCATACGTTGTAACTTGCGAGAATGGAACGGAGATATCGTCGGGTCGTTCTCTCCGAAGAGCCAAGAGTTGAATCCAAAACATTCCGTCAATTTCCAGGCATCTGCACCATCCTTTTCTATAAGGTACATAAGGTAAGGTAAGGTACATTGCCTATCCTAACAGATTCTCTTTTCTTATCCCGTAGGGTTTATAGGGTTGCCAAAGTCCTCCTTTCCGTTTTTTTTTTTCTTCTTCTTCTTTGCTCCGCCACGTGAACGGAAGAATGCGTTTCGGCCGAGTTACGTACAGCGTACATGCGTGGCTAAGGTACCTTAGACAACAAACGTGTTGCAAAAGAAGACGACTGTCAATGTGTTTCACCGTCTTAATAATTCGTTCTGCATTCTGCGGGCTGCGTTTTGTGATTGCCTTCATTTCCCGACTTCTTTCGCCCGCACCGTCTCATTTCATGGCACACTTTGCATGCGACCCGCAAGCATTTGGACCCGCTTCCTCGGTGCCGGGGATACATTGGCTACGCTGCGTCTGTTCTGTATATCGCTTTCATTATCATAACATCAACTTCATACGGTAACCATCAAACCCTGGCGCATCTTCCTGGCCAGCTGGGTGTCTTTTATCTGTGGAAGAAAAGAAAAGGAAAAAAAAAAGGAAAAAAAAGACATAACTTCTGGTCAATGTCAATCGAGGTTCCGAATCACCTCTAAGGTTGGCATGGGCCTTGACCAATATCGCCATTGTCGGCTGTGGCTGACCTCAGCGGCATGAGAATGCCAAGACCTAGCTTGATCACTCTGAAGCAGTCGCGCAGCCGGGGAGCCGACTTGTCGCACTAGCCCATTGTCAGGGGCTCAACAAGTTGTGGGCTTGACGGAGTGAGTACAACGTACCTTTTGGGGACACCAAACCATCATGGCAATATGTGATACCGTTCTGCCGATAGCTACGGGGAATCTCGAGAATCTCGATATCGTTGTGCCTGTAGGTTGTCCTATCATGCGAATAAAGGCCATCCGTGAGCCAGATGCAAGCACTGTCCTGTCATGCCGCCATGCGTAGAACCCACTCTTACAGCGTACTTGCCCTCCACAGATACAGCTCAAGCCGTATCAAATGGAGCCATGTCGCATGTATGTTTCACGGCTTTTGACAGGGCGTTGACCGCGTTTTCAAATGATCATGGTCGCGTCTCGCGTCTTGGTATCGTTTCCTCGTCTTCGTTTACTTCGTTCGTACTATATAAGTACAAAGTACGGAACTTGAACGTGCAGTGGCAGGTATTAGATAAGGTAGTAGATACAAGTGAAGTGGGGTACTGCAACAACCCCACGTTTCTACTGTACCTTTATCCACCTCACTCAAGGATCATCTCTTTCCCATCTCTCATCTCTTCCGTGGAAGATCCCGATGCATCTTTCGTCTAAGGTACGTTCTGTCGTCCTAGGGCACAGACGACATCTTGCTTCGTCTGTCCCTCAAGTCCCTACGTCCCTCACGTCATAATACCTCGCAGAACCAGGAATCGACCACATGATGAAGAACTGGAAAGTCGGACTGTTCTACATATATATCTGCTTCTTTCTTCTTCCTCTTTCTTTTTCACCGTCTTGTCCGATGCCCCTGGTCAATTCGATTTTCTCTCCTTGAAGCTTATTATAAACACTATATATTATATCGGCATCGAATATACCCGTCGTTTCCCAGTCTGTCCGTCTTACTGCCACACTCATGGAGCACCTCAGCGTTGGCACCTGGGCAGCCCAGAATCCCGTCGCAACTATTATGGCATCCGTGGCCCTGTTCCTCCTGCTCTGGGCATGGAAAGTGAACCATGCCATGAGTACCACGCATCCGGATCTCCTCAAGCTGACCAAGGGACCGTGGCTTGAGGAGGATATCAAGAGGGTCTACCGTCGCGTCGAGGAAGCCCCATGCGACTGGAAGCCTCATCTCCCGCCTAAGCGAGAGAGGCGATACATCGTCGTTGGCGGTTCGGGTAAGCTTGCGCTTTAGTACTTTACCCCAGATACAACAACCCGAGACACGGGGAGAAAATATCAAAAAGTATCAATGAGTTTATTTCGCCGGTTTTTGGCTCACATGCGCTGTCCTTGTAACGAACAGGTCTAGTTGGGGGTTATATCGTCCTCCAACTCCTCCAGCGCGGACAACCGCCTTCCTCCATTCGCATCGTCGACGCCCGGCCACCCGTCCGCGAGGAGCTTCTCGCCGGCTCGGCCGCCCACGTCGATTTCGTCCAAGCCGACATCACCTCGGAATCCTCCACCCAAGCCGCATTTGCCAAACCCTGGGATCCTTCCGTCGGGGGCCTGCCTCTAACCGTGTTCCACACTGCCGCCGTCATCCGGCCCTCGGAGCGTAGCCCCCTCGTCTACGACCGCTGTGCCAGAGTGAACGTGACGGGCACCGCGCACGTCCTCGCTGCGTCCCAACGCGCCGGCGCAGACGTCCTGATCGCCACCTCGAGTTGCAGCACCAGCCTACGGCCCGTCACGTGGTTCAACGCCCCCTGGTCTCGCTGGCCGACCAACTACGTCCAAACCATGACCGAGGACGACTTTTTCGCCCCGCTCCGCCGCCACGAGGAGTTCTTTGCCAACTATGCCCGCAGCAAGGCCGAAGCCGAGCGGCTCGTCTGCGCAGCCGATGCCCGTGGTGGTAGTGGTGGAGGTAGTGGCGGCGGTAGAGGTAGCGGCGGCCCCGGGACAGCCCTGCGAACCGGCGTCATCCGCCCGGGCAATGGCATCTACGGCGCCTCGCCCGACGTCATCGTCACCCCGGTCTTAACAATGGACGCATTCCCCACCTTCTCGGCCCCGTGGGTTCAGAACTGGGTACACGGCGGCAACGTCGCCCTGGCCCACCTCGACCTCGAAGCCGCCCTCCTGGGTCCCCACGCCGATGCCGTCGCGGGACGGCCCTTCCTCGTCACCGACGAGGGCCCCCCTCCGCGCTTCGCCGACTTCTACACCGCCCTGCGCACCGTCTGCGACCCGAGCCCCGCGGTGCACTACCCGCCGCCGGTGTTGCTGCTGGCCCTGGCGACCGTCATCGAGGGGTGGTGCCTGCTGCTGTGGCACGTGCCCGTGCTGACGCGCCTCGGCCTCCGCGAGCCGCCCATGCCCCTATATCTGCTGCAGCGTCCGTGCCTCAACGGCGCCATCAACTGCATCATCGACGACCGGGCCGCCCGGAGACCCGTGCACGAGGGCGGCATCGGGTACCACGGGGTCTGTACGACGATGGAGGGTCTTTGCATGCAGCTCGCGGACTGGAACCGTCGGCGACAGGCAAGGGGAGGGGAGAAATCATCCTCGGCGGTGGGAGCGGCGCTGAAGACGACTATCAAGAGTGTTGCCGAGGTCGGGTCCGACCCGGCCGCGAGACGAGGCTAGGGGACAGGGAAAGGGAAAGGGACTCGGAAGTTAGAAGACCATTTTATCGTGATGACTACCCCGTAATATAGATAGTGAACTCAAGATATATGCCTTGACGCTTACGTCTAGATCGAGGCCTTCAGGAGCAAGTCGACAACTTTTTTGTTGTGGTTTCATGTGAGCGAAACTCATCCCTTTGTTCATTGAGTATTAATTCATTTTGTATACATACATCGGTCACATGACCCAGGGGCAACCCCACAGGGTGCTAGCACAGCCGCCAAGGGGTGGCGTTGAGTCAAGTGAGGTCAACTAGAGTACCTAAGTAACCAGACCTTTGGGCAGTAAAACCCCGCCACCGCCACTCTCAAACCGGCTTTTGATTCTTTTTCTTCTCCTCTGCACTTGGTCATAAATAAAGAACCACCACACGACCTCACCAACGAGTCACAAAGACACGTACCACCTCAACGGCTCGAGAAAAAGAAAGTCTTCCACCGAACCTTCTTAACCGTCTTCCATCTCCTCTTACTCCGTAAGGTACCTACATCAAGGACACATTTGACCAAGCCACAAAGCTTCGCAGAAGCGGATAAAAAGACTCAAAAAAAAAGCCACATCCAAACCCAGAACCCTCCCCCTTCCCCCGCACACATTCTTCTTGTCCCGTCGACAAAAGCCACCCCGCCGCAGCAACACCATCCACACGCTCTCCTCCCCTCCACTACCGCAAACCCTCCACGCTTCGCCATCGATGACGACCATCGAGAACCTCAAGTCCATCGACCCCTTCGCCGATGCCGAGGAGGCCGACGTTGGCACTGCGTCTACCAAGAAGGCCCAGGACTACATCCACATCCGTATCCAGCAGCGTAACGGCCGCAAGACCCTGACCACCATCCAGGGCCTCCCCCGCCGCTTCGACCAGAAGAAGATCCTCAAGGTCATCAAGAAGAAGTTCGCCTGCAACGGCACCATCGTCGAAGACTCGGATCTTGGCGAGGTCATCCAGCTCCAGGGCGACCAGCGCAAGAACATTCACGAGTTTCTCATCGACAAGCAGGAAGGTCTTGAGATGGACGCCAAGGTATGTCAATGTCGCATGCTATATTTAAACTCGTCGGGTCTCCGGGGGTTGTGTCCGCTCGGCTTCCTTTCACTTTTCGTACCTCCACATCATCTCTTAGAGGGACGCTTTTATTTTGCTAACTCGGATTCTTTTCTTCCTAGCTCGTCAAGGTCCACGGTTTCTAAAGGAAGATCCTGCCACTTGCCTGACGCGCGCTTCGTTCGCGCTTTTCTGCTCCAGCAGCTTTCCTCGACTCACCCGGGAACAACAAACACCATTACCTCTCTCTTTTTGTCTCTTTCACAACACCGCCTACAATACGATTGTTGTCAGCCTTTTTTCTTTTTTGAGGCCATAATCTGAGTGCTTGGGATGCGTGAGAGACTTCTTGGGATGTGAAGAGAGGGATGAAAATTAAGGTCCGGGCGGATGGAATGATCGAGAGACCGGGGAGATATATCACCATAGCGCGTAATTGCTTCTGGCTTTTGGCGTCACACAACGTCTTGTCTGTCCGACTGGCTAGGTAGGCTGTCGGAGAATATTTTCGAGAGAAGGAAGCGGTAGCTTAGATTGGCTTTGGCTGAACGCAAGGTAGTCGCTTGATGGCCCGCCTACGTCGAAATCAACATGATACATCTTATGAACATCTCAGTCCCATGTCCCAACATCTAGTTAATCGTTGTTGACCGAGTCCCAAAAATACAATAGAAGAAAAAGCAACTAACGCACTCCTCCTCACAGTTCCTCCTTCGGCAGACCCTTCAACTGCGCAGCATGATGCCCCTCCAGCTCGCGCAACACCGCCACGCTCCAGTGCTCCCCGTCGTTGCCACCATCCCTCTCACGCACCACCCTGACGGCCTCGATCCACTTCTCGTCCGCCTCGCGCCCCAGCTTCCTCTTCGCCGCATCCGGCTCCGACGCGCGGAACACGGGCCAGAGCCCCTTCGTCGCGCCCGACTCCTCGTCGAGGAAGTGGTCCAGGAGAAGGTGCCCGACTTTGCGCTGCACGCCCATCCACGCCCCGCCGCCCGCCGCCCCCGTCAGCGCCTCCAAAAGCCGATCCATGCCGCCGCTGGCCAAAAAGTCGTCGCGCACCGCGGGGCTGCGCAGCAGACTGCTCAGGGCGCCCACGCGGGCTTTGACCTGCGCCGCGGGGACGTCTCGCCGGGCCGAAGGGTCCAGCGGGGCGAAGGGCGCGTAGAACCCGTCGCGCAGCGGGAATCCCCGCCCCTGGGGCCCAGTGCAGGTCGACTCCATTAGGCTGGGCCAGGCGTCCCCGACCATCCGGGCGGCGGGTGGGTTGTTCTGCAGCGCCGCGGCCACGATGGAAGCCGCCTGCTGGTTACGAGGTGGTGGTGATGCCGTGGCGTCGTCACGGTCTGAAGTCGTCGGCTCCTCCCCCTCCCCCTCCTCCTCCTCCCCCCGCTGCACCATCAGACAGAGGAGCGCCTGGACCGTGTCGGGGTTCTCGGCAATTTTCTCGCCGTAGTAGATGTCGTGGGAGATGTCCTCGAGGAATTCGAGGGCTTCGTCGAAGGGGAGGTCGGTGCCGCCAGGGCCCTTCTTGACGTATTCGAGGTTGGAATAGAACTGGCCCGATTCTTCCTCGGGAGGCTTGACGCGGCCGTACGATTCGTACACCGGCGCTCCGGAAGGGATCAAATCTTCCAACGACCCCGATTCATCCGCGCCCGCCTGAGGTTCGACCACTACGACGCCGACGCCCGAGTCGACGCGTAATCCTTCCAGGGCCCGATTTCCATCTTCATCGTCTGACGGATCGTTGAGCTTGGCTTCTTTCCGGCCAGTCCAGATGTCCATGCGAATGTGGAGACCGTTTGGAAGTTCCTGGTCTTCATGGACCACTTGAAACTCGTCGGTTGGCTGGAAGATTTTGGGATAACAGTTGTTGTCGGTGTGACATATCAACTCCACGTCGGCTGACGGGGAGGATTCAGGTTGGGATGCTGAGGAGGTCGGTAAGAAGGAAACAAGGCCGAGGACGGCAATAAAGAGAGCAAATGGTGATAATATATTGCCATTACTTGGTGACCTCGGCCGCGGCATTGTGAGACCGTTGATGAAAGACCGGGGGTGAAGGCGGTGATGTAATAAAGTCGGATCCGAGAAAGAGGCCAGATGTGAGGAGCCTAACAAACAGACAAAACGAAAACTTGTTTGAAAAGCAAGATACAATGAAATAAATATGGTTTGTCACTCCACAAGAAGCATACTCTCTGGCTGTTACAAAATAAATGAGATGAAAGCAGGTGAGTTGAGTCAAGGAGGAAGAAAAGGACACCTCATCACCACCATATCGAAGTCTAAAGAATCGGCCGAAGCTGAATCTGCGAAGTAATACTTCGTTTTTAATGATAAAAGGGGACAATGCGTCCAGCTGTTAACAGAAGGCGACAAAACGTCGATTGAAATTGTAATTCGGCATGATGTGATTGGTCCATCAAGCGCACATTGGCGTCTAGCGCTTCTCGATTATGTAAGAATCCAGCAGAGCCACAAACCTCCAAACCAAGCCCACGAGACGAGCCCGTTCTCCAACCTCGGTGGATGGACCTCAGTCATCACGAGAAAACCCCCAATTGACGACGCAACTCGCTCGCGCACCCAGTCAACACCCTCTCAAGATGCAGGCCATCCGACATCGAGGCGCCTGCATCGCACGCCAGGCCCGCCGATCCGCTCCCCGCCCCGCGCGCCGCCACGCCTCCAGCCATGACCACCACCACGCCGAACCTGTCAACGAGTCCTTCGGGGTACGATACTTATCTCACCGTCCCCACCCCTCGATCGTCCTTTTCAATTCCCCCCGATCAGACACACACGGGCTAATCTGTTCTTGACAACATAGCCCGGCTTCTGGGCAACCATCGCCGCGATGCCCGCATGCTACGTAGTCTACCAGGCCTCGCAGCCCGGAAAAGACGGCGAGGCGCCCTGGCTGACCCGCAAGATCCACGAGTACCGGCACTGGCAGGAGACATGGGAGGAGCGCAACGCTCTCCACACCAAGGCCGTCGAGCAGGCCGGCTTCGACCGCACCCTCTTCCTCCACGCCCCCGCGAACCGCGACATTGACCTCCGCTACCCCGAGTACGTCTTGCTTTTTCTTCGCTTCTCCTCATACTCTCCTTGTCTCCTTTACGAGGAAAAGGAAAGAAAAGAAAAAGAAGAAGAAGAAAAAAGAAGAAGAAAAAAGAAGAAGAAAAAGAGAAACTAACGCAAGTCTCACAAAATACAGGGCCGTTCAGAGCTCCGCCGCCCGTAACATCCCCGCCGGCTCGCAGGCCAACCTCGACCACCTGGTAGCGCACTACAGGAACTTGCACCTGGCAGAGGAGGAACGCAAGGCCAAGAAGCTGGCCGCACAAATGGAATAGAGGAGGACGACGACGAACAGGAAGACGAAGGAAATGAAGAACTCAACCCTTGTTTCCGTCGCAGCAGCGACGCCATGGCAACTATAGCCGCATGGGGGAGGGGGGGGCGGGTTGTATGATACCGAACAAAAACTAGCGGATCGAACATGACGGGGTGGTAAGGTCCTGCAAGAATACAACATACAACAACGGTTCTTTCATTTGTTCTCAAGACGAACGGACTAGCCATAAACACCGGGATATATTAACCAAGTGGCCGTCACAAGAACGCTCATAAATACACCATCTATGTGTGGCATCGTACGTATCGGGCTTTGGTCAGAATGGTCAGAATACTCGCCGACTACAGAATCCCGTCATGCCTCCGATGGGGATGCCAAAATGTCCCGGATGAGGCCCTCCTGCATTCCCCTTCTCCTACCTAGCATGATAGAGATTGGCATTACCACGTTAAATAACGACGTTCAGACACGTAAGCAGCAAACGAGCGAGTTCCAACAGTGATGTGGGAAAGGATGGGTGACATGGTTTATCTTTCCCACGTCGTTCCCCCGCGAAGGCTATTAGAGAATTTATATACGCCCAAAAAGGGGGCTTGGCTCGAAAACAAGACAGACGCTGGAGTCCAATGATCCCGCTGGGAAGAAAATCAAGACAGAAACCCCCAAACTACACGGAAATAAGAAAAAGACAGGATAATAAAAAGTCAACGCTCGAGGCTCTTCACCACTCTCTCTCCCATCTCTCTTTCCGTTCGGATTAATAGCTCCACACCGTCTGCATCGATTTGCCTCTCTTCCACTGTCTGCACCACCTCTGTTTCTCCCACTGATATTTCATCCACAGCCTGAGCCGGCCGCCAAACTTGTTTGACCGGATGTCTTCGCACACGCGGCAGCAACAGCGGAAACCCAACGGCTTGCCGTAGTCGATGAATATCTCCTCGCCGGGCCTAATATCCCTCGTGGCCTTGAGCACGAAGCGCGGCGCGACAGACGCAATGGGGTTCACTCTCGCGTTGATCTGAGTAATGTCGCCCGGACACGCATGGTTGACAAAGGAGGCATAGCCGCCCACGACGCATGTCGCGCCCGTGGACCCCACTTTCATCGCCTTGAACGCCCGGTCCCTGAGAAACGTCTCGAGCATCTGCTGTGTCTCTGGGTAACCCACCAGGAGGTTAGGCACGCGCTGTAGCTGAGGGAACATGGCCTTCAGTTGCTGCCGCGCCGTCGGCACCGCTGTTTCCCAGGCGTGCGAGAACCCGTGTTCGTTCAGCAGCTCAACCTCCCGGCACACCAGGAGCGGGGCCTCGGCGAAGATGGTGAGGCCGTGTTGTACCGGGTACCGCGAGAAGACGCCTTGCCCCCGGGGTCCCGACTCGTTCAAGTAGACGACGTCGCTGGGATCAACCGAGGCGGGCATTGGATGAGGCCTCTCGACGGACCTGTTGGCGGACCTGCTTTGGGTTGCGCCAACGACCCCCTCTCCTTCATCAACGCGGGATGTCGGAACGTTTTGGGGGGGTGCCGGAGTGATCTCGTCGAGTTCAGCTGCTCCCCTTCTTCCACTACTGATGGTCTTATCATGTTCCGCGAATTGGACGCTTTTCCCCTTTCCTTTATCAGGGCCAGTGGCTAGAGTACTCTCGTTCGAAGCAGGGGGCTCTTCCCGGTCTCCCTCTACGGGAAGTGCCGGGATGTTTTCACCTCCTTCGACAATTTCGCCCTCTTCCTCCTGTCTTTGGTCAAGGGGGGGTGCCGGAGTGATCGCGTCGGGATCAACAGGCTCTGCCCCCCCTCCCTGTACAAAAACTGAGGGGTGTATCTCGTACGTCCCGGGCATCCCTCTTCTCCTTCCCCTGACCGAAGGTCCGGCGCTGCTTTTCTCGGAATGATTGGTATTCTGCGACATGCTTGAGAGCTCTTGGGGGGGAGGTGGTGGTAGGTGGTGGATGTGTCCGTGTCGATGCAAGCGCTCGTAACTTGAGCTTCGAATCTGCGTCCTATTGCCTACAAGGTAGTAATGTTCATAGGGGAAGATGTTGGACGAAGAGGTGAAGGGGCGAAGAGATGAAAAGGTGAAAAGGTGAAAAGATGAAAAGATGAAGAGGCGAGCCGGCGATGCGTGTCTGCATGATGGGCAAGGTTGGAGACATTTGAACTCTCGCGATATTCAGGACATTAAGGTGCTCGTTAGGAGTCTCTTTCCACCGAAATCCCCCCTCGCGGTTGGAAAGCCACTACGTCTTTCTCCTTTTTGCTCTTTCTCATGTTTTGAGTTGCGGCTCGAGGGGTCTGCTCCCCATAAAAAGACAGTGCGACGCAAAAGCGAAGGCGCTTGTTGCTCGTCTTTGATACTCGAGTCGAGAACGATACGCGAGGGCAGTCCTTGTCCCTACGCCTGACTAAACTCCTAAGGTACAGACCCTTGTCCAAACCCTCTACCCATGGACTATGGAAGGCCCGGTCAGAACCTCACAGCTATGTAGAGCGTCACCACTCAGCTGAGTAGGGGAAGGTAGAAGACGGCGCAGCATGTCTTAGCGGGACAACGGAAGTTGTATTGCACTACCCGATTGTCAAATCAACATGATAGCAGATGGCTTTGCTCCGCCATAACCATACTATCAAGACCATTCCCGTTCGCCTTGTTTGATGACCGTGAATGCAAGAACCCATCTTCCCTCATAAAAAGACCGGATAAACAGCGCCTCCGCATAAACCATCCATCTTTTGGTTTTTTTTTACTTCAGAGGAATGAAACGCGACGAGTGCGTGGCACCGATACCGGGTCTGCCGTGCTTGACGGGCTTGCTGTTGTGGGTGTCAGCATGTTTGCAAGTCGACACTTGTTTCTTCTTCTGTCTCTCCTCCGAGAGGAAGGAGGAGGGGAAAAAAGAAGGCGAAAGAACGTACTAAGAGATAGAAAACTCGGCAAGGTAGTGGCCGACCATCTCAGGCTTAATCTCGACCTGGTTGAATTCCTTGCCGGAGTAGATGCCGATGACGCTGCCAATCATCTCGGGCACGACAATCATGTCACGGAGGTGCGTCTTGACGAGGTCGGGCTTCTCGTTGGGCTTGGCCTCCTGCTTGGCCTTGCGGAGCTTCTTGATGAGGCCCATAGGGCGGCGCTTCAGGCCGCGGTTGATGCGTCTGCGGGCACGCGCATGTACGACATCGCGGAGTTGCTCGGAGTCGAGGTCGAGGAGACTATAGGCGCAATCATGTGTCAGCCGTCGTTCGTTCGTCTTCTTTTTTCCCCCGTCCTCTGTTCCCTTTCCTTCTCTTGCTGGTTTGTTTCTTAGACCCAGGCCAGCCCTACGCCAGACCGTCATTCCCTCGATTGAACCGTCAACCCCTACTGCAACATCCATCCTGGGTCGATGAGAGAAATGGCGGCATCGGCACAGCGGGCGTGATATATCATGGAAGACGTCTTCCCTTCGGTGGATGGGTGCGGAAAAGGTGGGAGGGAAACGTACTCCTCAAGGTCGATACCACGGTAGGAAAACTTGCGGAACGCTCTTCTCTTCTTGAGCTCGGCGGCCTCCTCGGCGTTCTATGGATTTGCAACAACCCCCAACGTTAGCCTTCGTCGTTCTGCCCGAAAACAAAAGCATCCCCTCCCTTGTGTATCCCAGCCTCGGGGGGCATGTCGACGACTGCGTCCTTCCATTCATATCGGCTGGCTCGCGGGGTCAAGGGAAATTGGGAAAGCAAAAGCACATACGTATTCGTCGTCAGCCATGGTTGCGGTTGTGAGGTTCAGGGAATTCGCTTTCCGATATGTCGAATCGAGAAGCGAATTGCTGGATTGGCCTGGCGTGCGGGATGGAGATTGAGACCTGGTCGTTCGAAGTTCGCTTCACACTGGAGGGTCGCAAGTCTCTTGGGAAAGGCCCCAGCCCGAATTTTCTAGGGCGTAAACCCTCGGATTTGTGGCCCACATCATGTGACTTATGAAGCTGAAAGTACCCACGAACGCCAACCCCAGTTCTGATTGGACCGTGGACACATCAATCATCTACGTGTACGGTACACGTGTATATAAGCAGCCCCGCCCCACCTCTGTCACAAATCCACCCTCCCCGCGCATGCTCACCTTTCATCGCCTACCTACAACGTACGTTGTACACGTATATACCCACCTAAGGCATGTAGGGATAGGCATTACAATATGTAGGTGCTTCAAACCCCGAAGGACGTCTGTCATAGCTTTTGGCCAAGGTACCTACGGAGTACATAAATAAGTTCGTATGGTACGTATTATTCGGTCATTGATTCGTTTCGGCGAGTCTCGGTCAGTTTCCCGTCAGACCCTTGAGAACAGACATCACGATCATGTGTCTAGCCGGGCTCCCTTACCTCTGCTCTGCTGCAGACTGATCTGCTCCGGATTGAATCATTCCTTTACACAATGCCGATTGTTACCTTTTGCACTGCGTCTATTCATTTTCTATTAGCCTGTCTGATTCTGCGTATTGAATACAGATAAAATATATCGGTCATTGTCGGTTCGTGGGACGCGTTAGCCTTCATCCCACCCCAGCTCCCCCACCCTACCCCTGGAAACGTCGTCCCCGCGATGTACGTGAGGCCATCTCAAGAATTGTGTCCAGCGTCGGCTATCACCGTCTTGCAGTTACCGCACGTCACGTTGTTCCCCTTGATCATCTCCGCCGCAAAATAGAGCGATTGCCTCGGGTCACAGCCAATCCTCCTTCGAAAGGTTCCCTGGACGGTCATGTTGAGCCCCGGCAGCATGTTTTGCCAAGATTTCTCCCACAGGCGGATCTCCTCGACCAGATCGGTCGCAATCTCAGCGGCCCTGCGGGCTAGGGGCGAGCCCACACCGGCTCGTCCGAGCAAGTGCTCGTTGCCACCCTGGATCTGCGCATGCAAAAAGAAGACACCATGTCTCAGCGTCGCCTCGACTACGCTCATGCACCATTCTGCATATAATGGGTTCTGAAAGTCCCGGGGAGCCTCTCCGCACACGAACTCCATGAACGCGTGTCTCGTCAGAAATAACAACACGACAAGCCTCGCCAGGTCCACCGTCGGGAGGTTTTCGAGCAGCTCGAGCTGCGTTACTCGAACAGGCTTCTCGGAAACCCGATCCTCCTTGGTCGTCGTTGCATCCGAAGCTTGTTCGCGATCCTCGCGCCCATGCCCGACAAGGTGCCGGTGTACGCGGAGATTCTCGGGGACGTCCTTGAACGAGGCCCAAGGAGCAGCCTCGAGATCGGCGATGTCGCTGCAGAGCCACAGGGCTCTCTCGATCCCTTGGGTCGCGCGGGACAACTCCTCCGGGGCGCAGTCTCCCAGGCCGATGCAACTAAAGCCGTCCTTGAGGTAGTTGGTCTGGTGGACGACGTATTGGATTTGGCGCGCTCGTTCTTCCAACTCGCGGATTCCGGGGTACGAGGGAAACGGTATCACATAGCGCGTGGGCGTCTCTGAGCCAAGGATGAGGTGCCGCGGCTGGACCTCGTACTCGCGCAGGCCGGAGTGCCTGAGGCTGACCGAGCGCTCATATTGGTCGAGTATTCGGCGCCATTCCTAGAAGGAAAAGAACCAAGAAAAGAGAGAGTTAGCAACTAGGTATTGTCTCCATAACCGCCTTTTGGGGAGACGGGGTGGGACAAACGTCGACGAACCGTGCAGACACAGCGGAGGGCCTGAATGTCCCTGTAGCCGAGAAACGGCGCAACACAGAGAACCATAAAGGGCTGCAGAGAGGACGTTTTGGGTGGGATGACCATATCGACTGCTGCTGGTGATGATGATGGCATGTTTGATATACTGGCCGAACGGTGATAAGAAGCTTGTGGAGGAGGAAGCCGGGAGACGAGCCTAAACTGCTTGACTCCTTGATATATACCGAAATAAACCGAAATATCCCTTTCTTTTATCCTGTATGTATGAAGGTCGCCTCTGGCGTCCTGAACACGCGGAGAATGAGGCAGCCACAAAGGCAAAGTAAGGCCAAGACAGCGACGGTGGCCGCGACAGCAACTCTCTTCTAGAGTTTTAAGTTTTAAATCCCGGTGGCCAGAAAATCAAGTCCGGCCGAGCGCCACTCAAGAGAAGAAGGTAAGGTAATGTTCCAGGTACAGCAAGCGCAAGGCAAGGAAGAAACACCCGTGTGCTTAAATACCCGGTTCGCCTGCCATTTGCAACTCATGTCGAGTCCTATTATGAAGTGCGTGCGTGATATTTAAGGGACCACATATGACAATGTAGCTCAAAGTGAGCTCGTGGTCATAAAGGTGGCCATCAAGGTCCCCCGCCCCATCTGGGTCTCTACCATGGGGACCAGCAGGGTCCCCGCCAAAATGGGGGCGGGGCAAAACGTTCCCATCGTACCTGCCCAGCATTAATATGCGACGTAGATACGTTTGACGGGACAGAAACCTTTTGCACTTACTGTAATGATGCGGTTTTTATGTCCCTTTGATGGTTTCGTGAGTTAGCTATGAGGATAATGAGAGAAGAAAGTTCCACTATGCAGAAAATGATGGAAGTAATGGCTGCGGAAGAAAGCTTAAGAGAATCCGTAGTTCCGTGAATGGGGTTCTAAGTTCTCCGCCCTTCAGCCGACTTTCATTGAATATCTAGAGATCTCGATACCGTAAGCTTAATAATAACTTATACGGGAAGTTCTGTGGATTTCTTACCACGGATATTCCACCACCATTATGTGTGGTGGAGGTTGGAATCTATAAGACCACTACTCCGACTTGAGAGTGAAAATATATACATCAGTGAATACGACTGTAAGTCAAGGTCAGATCTAGGGATCCAGGTCAATTCGTCACATTCAACACACTGGTAGTAGCGGTATATAGAAAAATACCTAGTAGGGCGAGTAGTAGGTGGGTGTTGGTTCTCTCGTTTATTCAAGCCACGGTTGTGTCAAGGACGGACATCCGTCGACTCTGTCCTCCCGGTCATCATGATATCTTTTCCCCCGCGTCCATCCCATGTGCGAGCATCCAGGTCATCAATGAAAGCCGACTCCAGAACGCCAGAATGTTGCCATGCCTGTGTGGCTTAGGTGATTATAATACAATAGAAAGTCTTCCAGATGACGTCGGCATAATAAGGTATATTCCGAGTTCGAATACGACCAGAGGACTTCGTAGTGTCGCAACCGGCAAGTGCCATTCCTACCTTAGTGCCAGCTAGGAAGATCCCCTCGTGGCTACTGTGGCAGACGCTGCTTCATATTCACCTTCTTATCGCCGAGATGGACCATCTTGTCGATTAGTTCATTATTGGCATCGAGTTCGGCAAGGTTATCGCTCCCGCCCATACTGACGCCGTTGACCAAGATATTAGGCACAGTGGTCAGGCCGGTCTTCTCGCCTAGATATTCCTGCAACTGGCGGCCGAGGGGGTGTTGATCGAGTTCGACGACGAATGGAGGCGGTTCGATGGCGTACTTGTCCAGTAATAGACCCTTGGCTCGTTTCGAGAATGGGCACCACGTCTTAGAGAAGATGAGGACTTGAGAGACCAATGGCGTCAGTTTCCGCAAAAGAACAGTAGAAAGGGAAAGAACGTATAGATGCATCTTGCATCGGGGACGCAGGAAGAGGCGAGACAGAAAGACGTCATTGGGATGGGAAGAGGTGAAGCTCCTTTCTTACCCGGATATTTCCTCATAAGGGACCTGAGTTCGGCTTCGACAGCAAGCAATTCGTCGGGATCCGGCTCGTCTCCAACTTCTTCTGGTTTCTTGGCTTTCTTTCCGCCGACCGCGTGATCGGTGCTGTCCTGGTGGGCAGCCGAGTTGCCGACTCCGACGACTTCGCTTGGAGAATCAGGCTTGAGCGGGGCCTTCTTGTTGGCTAAGTCCTTGGCCTTGTCCGCGGCTTCTCGCAGGCGTGTGGCCAGGTCGTTGGCCAGCTGTTCATCTTCGGCGTCCACGTCGCCGTCAGTGTCTTGATCCTGGACTGCATTCGCTATGTCTCCTTGCGCCGGTGGCTTCTTGCTCTCCAATCCGTGGACCGTCTTGTGGTAGAAGTCTTGAATCGTTCGGGTGTCGGGTGTTTGGTTCGGCCGTAGACGAGACGTCACGAAGAGGACGAAGAAGATGCCGACTAGAACTCCAACGAGGAGGCTGCGTACTTGCCTCTGTGAGGGCATTGTGACGGGCGAGGGTGGATGAGACTTATCTCGGAGAAGGACGACGAAGGGGAGGGAGAGGAGGAAAGGTCGGAGAGTGGGTTTCGTGCCACGTTAGGTTGGCCGGGTCTGGGGCTCGATCAGACGGAAAGTCGAGTAAGAATGAGTCGCGAGAAGGGTGATGGCATCGCCGAGAGAAAATCGCCGCGTGTGGAAAGATAATCAACCCTGCCTCTCTTGTCCCGTCAACACGGAAACCCAAAGCGCCGCCCTGAAGGGTTGTCGAGACCGTGCGTGGTGAAAATAGTCGGCAGTTAATGCAGTATTGATGCTCGTATGTTAGGAGGGGGAGCTGGTAGATTGTGACGGAGCCTTTCTGATTAACGTGGATGGCAATGCGTTAACGATAAGAATGTCGGCGGAAGAGATGGGAGGAGGAGATGTGCTGGAGAAGGTTGTCCGCATTCCGTAGATCGTAAAGCAATGGAATTCATGACCTTGAGGAATGCTTGGTACCTCTCGAGTCGTATCTCCTGGACGACCTGGTCGTTACCTCACATGACCGCAAGCTCCGAGTAGCTTCTAATTAAGTGTAAGGTACCTATTACAAACAAAGTACGGAGTAAGCTATTTGGAATTGATTGGCTGTCTCGTCCCTGTTAGGCCAGTCACGTGGGAAACAGTGGGTTACCTATCATAAGGCACCTAAGCAAGGTACCAAAGTACTTCTATTCTGCTTCTGAACAGTTGTCGACTGTGTCCTCACTCCGTACGGTAGACAATCGCAGTCTTTGCGCATAATGTCGCGCTGTCTACGAATCTTTTGGAGTTGACTACCACAGAGTAGTATCTCTATGTTATGTTTTGTAATAAAAAAGGGTTGTAACACTGTAGTAACTGCTGAAGCACAACCATGGAATAACGCGATAGCTCAGCGGGTAACAATCCTTCGATTAAAATGGCCGCCGTCAATCTTCTTAGTCTAGTCGTCCTTTATTTGGGCATACAACCCTAAAGTTTCAAGCATAAAGGGGCTCCGGGCCCCCTAGTCGATTTAAAACAGGACCTGTAAACGGAAACTACCTATCGTCAACGCAATGCAGAACACATCGTATCACGCCTCCGCAAGACCAGCTTGCGCCTTAATAAAACAACATTCCACACACGCCCATTTAAGTCCACAGGACCCAATGGCAGAGAAGCCCCAACCCGACCCCGACACCTGTACTTGTTTGTGCACGCAGTTTGGGACGCGGAAAGTGTCCTCTCGGCTCCTGTTCACTCATAGGACTTCCCTCATGATAGTAGCCATCCGCATTATACCTGCTGATTTTCGAGAGAAAGAGATAGGCGTCCACGCAGTGACGGCTTAATGCATTACAAGTCAGAATAAACCAGGGTTAAAGTGGGATTGTGCCAAGGCCGTTTTCTATCGAGTGAGGGCTGCCTTGGAGAAATTGGAACACAGAAACGCAGAACAGAGCCATTGGTCGGAGACAAGCCTCTTTAAGTCCTTGAAGCCTTTCTGTGTAGCCCGTCCAAAAAGCTGGTGACAATCGGAACACAAATCTCCAACCCCTGATCAAAATGCCACTAACGCCATCTAGAAGAAACTCGAGGGCTTAACTCCAAACCTCGTGCTAGGAAAGAATAATATAGTGTTATTCTAGCCACTATCAGGATTCTACTTCGTAGTAAGTCCCACGTCTTACCCAGGAAGCCTACAGCAGGAATTCGGTGAGCGCTCGGTGAGGACAGTCCTTTCCTGATTAGGACTACAAGCCGTCGGTGATAGGCCACTGCCTCTCGGGGAGTTCTCCACCACCAACCTTCCCGACGAATTCCTGATATGGTATTTCTGGAATATGGACCTATGGACAGGACCTTCGTGACGATACCCGTCTTCTTCTTCTTCTTTACCAATTTTCCGAGGCGGAATAGAGCAGCATCTCAGTTCAGTCATGTGCGATTGGGTTGCATGTTGAAAAGGTAAATTATTCCAAGACTTTTCCCTACTCGCTGTACATGTGTCCTACCCCTGAACCCAGCTAATGGCCAAGCTCCAACCCTCTGAACTTCCTCCACGGAAGTCAACTTCTACCGCTCATCTTATGACCCTCAATATCCACATACCCGTAATCCCAGGCGATCGGATTTCATCCCCGGGTCATGAATAGACGAGATCACAAGAAACGAAAAACACAACGAAAAGAGGAAAAGACAAGTCAATTTTGACATGTGTCTTTGCCTGCCATGGCCGTCATGGCATCCTTGATTTGTTCATTGAATCGGAATCTGCCATAACTCTTCGCTTCCTCCCGACCCTGACCTCGACATCCCTATTATATAGAGGAGAGCAGTACAGAAAAAAAAAACAATCAAGAACGCCGCCTGTGTCATATCGGTGTTCATTACAAATGCATTCGAGTAAACTCAAAGAATCTCTCATGTTGAATATAGAGCAACTGTACATCATATATAGCCAAGGGAATGAACGAGCCGTCACTGTCTTCGGCCCCAGGAAGGTTTCCTGGCAATAAGACGGGCGTGGTCCCCATTTCGTTGTGGGGCAGTGTCGATATAATTAAGCCGTCGTGGAATAAACTGTCATGTTACTTGGTGAAGACAGCGTGGCTCGCCTCGTTGGTGTACCGGGGGAGGGAAACGTCGGCCTTGCTTGAAAGGTGCATGCAGGGAATCATAGGCGCCTGAGCCCTATTCCTTCCGTGCCGAGCATGGGAACCTCGACCTCGCGTAGGCCCAGCACGCCCTCGTTCCTCCTGCGATCGATGAAAGCATTGCATTCGGCAACGATCACGCTCCATTCTGCAAGAGCGCGCCCCGAATAAATCGCATTCTTGGCATAGATCCCGGTGGGCTGGACAGGCCGCGGCAACGTGTCCACTGTCGACCGACCGCTCTCCCCGTCTCCGACAGGGAGGCTATCCTTCGTGGTGTGAGAAAGCGCAGAGGATACTGCGATACTGTCGTCACTCCTTCTCGATTGCTCGGTCAATACGCTGGCGTCGCAGTCGAAAGGCTCATTCAATGAGCGAGTGAAACTCGGCGAGAAGGAAAGCTGAGGCGGGGTTTCGCTGCTGATGCGGCGGGCCGCATGGGCGCCGATGGGTGAGAAGAGCGGGCTGGCATTCCTCGCCTCGCAGACCAGCCCGCCCTCGTGAAGGCCTGAGACGCGACGCGTGGGTGCCGGCATTCGTGGCGCGAAAGGCGGTGGATCGCTTCCGCTTCGAGATCGGGCATTTACCCATGCTTGAGCAGGCCTGGGGAGTCTGGGTCGAACGAGAGCCCGCTCGCGTAGCTGGTTAGGGTTGGTGACATGACCGCCGAGGGTAAACTTGAAAACGTATTGCGGTTCGGAATAGACTGGTGCAGACCCGGTCGAGCTACCATCTGATGTAGTCGGAGAAGACGGCTTGGGCGGAGGCAGAGGAGCCGACGAGGAAGGATCACGGCCCAGCGACTCGCCTGGGGCCTTACCCGCCTGCTCGACGTCGCTCCCCGACAATACTTTGGAGGTAGGGGCGTCGGCCGCCGAGGAGCCGCTCGTAAAGGAGAGAACCTTGCCCAATAGAGACCAGCGTCTTTTCGCATCTGACGGAGGACTGGCATTCGCCCCGGTGCCAAGGAGACCAGAAAGGGAGGGACCAGAGTTCTGAAGTGGCTGTAGGAAAGAATCGAAGCTCATGAATAAGCCAGTCTGATGAGGTTGTACCTCGGTGCGGATGATCATAAACTTTTTACCCGGTGTAGGGAGACATGGTGCGGTCGAGGGGGGGGATTTGCCGGCCTCCTCCGCCGTTTGCTTCATGTAGAGATAGTGCGCCCAGGTGGATTTGAGGCGGGACGCGACTATGAGGAAGATCTCGCTGCGCAGCAGTTAGTAAGGACACCGCTCCAGCCAAAGACATTAAAACCCGTAGGCAAAAGCCTGCCACGGTTCGGAATATCACTTACGCGTCAACCTCGTTTGCACTGCCGGTGTCCCTACAGACCCGCCAGCACAGAAGCCGCATGAAGTAGGCTCTCACCAGGGGATTCCAGTGGTTAAAGTAGTCGTTGAAATTCTTCTCCTCTAGAAGCCACTCAAGGCACACCTTCTGCTTCCGACGAGGATCGGCCGCAATGGCATCCCACGTCGCGAACACGAATGAGAAAAGCCGAGCCTCCATCGACGAGTGGAACGTGCTGAGCATCCTCTTGCAGACGTCAAACCAGAAGGACCAGTCGACGTACGAGAGGTTCGGACGACGATCAGTATCCTCAAACTGATCGTAGGCGACGAGGGCTTCTTCCAGAAAGTCACAGAGCACACAGCAAGCATCAATGTCATAAACAGAGGTTCTGGCTGTCACGGCACGCAGAACAGCCATAAACGCCTCGGCAAACGTGTGTCGGGCACCGTTCACATGCGGCGAGTCGTCAGAGAGGAAGTCTTTGAGTAAAGTGACGAGACGATTCTGGGATGTGTTCATAGCCGGGCGAAAGCCGGCCACCGTGCCCAGAGGCATGAAAGCATCGGCTCCGTATGCTGAGTCGTACGAAGGCGGGCTCATCACATCTCCCTCGTCATTCGGGCGGTGAATGGTCCAGTCGAGCGTGGCCAGTAGCTGTGCATGGACGAGGGCAAACGCGGGCGACCTGGCTTTCTCAACGAGCGGCAGGCCAGGCGGGGTGAACTCATCGGATAGGATGTGGAAATACTTGCAAAAGATGAAGAACAAATCCGTATCGCGACCCACCCACCTCAGGAGCCAGGGGCCGTACCATCTAATCCGCGCGGCAGTCATCGAAAGCTTTGGTTCACCCTTGAGCCGGTCCAATATGGTCTTGACATCAGTCCAACCCAGCATGCCCAGATTCGGCGGAAATAGCGCGACAATATCCTCGCTTTCTCCGTTATCCTTCTCGGGCAACCGGAATTCTCGGGCGACGCGGCGCAGGAGGTCTGGGGTTAGGCGCCATGCCCGCACGAGCATGTCTGCGACGCCCGGGGCGAAGAAAAAAGCATACGCACAAGTCTTTCCACTGAAATTCACTAGGCTCAGAGGCACCTGACGCTGGGACATTTTCCGCACCACGATATCCATTTGGCTCAGTAGGTTGGCAGCGAACATGGCTCTCACGTTGTGTTCAGCCGAGGCAAGAGCAAACTCGGCCTGGGTAGAGTCATTAGAGTCGGAAGACAGCGACCATGATCTGGTGCCGACGCGCTCATTCGGTGATCTGTCCGCCAAAGGCATCATGTACGAGGCGCCCTGTCTCCATTCCGGACGCATCATGACAGCGAGAATCATGTTGAGAAGAAGCGGCCGGTTCGCTCCAGGGAGTGGCTGCTGTTCAGACCTGTCCAGCATCTCCAACAGTCCTTTCCACCACTTGTCCAGGATATTGGCGCGGTGCTCGACATGCTGGGGGCAAAGGGATTTATTGGAGGTATGGTTGGTGTGGGCTTGAAGAAAGGGCAGCAGGACCCTGCGGATGAGCTCCATGCGTTGAGCCGTATCTCGGGCAGCGAACTTGCAGAACTCGGAATCTAGGGCCTTGAATGACTTCCAGAGGGGGTCTCGGGAAGGCGCCATGTCCCCAGAAGAGTCATCTGCCGAGGTGATGCTGCCGTCGACAAAGGAAGCTGTCTTGAAGGTACCCTGATGCTCAATGGTGAAAGAGGTGACGGGTAGTGCCAGGCTGGTTGCGGAAGACGAACGGCTCGTGTCGGAATCGTTACTTAGGCTATTGTTGCTCGAACTATTCCGGCTATAACTGAGTTTGACAAAAGCGCTCTGGGGACGCGCCCTCATCTTAGTTAGGTAAGAGCTCGCCCGATTCAGAGTTCGGGAGGTGCCTTTCGAGTCCTCTGCGAGCCAGGGAGTGTCTGGGTCCCCGACCGAGAGGGGCCGTGAGAGAAGACTTCGCTTTGCCGAACCTTTCACCGAGTCGTGCAATTTTGCATCGGGGTTAGAGGCAGTCTTTCTGGTTGCCGGGCGTCCTCGAATGCCTTGGGGCAGGGGCGAAGTCGGGGAGGTCAAAGACGCTCGTGCAAGGCCCGCAGAACTCTCCGTCACGTTCACCTTTTTGACGTCGGCCTTCCTTCGCAGCCCAGAGTCACTTCCTGCTGTCGACATGAGACCACCGGTTGGCCTTTCGGTTCCTATTCGCGTGCTCGGACGGTCCGAGAAGTACTCTTGTAGGCTCGAGGCGGATTTGGAGCCGGGAATCCATGACTTGGGCCGCTCAACGAGCGAATATCTTGCAGTTCTCTTTTCCGGCCTGTCCTCCCTGGCGTGGGCGGATTCTGCGGTGACGGTAGCACCGATCTTGGCTTCGGATAATGGCGAATCGGGTTTTTGGGCATCGAAAAGCAATTTAGCGTCCAACTCCGGCGTGGTGTCGAATGAGGGTACTTCGAAGAAACGTAGGCCGGCGTCTGGCTGGTCTGCATTCGGAGGGCTGTGGAGACTTGCGAGGTTGGGAGAGGAGTAGGTCCGAGAAAACGAAGAAGTCGGATCAAGACCGACGGCCGGAGCCATCGTCAGAGTTGGGCCGCTCATTTCATGACCGGCAGATTTGCAGCTTGCCCAAGGCAAATCGTACTCGTCGTAAGTCTCGCCTGTGGACAAAGGCACGCTGCAGAAAATCGTGTTCGGGCAATGGAAGCTCAAGGGCCGTATCCAGGTTACCGACTACCGAACAGGAAAAGTTATGTACAATCCGTTCCAGAAATTTCTCGGAAGTCGTCGTGAGTATCTGACAGCGCCGTGTGTCGCTCTGGCCGGCAGAGTGAAGAAAGCCACGAGAAATATGATTAGGATGGACGATATGTGTTGCGTAGCGGTCAGTCGTCCCTGGCGTGTCGTCGTCGTCGTACTCGTCGTCGTACTCGTCGTACTCGTCGTCGTACTCGTCGTACTCGTCGTCGTCGTCGCCCTGGTAAAGGCCCGTGGTCCGGCCTAGCAAGCGGTCTAGGATAAAATTGGGACAAGCTAGAGTTGTCGAAAAGGAAATACAAGGCAGGGGCAGGTAGGACGAGGGCCGCGACCTCGACTTGACTCGACAGAACAGACGAGAAGATGGAAATAACGAGAGGGGATAAAGAAGCGGAAGCGAGGAAGGGAAAATCGGACATCCGCCTGTCCACTTTCCTCCAGAGAGAGGGAGAGAGAGAGGGGAGTAAGAGGAGGATAGGAGGATAGGAGAGGAGGAGGAGAGAAAGAGAAGTGATCCCAGGTTTGTTCAAGAGACAACAACCGTGGTGGAGGAAGGAAGGGCCCTGAGACTGAGACCCGTTAACGTGTGGGCTTGGGGATTTCTTGGGGTCCCGCCTCCTTGTAGTAAAGTAACTCGTAGGGGGTTCATTTTACCCACCACGTCCTAAGGTTCAAGGGGCCCCAGTGAGACAGATACCTGAAGCCGGTGCAATGCCGCCAAATGCACGTACCAAGTGCTGTATCCGTACTAATGCGCCAATGCCGACCCTCACCAACGGCGCTGACCGGCGGAGACATGGAACTGGAGATTCCTACTCTGTCCTTTCTTTGTACGAAGTAAAACCGTCGAGACTGATGTCCCTACCCGGTATCCGTACTCTGCAAGTACAAATAAATACGATGTAGTTTTATGTACATACTGCCAATCCTCTGCACAGACAATCGCTGCTCAACCTGCCCACAGGTCTGCAGGCCTTAATTTAGGTCAAGTTGAAGGGAGGAAAAGGCCCGAGGCGGCCATGTCTTTCGCAAGGAAAAGAGAAAACAAGAGGGTGAGAGTCGGGGAGAAGAAAAAGAAAACGGCGAGGAAAACGAGGACCATGTAAAACAAGAAGCAGTGAAAAGGGCCAATCGAGAAGGTATCCATAGCCATCCCGGGAGAAGCTCCTGCCCGTGCGGAGTACTGAGTATGTACATCTGCGATGTGTAAATACGAAGTAATACCTTAGCAATTACTTCACCTCAGAGGTACAGTGGGAGGCAATAAGTATTTGAACACTCCTATGTATTTGAGGCTAGATAGTAAGCCCATATACCCTCAGCCTGACATTTTATGGGTCGATGGTACATAGGCGTGTTTAAATACTTTTTGCCAGGGGCTGTAGCTACCTTATGGTAAGATATGTATAAGACCACGTAATTATAATAGTCACACATTATTAAGAGCCTTGGTATAGTCTTTGCTGGAGTATTGGCGAGGAGTCATGTCACAAATTACCTTGGGCAGTACGTAAGAAGCAATGCTTGTAAAATGAACACCGTCACCCAAAGTACGTTGTACTGCACAGGCACCGGCCATGTATTACCATGCGGTTGATCGGCGACTCGGCGGTGAACCAGGGGCGGCTTATAGGAGCAGCTCTGCTGGGAACAGGGGGTCTTAACAATGCGACATCCGGCCTCTGTGATAGGTACGTTGTACAGTACCCGAGTACCGTAGACAATACGCGCAGGCGGGACATCAATATAGCGCCAACTCTCTTAGGATCGATGAGAACATATACAGTATTGCTCGAGTCTTGGAAAGTTCGTTCTTTGATTCAGAAGGAGAACCAACCAATTGAATCACATCAAGTATGTCTAACACAATAGCACGTAGTAGCTGGTAATATTGTGGATGAAAACGTTCAGAGAAGGTGTCATTACTCACGACTAATTGCTTCATATCCTCTCTTTTAGCGGACGATCGAAACTTTGAAAATTTATATCCAACGAACCAGGTTCAACCCCTACTCAAAATTAGCTACACCTCGTCATCAGTCGACATCAGACGGATACCGGCTTGATTATAGTAACCGAAAGCGAAATTGCCGGTTCGGTCGGGTCGATGGAGAGAGTATGTTGTATGTACATTCCTCCGTAATGCTTCATGCCTGCCTCACCTAGGTACTTCGTACGAATAATAACAATTGGCGCGGTACGCACGAAAGAGATCGTGGAGAAGGGGAGGGTTACACGGACGAGGCGAGATCATCGCATATCAATGAGGTTACCCCTGGCTCGCCCCTGGCCTGGCTTATGACGCAACAGGGGTTCTGTTCGCGTGAATCCGAACTGCTTTTTCAACCACGAAAGGATTTACCTCTTCGCAAAAACATCATGGGAATACATATGTACGTACCTATGCCCTCCGAGTCGCGGTATCCCGCATCCGTAGAATACCTTAGGGAGGGGCGGATTCGGCGACCCAAACTCATTAAATATGCACGAAAGAGTTTTTAGGGGGGTAGTTTGGTGAGCGCTGGTGCCTTTGCCCAGCCTTTCTGGCCTTGGGGCCTCCTCTGAATCCTTGTCCTGCTGAGCGAAAGCACGGCCGGCATCACGGGCCCCACGTCAATACATTATCGTGCTGTACACTATACAACGTAATTATTAACCCAAGGGAGCCAGGGGCAGCCCGCCATTTCGCTAGCGTTCTGGCGCGTCTGTCCGGGCTCTATCTAGCGCCCAGTGCAGGGCTGCGAGTGTGTCTGGTTGCGAAAACGATAGTGCATCACAGATCTGGCAACTTCTTAAGAATAACATCTGATTACCAACGGTTGCTTTCGCTTTTCCATGAAAGGGAATGGCACGGACGCGTTTCTTCCGTGCTTCTTCGCTTCTTCTTACCTTGGTCGATTTTCTTCGGGTTGGCGGGTCGGCGGGCTGGCCCCCAGTCCGTCCTGATCGATCTGACGCGGCTGTCGCAGGTGAGTAGGCGGCGTCTTGCTCTATTTGCAAAGACGAGAGCGGGCTTTCGTGTCGAGGCCGAGGCCGAGGCCGGCCTGCTGAGCTGGCGCCATCCAGCATGTTGTAGTCGTCTTTACGCATGCGAACCTCCCGCGTGCCAGCTGCAGACGCGCGAGGTAATTACGTACTTCCGCCGCTTCGTACGTGGGACACACAGTCAGACTGAAGATTACGGAGTCCGGCGCAGCAAAGCGAGATGGTTTTCTTTTAGCGCCGACGTCACCAGAATTTCCGAAGCAGCTTCGTCCGGAGTACTCCGAAGAGGCCGTAAAAATCCTAAACAGGAGGCGGCCATTGGGGGGAGGGGAGTTTCAGCCCTTTCATCATGAATTCGCTTCGCTCCGTTCCCGCCTAGCTGGGTCAGCTAGCTACCTGGGCTGGCTGCCCTTCAAACGATGGAATCTTCGGACAATGGAAGAATTTCATGAAACATACTTGATCGTACGTTATGCTAAAACGTCGAAGCATCAAGTCCACGTCCCCTACCCAATCTGTCTCACACCCCCGGACCCCAACCAAATTGGGCTGCACACCTTGAGATTGATCAGGTTTCGATGAAATAAAATAAAAATACAATGGAAGCAGCAAAGACTGGAAAGGAGTGTGACAGAGACCAGCTGAAAATGACCATGCATGCGACCGCGGATGGGTGGCACCGACGGCTCCCCATGGACGATTTCGTAACAGAGAACATGTCAGCGCCAGTGGGGGAGCAAGATGGTCAAAAACCGTCCCTGTCATGTCGCCCAATCTTCATGCACCCGAGCTATGGAATGTCGAGCGTCATAGGTGTTTGGTAATGGTTGGGCATAGTGTTCATCTTGGCACGTAGAAAACATCCTTCAGCAAGAAGAGCACGGGAGAGGAGCTCATTGCTGTACACACATATGCCGTAAGAAGTGATAAAAAAGTAGAAGGGAAAAAAGCGCCCACACTGCTTGCCTGCCTTCAACTGTCCTGTCCGTTGTCGCTGGTATCCGTCAGCGACACGCTTGTGTCTGTGAATGGGCGGCTTCGACAAGTCCTAGGGCGGCACTCGCACGCTGATGGACATCGAGGTACACGACACGGACGGCAACTGGGCGCACGTTACGACTCAATTCCACGAAATTTGGAGAATGAATGCCAGAACGGCGGCCGAATATTGACTCTTGATCCGAAGCGTGATGAGGACAGAGTGAGGTTTGACCTCTGTCGAACCTCAGAATTTTTTTCTCTTTTAGTGCTCCGTAATTCTGTTAAGCTCGGCAGAAAAGTGGAGGTGTGAATTGTCGCTAATTACCAGTCCCACAACGAAAGGCGGTGTGCCAGCTTTGTATACACGTGTACTTACCTAATCGTCCGGTTGTCCGTGTCCCCTTCGTCGTCAAGATCAGTCTACGTACAACCTCGGGGACCACCTAGCTACTTCCTACCTTATTAGGTATCTAGTTGTGAAAGAGCCAGCTTTCATTTGTTCCTTTATTATTGCTCCATCCAAACAAATAACAAACCACCAGAACGCCACATACGGGACATGGCGACGCGGGCTCTTGTTGTTGCGCTAAAGACCCCCTTCCCCTATTAGGAAGAACACGACTGGTGAAGTCTCTCTGCTGTAACAGGGATAACTTCGAGGCAGATGAATGGGATTTACGCCCGAGCTTGTAGTCGTGGATTTGACCCTAATATCCTGCCTCTTGTCTTGAGAGATGAGCATCTAAAAGATGCCTCGATGATGCCCGTGCATCAACCCCCGTACAGAGGGGTTGGACGCATCACCTCGGTGTGTTTCGGTGTGTATGTTCCTGGTGTTCTTGGTCACACCGTGGATTAGTAATAAGGCCAATTCGCTCCGTTCAAGGATAGAATAGGTAAGTACAGGTACCTTAATTACCCCTGTAACGCGTATCATTACGTTAATTCCGACTTTCCTATCTGTCCGTTTCCTATAACCACCATCTCTCTCACCAAACGTCGATCTCTATGCTTCGTACTACTGAACATCTCTGCTTCATCTGCCTTGCGTAATTTCATGATCCTGCATTCCCTTTTAACAAGGCATCGCCAACGGGGCATTGAAGACGGCTCCCTCGTCTTGTGTTAGACCTCGGTCGCTTCATCACCCGTCTATCTCTCTCGTCCCCCGACTCCTCGTTATCGGCTCCCCCCCTCTACCATGGACGTCCTCCCCACGGAGCTCCTGGACGCCATTCTACAACAATGCATCGATCAGGGGCCCCGAAATGATGTTCTTGAGCTGCGCCTCGTGTGCAGCGCATTCGATTGCTACCTAAAGCCATACGTCTGCCGGACTGTTGCTCTCGAGTTCAGTCGGCTCAGTGCTGCCAGCGGCCGTCGTCGACCTGACCCTGATGCTCTCCAAACCATCGGGAAGCACTGCAAGGCCCTGTACATCGACCTGACCATTCTCCGGGATGAATGTATGTGTCGCCCCTACTTTCGACTTGTTGCTGTCACTGCTGCCTTCTCGTTGCATTCCCCGTTTTGTTTCGCCCCGAGGTAGGTATGCCTTCGCTGACACCCTCACCCTCGTGTTTCTTGCCGCCCACATAGTCGAAGTCGAGTTCCTCTCCACCATCTTCGACGAAGTTCCGAGCATGACGCACTTTATCCGGACCCTCCAGAACCGATACTCTATGTGCGAAACCTCTTTCACAGAGATCGAGTACCGCCGCGTCGTCGAAGAAGTCCTCTTCAATTGCCGCTACATTGAACGCCTCCGCGTCGACCTCCCCTTTCAGTTTGTGGACCAGCGTTGCAACGCCGCCACCATGATCCTCGCCAACACCTTCTCCGTCCTCGCCGACCGTCTCTCCGAAGAGGACTCTGTTCCCCTGCGCACTCTCGTGCTGGAAAACCTGGCAGATCCTACTATAGACAACCTGTGGATTAACCCCTGTGATGTCTTCAATATTATGCGAGTCCTTCTTCACCTCGAGAACCTCGTCATGACCATACGCCGTCCCCGCCACACCTCTCTCCTCTGGCACCTCACTCGCCATGCCGAACATCTCCGCACGCTTTGCCTCATTGGCAACGATGACGATCGTCGCCCCCCGCGCGGCCTCAAGCAGACCAAGGCCTGGCATGTGCCTCTACTTGAATGGCACGCCCGCTCTCTACCCGAACCGCCCCTGACTGGACGCGACGGCCAGGCCCTCCTCATCCTCCCCCACCTGACATGCCTGGAGCTGAAGCGTCTCGAACTCGCCCCCGACGTCCTCCCCGCTATCGCCCAAGCCTTCGGCTCAACGCTGCGCGAGCTCTACCTTAACGAGGTATATCTCAAAGCCGAGCAGGGCCGCCACATCAACCCAGACTCCACCCAGTTCCTCTGGATCGGCCTCCCCAACCAGCGCCCGGGGCCGGACGACCTGTGGATGGCCATGCTGATCCGGTCCCGCTGCCCTTCCCTCCGCATCTGCCGCGCCGCCTTTCTGGGCTACGACCAACTCATCCGCGACGACGTGCTCCACCACAACGGGGCCGACATCCACGGCACCACCGGCACCCTCTCCTTCGCCTCGCCGGAGTTCGACTTCCTAGACCCCAGCGGCCTAGGCCGCAGCGTCGCCCAGCGCTTCGTCGAGGTCGTCCTCGGCATCGCCCAGCCGCGCGCCCCGCCCCCGGACGGCCGCCCCATCACGTACCTGCCCCCTTCGCCCAAGGACGACCACCTCCTCGACGAGCTCCGGCCCCGGCCGCCCGCCTTCCGCGCCGCCGACTACGACGTCAACGCCTACCAGACCGCCGTCCACAACCCGACGAGCCGCTGGCAGCGCAGCCTCGACGGCGTCTTCCCCAGCTGCAACGCCGGCACGCTTGCGGAACTCCACTACATCGCCGAGACGGCCTCCCAGGGCATGAGCGAGATTCAGCGCGGGCGCAGGCAGGAGCTGGGAATTCGGGAAAGGGACCTCGTCGACGCGGTGACGGTTGTGGGTGGTGCTCCGGTAGCTGATGACGACGTGCTCTAGCAGCATCCTGGAGACCCGGTGTGAGGAGGACCGGCTGCTTAGGGAGGGGGGGTTGGGGGGGTTATGTTATATCTGCTGTCTTCGCCTCGTCTAAATCTTTTTCTTTTAAGCGACATCTCCACCGTCCAGCCATCGTGACACGAATTTACCACTCTTACCTTTTGCGCATTTTATTGGGAAGGTAGGGTATATCAATGGCCGCGAGAGAGCAGACAGCAGCAAGGATGACGCAGCGCAGTTGCTTGGAATGTATCGATTTACTACAGCGTGGTGCAAGAATACCGAGACACCCTTCCTCTACCTTATTCATTTCGATGGCTCGCACACTCCCTTACTGACCTGAGGATACATGCAAACACCCGCCCTCTGCCGGATCCCTTTTTCTTTTCTTCAAGAAAGCAATAAAATAAGGAAAGGTAAATGGGGGAAAAAAGGCAAAAAAAAGAAAGAAAAACCTGACGGCGTCATACAACCGGGCGAGTTTTTTGTCGTCTCGTTGCCTCGTCTATTCCAAATATCCATATCCTAGCGGCGCGGCTCAAAGCCACTACCTTATTGAAGACGCGATTCGACCGACCACCTTTTTGTGTCATGTCCCTGGCACTCGGCCCCTCCTCCCAAAAAAGAGGAAAAAAGATACGAAAGGGTGTAAAGAAACCATTGATTCCTCAATGTGGAAACGACGGCGGTCCCGCTCACTATGCCTCCCACTGCTGTCCATGAATAAATCATCAAATGCCCTCCCGTGCCAAGTCCAAGACCAAAGACCACGCAAAGCACTGGCGCCGGATGGACGCCGTTGTGTATGATCTTGTCTTTTTTTTTTTTGTTAAAGAAGAAATCGAGAAGAAGAAAAGAAGAAGAAAAAGGTTGTTAGGTGATCACATTTCAATGCTCAGCACCATTGGCACCGTTGGGCTGGGGCTGCTCAGCGACGGCCTTCTCGAGAGCCTGGAGAACATCGCGCGTGAGGTCCTCGGCATCTTCGACGCCACAGCTGATACGAACGAGGTCATCGAATACGCCGACGGCTTCGCGCTGATCGCGAGGGATGCCGGCATGGGTCATGCTGCTAGGGACCTCGACGAGGGACTCGACGCCGCCGAGCGACTCGGCGAGGGTGAAGATAGACGTGAGCTGGCAGAAGCGCTCGGCGGCATCGTGGCCGCCCTTGATGCGGAAGGAGAGCATGCCGCCGCCCATGGCGTTGCGGTGCTGGCGCTTGGCGATGGAACGGTGCGGGTGGGAGTCGAGGCCGGGGTAGTTGACGCTGATGACGTGCGGGGAGGCCTCGAGGGCCTGTGCGACGGAGGTCGCGTTGTGGGAGGCCTCGCGGGCGCGGAGGTGCAGGGTCTTGAGACCGCGGTGGGCGAGCCAGCAGTCGAAGGCGGAGGGGACGGCACCGATGGCGTTTTGGAGGAAGCCGAGGCGGTCCTTGAGGTCGTCCGAGTTGAAGGCGGCGACACCCATGACGACGTCGGAGTGGCCGTTGATGTACTTGGTCACGGAGTGGACGACGATGTCGGCGCCGTGGTCGAGCGGGTTCTGGACATAGGGGGAGAGGAAGGTGTTGTCGACGACGACCATGATGCCGTGCTTGTGGGCCTGGGTGGCCACGGCACGGATGTCAACGAGGCGGAGGGTCGGGTTGCTGGGCGACTCGATCCATACGAGCCTGGTCTGCGGGGTGATGTGTTCGCTGATGTCGACCTCGATCTCGGGGGTGAAGGTGACCTTGACACCGTGAGCCTTGGCGACCTTGGTGAAGTAGCGGTGGGTGCCGCCATAAACGTCGGATACGGAGATGACGTGAGAGCCGGCGGCCAGACTCTGGAGGACGACGGCGGTGGTGGCGCTGCCCGAGGAGAAAGCGAGAGCGTACTTGGCGTGCTCGAGGGCGGCGATGGCCTGTTCAAAGTTGTCCCGGTTGGGATTGGATGAGCGGGCATATTCGTACTGGCCGACGGGCTTTCCCACGGCGGACTGGGCGAAGGTAGTGGATAGGGAGATTGACTCGATGACGGCGCCCGTAGCCGCGTCGTGAGGGCTGCCGGCATGGACAGCGAGAGTACCGAATTTGTGAACGGGCGAGGGAGGCCTCGGGGGGGTCTCAATGGGGTGGTCGGCGGAGACAGTCATGATGGGAGTAGTGAGGAATGGAGGGAGATATGGTAGAGACGATGTAGAGCCGGCCCGCCTGGAACAGAGCAAAAGGTAAGGAAGATGTTGGAGATACGATTCCCTCGGTAAAAGGGAGGGAAAAAAAGAGGAAAGAGGAAAAGGAGAATAAAGATCTACCCAGGCGGTGTGAGGTAACGCGGTAACGCCGGCTAGCTACGGTCGGGGATGAGGAGGAGTGCGCGACGCAGCGATCTGCACAAAGGGGGAGGGAGAGATAAAAATAGAGTTGCAGGTTCAGAAAAGCATATGATGTAGGTGACGCAGGACAGTCTTCTGGAAAGGAAAAAGATAAAACCCAGTGCGAGTGGAAGTGGTCACATATGTTATATGGAGGGGGGTGATGGAGGCCGAGAAAAGGGCGAAGAGGTTTGCTTGATAAGAAGAGGTGATGGGATGGCCAGGACCGGGATATTGGATGCGGAATAATCAGGTACCTAGGTAAGAAGGTACCTACAGGTGCCTACCTGTACGTCGTACGTCGTACGTCGTATAACGCCTCGAGCAAAAATCAAAGATTGCAACTGCAGCGAATGAGTGGCGGCAGTGGGGATCGGAAAGGCGCCAACGACGGCACGCTATAGCGACACCTCCCTTTTTAAGAACAAGCAAAGAAATATTTTGTCCATCAGGTGCTCTGGCTCTTGCCTGCTTTGATGTTAGACTGGGTGGGTAATAGGTAATAGGTACCTTAGGTAATGGATTACAGTGGTGTAACAATCAATGTACTCAAGGAGGGTCAAAAGGGAAGGAAGACCCCGCAATACCACCAGCATAAGGTAGATGTTATTGCATTGTTATGGCAGGTGTAAGTTTGCCAGTCCTCGACCAAGGTACATCATTAATGCCAATTTTTTTTTTAATTTTATTCTTGCCCTTGGTTTGTTTGTTCTTTCCTCTTTGCTCCCCCCATTCCTCCGGGGAATGTCCAAGGGAGTTTAGTTTACCTTAGGTGGTGCAAGGTCTTATTACGGATACAAGTCATGCTTGATTGACTTGTTCGGACACGGCGTTCAGAGTCCGTAAACCTGTCTCCTAAGGTAAGGTACCTTATCCAGGTACCTAGGTAGGTTCCTCGGTAGCAGGTGTAACATGCAAACATGCACAGAATCCGAGAATTGCTCCGGCCGGGTCGGACTAGGAACAGCTCTAGTCAGCAACGTCCGCTTCGGCATAGCAGGCGGACCGCGTCCAAAACTCGATCACGCAATCCCGTGTGTGACCCGGCAATGACTCGATCCATTCGCTGTCAGACCTCCCGTTTTCAGAGTCCCCCATTTTGTATGTACTTGGAAAATGTCGTGCTTTTGTAGGTTTCGCAACAATGTTCGCCAAGCATGTTCTGTGCATTGCGGCTCACGAGGTTCCTGCGGCCGTTCGGAATGTGATGCCGCCAGGAAGATGCCCTTTGTTCTCAGAATTGACTGGGATGTCTTTATACATCGTTCGTGTCTCTACATTACAAATCCTCCCTATGACTTTTCTTTTCGTTCCCTTTCCCTTCCTTGCTTAGAGATATCAACCGGAGACGAGACGAGTCCGAACTTGAGAATAAGCTGATGGAATGCATAATCAAACCCATTTCTGCCCCCTCCCGACAAGGGCGTTTTGGATGAATAATGAGAATTAAACTCGGTACTTCGTGTAACCGCGTTCCCGGATTACGAACTCCCGGGTCGACAATCCGACTCTACGGAAGTCCTTCGTCCTGAAACTTGGTAAAGTACCTTAGGTACTTACCTTATGTATAAGGTAAGGTATAATTACATACATTCCTTGATTCTCACGGCACGATCGCGTATCAACCTTGCAACTGGGGGGATGAGATTCCGCAGTCTCCCCTCATCTCATTTTTGCATCCTATTTCCCACTCCTTGCAGGACGTCAGGTACAACGTACGACAGACCCCTGGCCGTGAGCTTGCTACCTACCTATTCAAGTGTGTTCCTCTCATGGCACCACATTCTGGTCGATGCAGACGCATGTCAACCTTCCCGGCCCATGACGGCCATGTTCGGAACGGTCACTTTAATGACACTGTCCTTTTCTTTTTGCGCTCTCCTAGCGCCATGACCCTTTTTTTTTTCTTTTTTTTTCCAGGTCCTGGTAATCTGTTAATTGCGAGTCCAGAAAGAGCTACATCTTCGCTGGGTGGAAAATAGGTCTGCGTCGAGATCTAGACTGGAATTGTAGCCACAAGTTCGATCCTGGTCGTGACGCTGCCGTCGTCCGACAGCGTCGGAGGGCTTGGGCTCAGCTGAATGAAGAGACGAGAAGTTGTCATCCGGGTAATAGTGCGCCGTCGGTAGTTAGTTCGCCATACTACGAATGCAACATGTAGCACACCCGTGTCTGACTGCACGATATCTGTCGTCATAAGGCTAGCCGGCTGTTCATTGGTTTGCCCCTGACACTCCCAAGCCTCAAAATCTCTCATCGGCGACCGAGCAACCCAGTCACTGATGACGCCGCCCTAGGCACGTTCGACGCATTTGCCACGAGGGATCGTTTGGGTGATTAGTGATTATTCCGGGCCGACAGTCTCTCCGATCGGGCTTCCAATGGTGTAGCCAATAGCATTCCGTATGAGTTATCCGACCGTCTGGCAACTTGGCGACGCGACGCCACAGACCCTGATAAGGTCACAGCCCCCCCCACCTTCCCGAGATCGTGGCTTATTAGCACCGCCCCCCGCAAGCCCCCACTCCCACGAGTGCAAACCACGAGTCCAACGTCCGTCGTCCACGAATCTGGGGATGCCTCCACTCCTATACAACGTACAACGTACTAAACAACAAGTCCATTGCCAGCGCCCGATTCCGTCCAATGCTTTGCCTCGTCCCGATGTGAAGACATCTTCGAGTTAGTATCTGAGTGAGCTATCTTGCTGCGATCTATTCCCGTTCAGAAGCGAACAAACTCGACCGTGCCTTCATACGGCTGCTTCGGATATGCACTTCGGCCTCGACCTTTCTCCTCGTTCCCGGGAGCGAAAGACGTCCTATCCGAATCAGATACCTCTACGCCGCCTGCTTTACCAGTAGTCAAAGTTTCACGAAAATTGAGAAGGGGATCCTTGGCTCAACCCAAGATTCCTCGGCGTTTACCTACCCAACCGCACTGCCGAATACGATGCCACCGAGAAGGTCCCACAAGAAGTCGAGAGCTGGGTGTCGGAGATGCAAGACTCGGAAGATCAAGGTATGTCGGCACGGGGAATGCGTCAATCTCTCGAGAGCTGTATAGCATCTTTCTGACCCATGGTGGCACTCTGGGTCGGAAGAGGATCATCAGTCCGGGAGATAACGATCGAATTGGATGAACTGACGGTGCCACTTAATTATCCAGTGTGATGAGGTTCATCCAAGATGCGGCAATTGCGTCAAACATGGCGTACCATGCGACTTTGAAGCCCCAAGTCTCGTGATCCCCGTCGACGACCCTCCTTCAGCACAGACGCCCGTGCCGTCGCTAGCGGCACTCTCGCCCATTTCGTCCGTCACTACACCTACCCTATCGACAGCCGTCTCCGCTGCCTCCCCCTTTCTACATCCAGTCAGCGATATAAAGACACCGACGCCGATACACGCCTCGCCCGCCGTGTTCGCCGCTGCACCACTCCTCAGGGCGCCGGCGTCTGCACCCATCCGTGGTTCGACGTCTCCCCACAACAGGCTGCTCGAGTTGCGCCTCATCCATCAATACACATCCATGACATCCCGGACCTTGGTCGTCAACTCGCCCATCACCGACGACATCTGGCAAAATACGGTCCCCCGTCTCGCATTCGAAGGTGATGGCGCATCGTACCTCGCCGATGCCATGCTCGCCGTTGCTGCCCTCCATCTCCGCGCTCTTCACCCAGGAGACAAGGACCTCGTCCGCGCCTCGCATGCCTACATGGCCTCCAGCCTTTCCGAGTACTGCGCCTCGTTGAACAAGGGCATCAGCCAGAACAATGCCGAGTCGCTCTTCCTGACCGCCACCCTCATCGCCTTCCAGTCGAGCGCCTCGCGCATCTTCATCCGGGACGAGGCCGACCCCAACGACCCCACCAGCGTCTACTCGCTCCCCCTCTCCTGGTTCCACGCCTTCCAGGGCGTCAAGACCGTCGTCGCCTCCTCGTGGCCCTGGCTGCGCACCAGCAACATCGTCATCCCCATCATCGACTCGCAGCCCGTGCTCCAGCTCGACCTCGACGCCTGCGGCGCCACCTCGTTCTTCGGCCACCTCCTCGAAGGCCTCGACGCCGAACTGTCCGACGAGCCGGAGGAGGAAGCCGACCCCGTCGTCGCCGCCGCCACCCGGCAATCCTACCTCCACGCCGTCGCCGTGCTCAACTGGGCCCACAAGCTCCCGCACCGCGGCGCCGCCCTCGCCTTCCCGGCCACCGTCTCCAAGCGGTTCCTCGACCTCCTCGAAGCCCGCCGCCCCCGCGCCCTCGCCGTCCTCGCCTGCTTCTTCGCCCTCCTCAAGAGCCTCGAGTCCGTCTGGTGGCTCCACGGCGCCTCCCGCCGCGAGGTCATGGGCATCGTTTCCCAGTTCGAGGCCACCAGCCCCTGGTGGTCCCACCTGGAGTGGCCCGTCCGCATCGCCCTCTACGACGGCGCCGTCATCCCACCCGACGTCTGGGGCGCCGACTGGGTGTCGGAGGAGAGCCGCAATGACAAGAGCGCCACCATGATGAATGAGACCTTTGTTAGCCACATTGAGATCCTTTCCGGCTTGCTCGCTAGGGCGCAGGCTTTGCCGCCCGTTCCCATCCCGGCTGATGCGCTGCCTGTATGAGGAGGGTAGTGCAGGGGCAAAGTCTCTTGGCTCGTATTCGACGGCGTTGGGAGAGTGTTTTCTTTCTTTCTTTCTTTCTTTCTTTCCCTCTCTCCCTCTCTTCTCGGTTTTAGTTTGGTTAGGTTGAGCAATGGATGTAACCTTGGGAGTTGGATGGATAGGACCGGAACAGGATCATCAAGTCCATCGGAGTATGGAAAAGCATGTTGGCCAACACCAGGCCACACCATATGGTCTAACGGCATTGAATGCGTTACGGTTTAGACGATCACAGAAGAAACCCCAGTTAACAGAAGATGAATAGAAGATAGGCCTTGCCCATCAGCAGCAGATGGAGAAAAAGAACACGGTCCATGTTTGGGGAGTTATGGCTCGAGAGAGGTCATCGTCGTGGGCCTCTATATAGATTATTCCTATGTAGCATGTCGGGAGGCTTTTCTTCCCGAAGGGACGGATCAACTATTGCATTTCCGTTGTCTTCTCAGTCCACACGAAGTATAAATATGAATACAATGCAGTGGCTCACATCGTAACCTGGTCTGCACCAGGTAAATTGCGCTGGAATCTCCCCTCGGGGTGTATTTTTGTCCGTGCCATTTTCGTACTGTCTTCTCTTCCTCTCCTGTGGTGGGAGCAGCAGACCCAGGGACACCAAAGAACGCCGAACAAGAAGAAACCCATCATGCAGCGTTATACCGAGGAGGGAAGAAGACAATTGTCCGGTAAAGAAGATGGTAAAAAAAAAAAAAAAAAAAAAAGTTGATTTACTTCTTGCTCCGTTTCGGTTCCTCATCATCCACGATATCCTCCATCCCGTCATCGCTCGCCACGTCCCGACTCCGTTTCAAGCCCTTCAGCTTCCTGGTCTGGAGCTGGCTCAGATCCTGCCTGCCCAGATGCACGCGACCAATCTTGTAACCCAGGGCGTCGGTGGTGATGTTCTTCTTCGTCCTCTCCTCGGTACCCTTCGGGTTCCGCATGGCCTCCTTCAGCATGTCCTCGTCGGGCGGCTGCATGCGGCCGACGCGGAAGTCCATGCGCGGGCCGATCTCGTCGACCTCGACGCGCGGCAGGCGGCCGCCGGACCGCTTCGTGCGGATCGTGTAGACGCGCAGCCGGATGCGGGGTTTCGCCTTGCTGCTGCTGCCGCTGCCGTTGCTTTCCGACGCAGACGACTCTTCCTCCACCGCCAGGGAGACGATGTACTGCAGGCCCTCGACGTCGATGGCGTCGGCTTGGTCCCGGTTGCAGAAGAAGTCGGTCAAGAGGGACTTGGCCATGGTGTACTCGTTCGCGACGGGGCTGTCCCAGGCCGTGCCGCTGAAGACGACCATGGGCCGCTGGCCGACGGTGAACTTCTTGCCGTTGAACTGGTTCAGCGAGCGGAAGGTGTCCGGGTCGACGTGCAGCTCCAGCATGTCGAGGACCTTGTGGCCGAATGTGCGGACGAAGGTGATCATGTGCGGTCGCTTTTTGGATGTCGTGCCGAAAAGGAGGAGACTGGCGTCGTTCTTCTCGGAGAAGCTGAACGTCGCGCCGTAGCGGTTAGCAACCTTGACTGGCATGCGGCATTGGGGACGTATGTCTGGGTCAGTGGCCGAGAGCAGATGTCTTACAATTCGAATGATTGTACCGACTCAAACGGCGGCGCAATGTCATTCTTCTTAGAAAACCTATAGCTCAGTGGTTAGTCTGGCGATGAACGTTTACTTTACGTTGCTTCCAAAAAAAGAAGAGAGAAGACGCAAGACCAACTTTTTGGCAAAGGGCAGGCGCATGGCATAAAGGTCATTCATGGCATCCATCACCACTTGCGAACATTTTGTTCCCCTGAGAAACAGAGCCGTCTTCGGGTTTTCGACCACCTTGGGCTGCATCTTTTCCAATGCGCGCTTCGGAAGTGTCAGTATCTGCTTCTGTCCGTACTGTACGGAGGTGGTTCGGGTCGGCTGGAAGTTACCTTGCTGCGCGCATTGCGCGGCTTTCTGTCGAGTTGAAGCACATTAGCAGCCGAAAGTCGACATTCCTGAGCTTCCGGCATAGACTCACATTTGACGAAGCATTTTGTGCTGGAGTTGAGTCCAAATTATGGGTAAGGAAGATGCGCGAGGCCAAGGCTAGATGTCCGGGGATATCGCGTAAAGGGAGGAGGAGATGGGAACGTTGGACGACAATAATAAGGACAAATGTGTCCACAAGCAATTCAGTTCTTTCTTTCGACCTCCAATCTAGGAGGGTCGTAGACTTGGCAGGGAGTGTTGTTGGTATACAGATAGACGGAGCTTGACGATGGATGGTTACGAGATGCATGCACCTTTCAGCTCCGGAAAAAAAAATGTTCTGGAGGTCGGCGTCTCAACTTGCCGACCCCGCGGTGTGGGGCGCATGGTCGCACCAAATCCGCCGGCCCTCTGACACCCACAGCCAGTCGCGTATCTGTACAAGTGCATGTATCTGGACAGATACAAGTAAGGTAACTGGTCAGACTTGACATCTTGCAGCACCTCACTCAGCAGAGAGTTAAGAAGTAATTATTTCAGGGAATTTTGACGAAGTCCGTTGGATCGAGACACTCAACGGTAATCAACTTCAAAGTCTTAGAAACATGTCGAAATTGGTTCTTGGTTCTTGGTTCTTTATGAAGATACCTGGCGTACGGTCTATATGTACCGTGTACCTTACGTGTCAATCGACCCCTGTGTGTTCATGTTGTTCGTTCCGTTTAATGGGAAGGGAAGTACCTTATACGAATTCATCGGGAGGCTGTTGACGAGGTATAACGCCACAGATGCCTGGATACACCGTCGATTAAATATCAGACACAGAGATATATATCCTTTGACCGTACGTGCATCTTCCCTGGGGCATATCCAGTTCATTGCGCCCCCCCCCCCCCCCCCCCCCCCCCCCCCCCCCCCCCCCCCGAAGCCGGAGCGCCATCTTGCCCTTTCCCTTTCCTTTTCCTCCGAATGCATTCCAAAAGAGAAAAAAAGAAAGAAAAAATCCCCCTTTCAACAGACACACATTCCCAACATCGACAGTCAATGTCGATCATCCCTATCCACATAATCCCGACCTCCGGATTTAGGATTCGGGAAATTGAAAAGACAGTGCCACACCAGGCTATACTACACCATGCCATGCATCGCGCCAACTAGCTTGAGGGTATCATCGCAGTAAGAACAAATTCCAAGTGGAACGGGGAAACGGAACGGGCAGAGTCAACAGGTGTGGCCAACGCCTCGGTCGGTTGATCTCAACTCAACTCGCAGCCGCCATGGCAGTATCCCGTTTCGACGAAGCTTCTTGCGCTTGCACCGCCCTTGGTCCCCGACGTACTCCCGCACTCCCCACCCGCTTCATGCGGGAGACGTCATGGGTGAGAACGTTCGCCATGGACAGTACCTCGGGCGCCACGTCCGACAGGCCGGATGCCGAATGCGAGCTATTACCCTGACCGTTGGGCCGGGATACCGCCGGTGGACGCGCGAGCGGTTCGAAGTCGGCAGTCCCGGTTCCCATTCCCGTTCCAGCGACCGACCCCATGTCGGTTTGTGCGGGTATCGGCGGCGCCTTGTGAGAGACGTGGTTCGGATTCGCCCAAGGAGTATTCTTGATGAACTGTTCGCCTGCTGGACCGAGGTTGCCGCCGAGCGACATGGCCGGGTACTCTTCCAATGGCTGCGCCGACGCCTGTTGCGGGGGACGCGAGAATCGCTAGCAGGGCACATTAGCACTTATGACTGGACGCCCCCCGCAACCCGCAACCCGCAACCCGTAACCCTGCGACCTACCCTCATGGCTTCAAAGTCTTCCTCCATCTCCGCACTGCTCGCCCCAAGTATGGCGGGCACCGCAGGGAAGCCCTCGTGTTTCGCGAGCCCTGAGAGGTACGAAACCTCCGTATTGTATGCCACCGCGTTCCTCGTGCGCTGGGCAGGGTCGCCAGGGAAGTGGATGCCATATTCCGGCACGCTATGTGCGCTTCGTCGTGCGTTCTGCGTCGCGAACCACTCTCGGTTGAGTGATTCAAGGCATTGCCCCCTCTTCTCCCTTACGCCTTGGTAGAACTGGCCCCAGATCTGCCCCTTGCGCGCGACCGCCACTCGTTCCAGCGCCGCTATAACCAGTTCGTGCTCTTTATTGATTTGTCGGAGTCTCGCTTCGAGACGTTCGTCTAGGCATTGTTTCATGAGAAGATACTCTGAGTGTGTCGGTGGCTCGGCCCGGAGGGACTGTTCCTCCATCTCGAGATGTTCTAAGCGATCCTTGTAGAGACTGCAGGTAGGAAGTCTCCAAGTTAGTACCATGACAATGAAAACAATGTCACGTCACCCCGCCCCTTTTGCCCATGAGCAGGAAAGGCAGTACGTACCGTTCACGGAAGAGGCCGAATTTCGCCTCGAGCTCGTTCCACTCTTCCAATGCAGCCTGTTTCCTTTCAACTGTGAAGTGCCCGTTAGAACCTATGCAAAATCAGGGGTTGGCAGACTTATCTCTTACGTTCTTCGGCATCTCTTGCCGCAGCCTCTGCCTCCTCTTCTGCTTCGGCTTCGGCCCCATCCTCGGCGTGCTGATCTGCTTCGTCGTCGGCGGCGGTCCCTTCTTCGTGAGTGTCGGTCTCCTGATGTCCATCGTCTGCAGAATCGCCGGCCCTACGCTTGCTGCCATTTCGCGTGGCCTTTTTTGTAGCGGTGGACCTTTTGCTTGGACTGGCAGTCTGGCGTACCGTCTTGGGCTTCCCTATGGGCGGAGGCTCGTGTGTGTCTTCGATCCCAGACTCCGCGCCAGTAATGTTACCACTGGGGTGTGTTGATAGCTCGTCGTCTTCCTCCCCGTCCTCGCGAGAGGCCATGTGTTTGAGTCGGTCGGAGGCAGCCATTGAGCTGGTACGCTTTCTGAGGGGTTGGTCGGAATCGGATTGTTCGGCGCCGAGCGACCGTTTCCGCTTCTTGCTCTCCGAAGAGTCCTGGCTGTCTCGCTCAGGCGTGCTTTCGACGAACTTGCCAGGTTTAGTGGGTGATGCTGTCTCGCCACGACGACTCGGTGTCATCGAGACGTCGCGGTCAGACAAATCATCGTCTCCGTCTCCTGCACCATCGACGACAGAAAACGTCTTCTGGAGCTTGCTTGGAGTGCTCTGAAATATTTGGGTATCACTGTATTGCCTGGCGATCACGTCCCGGTGTCGGTCGGATTGAGGGGTATCGTACAGGCGTTCAGTTTCCGCCTCGGTATCGTTCGCTTCGGAGAGGTTGCTGTCAGAATCAGACGCTTGGCCGTCTTCTTCTCTGTGGCGGCTGGAATCGATGTGCATGGCCTCGAGTGAGGAGTCATCCTCGTCCCCGTCATCCACGTCACTCAGGGGACTCGAGACGTTGCTGTCTTGATCTAACGCCGCCTGCTCTGGACCGAGCGACGGCGGCATTGGCCCTGCAGCCGCCATGGCAATGCAAGATGGAATGATGCAGCGCGTCTGAAATTCCTCGGATTAAAATGCTGCTTGAAATCCACGGCGGGCTTGGATGGGAGAGGAGAGGTTTTTTCCTTTTTTTTGCGCGCCCGGGTCAGGTCAGGTAGCTGAGAAAAGAGGAGAGCCGGCGTATTGTGGGTAACAAGGATCGCGGGGAGAATATCTTGGAGAAAATGAGATGAATCTCGCAGGGGAAAGAAAAAAAAATCCAAGGAAGAAAACGCCTTGACGTAAATGTAGAGGTGATAATAGAAGCTGAGAGGTGTCGGGAAAGCGGTGTCAAGGTTGGTGATCGTGGTGGGAATCGTGGGAAGCGTGGGAATCCAGAAGCGTTAGTGTGCACCTGCCACTTTCTCTATGGGATGCGCTCATCTGCTCCTCTTCTCTCGCTCCGGCTACGCACCAGCATCTCTTCAGGACGGCAGAACAAAACTCGGCCAGTCGCCAGAAGGAAGGCGGTGAGATGAGGCCCAAAAGCGGGCCGGTTTCTTGGCGGTATGGTTTTCGGCAAGACAAGGCAAAGTGAGCGATAGGCTAAAGCTGTGAGCTTATCGGAAAAACTTCGCCCTCGCCCTATCAAGTCCCGAGCCAGGTCTCACTTTCCTGGTTCAGAACAGTTGCGACAGTTGCGGTACGTACCTTATTACTTTGTACGTTAATAGCAAAATCCCGTTGCCAGCTGATATACCCCACTAAAAAGTTTCGCTGGACTTGATCGGTGTGAAGCTCCTCGTATCGTTGATTTTCTGATGAGAAGTCTCTGAATGAAGAAATCATCCATTTTTATAGAAGACCGTCGCAAAGCAGCAATTCTAGCAAGAAACTCCCGCGATCATGGCAAAAGGGTATGTGACATCCTCGGCATATCATGTTGGTATTCGTTCGCTAATTGACCTTGCAGATCTTCTTTCCCGTTGGCGGTTCCCCCCAAGGTCATCGACCCCACGCTCGATGCTCTCTTCTCCTCAAGCGTATGTGTCTCGCCTAACGATGCAAAGATGGTCAAGGCGGGATAAACAACTTACAGTCTTACAGGCAGGACCAGCAAAACCTCTCCCCAAGTCGCGCTACTCTGGATCACTCGCTTCCCGGCCACAAGAACCTGTCGAGGAATCCGATGAAGAATCAGACCAGGCATCGGACAGTGAGGAAGCCAGTGGCGAGGGCGAGGACGGGATTGATTCCAGTGAAGACGGTTCGCAAGAAAATGACGACGAAGACGAGGAATTGCCAGACGCGGAAGAAGCAGAAGACTCGGAAGATGACTCTTCCGACAACGAAGACGCCGCGATTGAGGATCGACTTCTAGGCCCTCCCAGGAAGAACAAGGATCGCAAGCGCAAGCGAGACGAGACCGACGATGTTGAGGGAAAATACCTAGACAAGTTGACGCGATCAGAAGAAGCGGAACACCAAAAGGAGAAGCGCAGAAGGAGTGAGGCCAAAGCTGCGGAAAAGGAGCAGGCATCGTCTGCGGCATCCTCTCCTTCCGACGAGGAGATGGAGAGTCAAGATGATAACAATGATCAATCTGATGACGAGCCTATCCCCATGCATGAAAGCCTCGTCGCGAAACCCAAAGAGAAAGGAGCCAAGCAGCCTGACCTAGAGATCGAGAAGGCGAACCGCACTGTTTTCCTCTCCAACGTCGCCACAAGCGCCAGCACGTCCAAGTCAGATCGGCGCACACTCCTAAAACATCTGTCTTCTGTTCTTGGAGAATCCGAGAAGATCGAGTCCATTCGCTTCCGATCTCTTCCCTTCTCGACCTTGACCATGCCCAAGCGCGCCGCCTACATCACCCAGGCCGTGATGGAAGCCACCACCAAGTCGGCCAATGCCTACGTCGTTTATCCCACACCGGCCGCAGCCCGCAAAGCTGTCACCGAGCTCAACGGGACAGTCGTGCTTGACCGCCACGTTCGAGTGGACAGTGTCGCGCACCCTACGCCCATCGATCATCGCCGGTGCGTCTTTGTCGGCAACTTGGGCTTCATGGACGATGAGACGGTGCTCGACCAGACGGCCGAGGGGGAGGTAAAGGAGCGCAAGCGGACCAAAGTCCCCGCCGACGTTGAAGAAGGTCTCTGGCGAACGTTTGGCAAGCATGCAGGAAAGGTCGAGAACGTTCGCGTAGTGCGCGATCCCAAGACTCGTGTGGGCAAGGGTTTTGCTTATGTTCAGTTCTACGTAAGCCTTTTGTTTTTGTTCCCTTCTTTTTCCTCCTATGCTGCCGAAATACTTCAACCCGGGCGGCAAACAGCGAGAAAAAGGGAAAAGCTAACATGGAAAAAAAAATTAAAAAAATTCACAGGACATCAACGACGTGGAATCCGCCCTCCTCTTAAACGAGAAGAAATTCCCCCCATTGCTGCCTCGCACTCTCCGCGTCACTCGCGCCAAGGCCCTGCACAAGACCGCCCTCATCCAGCAGCGTAAGAGCAAGCCCGCTGCGACCATCAAGCGTGCCAAGCCCGACGGCGAGCAGAAAAGCGCAGCGTACAACCCCAAGGTGACGCCGGAGCAACTGTCCATGGCTGGCCGCGCCGCCAAGCTGCTGGGCAGGTCCGGCGCCCTGCGCGGCAAGGGAGGCAAGGGAGGCAGCGACATGGACCGGTCCGGAAAGCGGAAGCCCGGCCCCGCCAACGGGTCGGGCGTCGTGCCCAAGACGCCCGAGCAGATCATCTTCGAGGGTAGGCGGGCTAGCGAGAAGGACGGACGGCCGAGCGACCTGAAGCTAGGGAAGAAGGTCAAGAAGGGCCGCGTGGCCAAATCCAAGGGCCGCACTGCTCGGTCGTCCTCGTGGAAACAGAAGGGCTCCAAGTGATGCATGCTCCTGGGAAGGGGGAAGTTGACCGTGGTACATATGTGAATATCACTTGGGGGTCGAGTAGCCCATATCAGGCGCCAAAAAGCTGTAGCAACCATAAGAGAAAAGCGACATATCAGTTGATCGTGGTTTTGATCTCCCAATTATGTATGCATTTAGAAAAATAACCTGCCCCCGAAACAAGTTCGCAGGTAAATGTCTACCGGGGCCTTCTAAGCCAACAAATGCCTTGGTTCTGTTATAATACGCAACTATCAAATCGCATTTCTCTCATATAGCCGTGGTGAACATCTATGAACCGAGTCTTTCGCGCAGGAAACTCCAGGCTGGCTGAGGGAATAGAAGCACAAATACATGCGTCATGCTGAACGCGATCGTAATAAAAAAAGTTTATTAAAGGTGAAGGGGGACTCCAAGCTCCTCCGTCCAACTGGTGGTGATAGGTTACGAAAACGCGGGGAGCGGGTAAATCAATCCCGGTCTGGAACACGTGCGGTTCGGCGGCGGCAAACAGAACAAGAACAGGGGAATAAACCACCGAACCGACGACCTCGACGGCTACCAAAAAGAAAAACGCGCGAGCAAAGGACCAAAAATCCAGGCTCCGTTTCTGTTGTTTGTTCATCAATTCATTCTCCCCCGCGGCCATCAATGGTCTGTGTTTTCTGTCGTTTGTACAGAAGAGACAAGGCTTTCTTTTCCATGACATCCACCGGCATCTTAGTATTCGGCCTCGGTCTCGTCGGGCTCGAAGGAATCGGCGGCGACTTCCTCGTAGTCCTTCTCGAGAGCGGCAAGATCCTCCCGGGCCTCGCTGAACTCGCCCTCCTCCATGCCCTCGCCGACGTACCAGTGGACGAATGCGCGCTTGCTGTACATGAGGTCGAACTTGTGGTCCAGCCTCGACCAGGCCTCGGCAATGGCGGTGGTGTTGGAGAGCATGGAGACGGAGCGGTCGACGGAGGCGAGACCACCGTCGCCGGGGGCGGCCGGGACAGACATAGGCTTCTGGTAGTTGATACCCAGCTTGAAGCCAGTGGGGCACCACTCGACCAGGTTGAAAGACGCCTTGGCCTTGAGGGCAGCGATGGCGGCGTTGCAGTCGCGAGGAACGACGTCGCCACGGTAAAGGAGGGCCACAGCCATGTATTTGCCGTTGCGGGGGTCGCAGACAACCATCTGGTTGTTGGGCTCGAAACCTGTCCATTTTTGTCAGCATCTGCATTACCAGCCACCCCGCGGTTCACGTTGTAGACCAGAAACCGGTGGAAGTTGTGGTTTGTTTCGCATATGACGTACACTGGAAGGTAAGGTCGTGAACCTTGAAGCTCTCGTGCTGGCTCTTGGAGGCAGAGACAACCGGGGCGTAGCTGATCAGGGGATAGTGGATACGAGGGTAAGGGACCAGGTTGGTCTGGAACTCGTTCAGGTCAACGTTGAGAGCACCGTCGAAACGAAGGGACGAAGTGATCGAGCTGACGACCTGAGCGATCAGGCGGTTGAGATGTTCGTACGAGGGGCGGGGGATGTCCAGGTTGCGGCGGCAGATATCGTAGACAGCCTCGTTGTCGACGAGGAAGGTGCAGTCCGAGTTCTCGATGGTGCTATGGGTGGACAGGACAGCGTTGTAGGGCTCAACAACGGCAGTCGAGACGCGAGGAGCGGGGTAGACGGCGAACTCGAGCTTAGACTTCTTGCCGTACTCGGTGGAGAGGCGCTCCAGGAGGAGAGCACCGAAACCAGAACCAGTGCCACCACCGAAGGAGTGGAAGATGAGGAAGCCCTGCAGAGAGTGGCAGTTATCTAGATTTCAAGATTAGAGATCGATACCTTATATCCTCCTTCGCGCTGCCCGGTCACCGGGTCTTGAATGTTAAGCAGGCGCCGAGGCAACGAGATTCAGCCTTACCAGCAACACGGCGAATACGGTCCATGACATTGTCGACCATCTCCTTGCCGATCGTGTAATGGCCACGGGCGTAGTTGTTGGCCGCATCCTCCTTGCCGCTGATCAACAGCTCGGGATGGAACAGCTGGCGGTATTCACCGGTGCGGATCTCGTCGATGGGAGAAGGGTCCAGATCCACGAAGATAGACCGGGGGACGTATTTGCCATTGCTCGTCTCGGTAAAGAAGGTCTCGAAGGAGCCAGGGTCGCCGACGTCCTTGGCGGTAGGACCGGGGCGACCATCGGGACCAAGGCCATGCTCAAGAAGATAGCTGGATGGTGACGGTTAGAGACAACCAAGAGCACGCATAGCCGAGACGTTTAAGAGTTCTCGCAGATCTGATCGACGGATCGAGTGGGGAAAGAACGTACAGCTCCCAGGCCGAGTTACCCAGTTGTGTGCCAGCCTGGCCGAGGTGGAGGTGAAGAATCTATATTGGAACATCCACATGTCAGTGTCTCCATTCCAGCGTGCGGGAGAGAAGCGGCAGGATCGCGAGTCAGGGGCCCAGGTCCGGAGATGTGAGCCCAAGATAGTCCTCTAGTTCTCTAGTTCTCTAGTTCTCTCTCCAACTCAGCTACCTAGGGGGAGGGGGGCCCGGTAATAAGGGGCTGGTGGTTAAAGCAAAGAGGCAAAGCCAACGTACCTCGCCCTTCATGGTTGACAACAGCGAGATGAGATACCAGGTGTAGAGACAAGGAGAGAGAACAAGAAGATAAAATCAGGCGGATATCACGCGCACAGCGCCAGGCGAGGTCCAAGAAGGGGAGGAAGAAGAGAGATTGGTATGGTAATAGCCAGTGGATTTCGGGTTGTTGAAGGGGCCGGGTTGTTGTGGGCTTTTCTGAGGCGGGGCACGTCAACATGGACCGCGATAGGGGGGAAGGAAGGGGGTAAATAACTGCCTATAGTGATTCTAGTGAACACCCCCCCTGCACACGCCGAGTTAGCGTTGGAGCTGATTGTACGGGATACCTTTAGTCATATAGATTTCTATGAGCCGACAGAAGTAGCTGGTACCCTTCACCGCTAGATGGCCCCTGCATCCAACTACCACCTAATCTGGAATTGGTGGTTCCTGGACTGAAGTCGTCGTGCAAGCTTCTACGTAGGTATCGATAAATACGGTAATTATAAATTTATTCGTCCGGCTCTGGGCAGCTGGTATTCAGGTATTCAAGCGAAAATGACCCGTCATGCTCGGGCTCTCTCCCCACGTTCGTTGAATATTATTCTCAACCTTAGCCAAGCACCAGCCATCCCCACTACCTACCTAACAATACCTTGAGACCAAAGAAAGCCTCAGGCGGCTGTAAACGGAGTCGACACAAAGGATAGATGACCTTCCAACTCGCAAAAAGCCCAGGACTACAGAGATATCGAGATAGCAATAGAGGCTCCTCACATAAGGTCCTCAAATAAGCGGGGTGTCTTCTCCCTCCCATATAACCAACGGAACTATCGTGACTGCACTAACCTCATTCACTCCACTGGGAATTTCGACATATCTCGGGCTGGTTGATGAAAGAAGAGGCGAGAACCAATGGCTGTCTGTAGGTGTACAAAAAATATATTTACATATAAACCACATAACTCGCCCCCGACACCTCGGCCCATCTCTGGTCAAAAGGGACCTGGCTCAATACTGACTCCTGGCGCCACGAGCCCTCTATCCCCTCCATCGGACTGTTCGTACTTCGGAGGCCGCCTTTTCGCCCAGTGCCATGTATCGTACAACTTCGATTGCATGCGAAGCGGAGAGAGAAAATCGGCCCCGCAGGCTCTCAGCTAGACTTGGGTTGTTGGGGTTGCCTCGGCGTATCAGGTACTTTGACGTCTTCGAAATTATCTTGGCCAACAGCCTTGATTGTGTACCAGTCTAGTCATTGCAGTCGTCAGCGGCCACGGTCAGGGTCGGGAACGGAGAGCGTCAGTCCTTCACGTACAAACAGTCCCAACAAGCGCAGTTAAGCCCAGTCCCACCACGGTATTTCTGACGAGATATGGCTTCCGCGCTCTGATCAAGGCCGGGCCTTGCCTCAGATTGCGGTCGTAGTACGACGATACCCGTGGCCTACAACTCGATCAGCCCACTTCCGAGCAGAGCATTCGACTTTCCACAGTCACCCACCCGACCATGATGGGAGTTCCCAATGTTTCAGGAGTGCTGGGGAGCTCGTATGAAGCGTCAGTTGGTGACTCGAGGGCGCTTGGAGGTTGAAGAAGTCTTGGTCAAGAGTCGTTGGTGAAGTCGTCGGTGGTGAAGTCGGAAAAAAAGGCAATGGCGCCGATGGGATGGAACTACACTACAATTGAAAGTTGCCGATCATAAAGCTCAACGGAGAAATGTCGGAATATCTGATACTGACATATCGAAGTACCAGCTACTTCCCCGTTGTATTTACACGTCCTCATCTTTCGCCCAAAAATCAATCTGAACCCTGTGGGAAGAGCACAGTCAGGGGGAATTGTCATCTCGTATTTGCGCGTTATTGAATAATGTTTGTCCCGAATTTCTGACGTACGTCGGGTCGGTGTAGTTATGACACATGGCAAACCTCTGAAGACATATGTCGCGGCTACATGTTCCCCAGTCACAAGGGTCCTCGCCAGCTCCAGGTACCTATGTAGAATAAGGCTTGCCCTGCGGAAGGTGACGCATTGACCACCTACGCAATGGCTTTCCCGTCGCGTATTCTGGTTCGAAGCTTGTCCATCTTTTAACCTACCCTACCTACCTTATTAACACACTACACTTCAGTTCACAGCACCCCGGGACAGATCAAATCCAGGCAAACATCCAACAACACTGTTTCATTGCACCGACGAAATTTACCGAAATCTTATTATCATCAGAGAAGACAAACAGTACTAATGCCAGCGAGGTGTGCATGCTGAGGATCCTGAACGCTGAGAAAGTTTTGCGATTCTGGGCCAAGGCCTGCTGCTCTGCTTCGCTACGCGCAAACCCGATAATGCCTTCATCTTAACACCGCATCAGCCGCATTCCTTGAACACTTCTTCTCCGCCCCATTCAGACTTCTTCGACAGGTCATTCGTCGTGCACGTCGACATTGAAATACCCCTTACCTTCTTCTCACCATTGCCTGCCCAACATGCCAGCTCCTCAGCTTTCTGTCAGCGACCAAATACGGCAGCTCAACGACGCGCGAAAGTTGGTTTTGGGCGACGTCAAGTACTATTCAAGCGTTATAAAGAGCATTCTACCCATCATCTCCCCGTCTGCCCACATCGAATTGCGAAGATGGGGTGTCGATTTTCTGGCCGAGGCCTTCGCAACACCAGCGATCCCCCTTGGAGACAAGGAAACCTTGCAGCCCTTTATTCTCGAAACATTAAAAGACACACTCGAGGACCCCGGACAGGATATACAAGTTCTCCGTAGTGCCATTCAGGCGGCTGCGAGTATATACCCGCTGACACTACGATGGATGTGAGTCGGAAGTTTTTGCTCTAGATTCTCAAACAACCTGCTCGTGCCAGCAGAAGCACTGACAACGTCGGGCAGCATCAACAACTCGTACGATAACATGACTTGGGAGCACATGACCAAGATCAAAGCCAGGATTCTACAGATATGGGAGAAGGCTGAGCCGTCAGTCAGGATATGTTGCGTCAAGTTTGCGCAGCGCGTTGTGCTGGCCCAGTCACCTGTCAATCCACAGGAGCCTAGGGTACGACCTCAGGATATCCTAGAGATAGACCGGGACAAATACACTGACGTGCCCGTTGCAGAGAGGCGATTCCCTCGACATCTCCCTAGACAAAGTACCGCCCAACCATCAAACCCTCGATGTTCGTACCTTAGAGGCTGAAGCAGCCGGTCTATTAGATCGGATTCTGGGGGGGTTGCAAGATCATAGCAGGTGAGGAACTGCGACCGACCGCCTAGACCTGTTATGCGCTAGCCGCCAGTGACTAACGGGCGGTATGATTTCTGTGTAGCGACGCCCTCCTCGTAGATGCCATTCTCAACTCCCTCGCCATCCTCGTTCGGACGCGACCCAATACAGTGAACAGGATATTCAACGCCATCTTCAACTTCAACCCTTTCAAACTAGCCAATTCACCAGTGACCCCCCGCAACCGAGTGCTCATCAAGTCTATGGAGAAGACTACGCGCATGCTCCTGCTTCACATTGCGAAACGGCATGTTACCAAACCCCGTCATCTCGTACTGGTAGATCTTTTTTTTTTCTTTTTCTTTGGCTAACGTCCGATATGTAGTGATCCGCATAGTCCTCTTGCTCAGCGGATACAACAGCACGTGGAGGGAATGATGCGGATGCGCAGCGAGATACTCGAAGAAGCAGGGCGGAAACGCGCGCTAGAAGCACAATCCGCCGGAGCTGACGCCAAACGGCAACGGACGCAAGCACCGCCGGCTAACCCTGAGCAGCTTCAAGTTGACCCCTTGCCACCTGGCCGCCATAACTTGGCCGACGTTTATACCCTCAGTGGTGGTGAAGGGCTCAAGGGTTTTGACATTTCGACGGTCCCCGCTGCCATGGTCGCGAAAATCAACGTATCTACATTGGCAAGGATCAATCCGCAACTCCTGTCCAAGGCCGTTGAGGTATGTCATACCGACTTTCTTGCGTCCGAGCGCGTTGTGCAGCTGACACGGATTCTTCTTGTAGGGGATAAAAGGAAGGTTCGCCGCTCTGGCGGCGATGCCCATCCCAGAACTGGATCCGAACACGGCACCTCTGGGTGTCGACGAGGACGAGGACGACGACTATGAACCCGACTTCTTTGCGGCTGAGGATACAGAACAAATTTTGAACAAACTCGACGGCCAGGCGAATGACCAGCCCGATGTGACGGAATTGTCTCTCAAGTCTTTCAAGTTACCGCCGCCCACCCCATTGACACCCGAGGCGGCGCTCGGCGGAGGCCAGGGCTCCGTTTTGTCACTGCTCGAGTTCGTCAAGACGCTTGAGGACGTCAACAAGCGGCCACGGTCTGGCATCAATAGGCTGGCGGCCGGTAGCAACGACAGAGAATCGTGGATTGCCATCGTGACGCGACTGGCAAGCCGGTGTTCTGCCGAGGAAGGTGAAATCTCCATCAAGGACGAGTATAGCGATTCCCCGGCCCCGGCTATTCTCGGCGACAGCATCCGGGAGTCCCTATACACCTACGTGCTGGAAGACTTCCGGAGACGAATCGACGTCGCTATTACCTGGCTAGCGGAGGAGTGGTATAACGATCGAATGCAACAGAAGGAAGGGGGACACCCACGTCTTCACTACGAAAAGTGGGCGCTGAAGCTCATCGACGGGTTTTCCCAGTACCTCCATGCGCAAGATAAGGTGTTGACACGGTTTCTCGGCGAGATCCCAGACCTGACGGCGGCTATCTTCTCTCGCGTGAAACTCATCTGCCGAGATCCTTCAGTGGTGCCACTGGCGCTGACGAGCCTACTATATGTGGTAATGATGCGGCCACCAGCCAAGGAGCTCGCACTCGACACTGTGCAAGAAATATGGCAAGAGTGTAAGTCAGACACTAATCCTTGTTTCCGTTCCTGTCGTTGTCTGATGCGTAGCTGACATGTGTTTTTTTTGCTTAGACGAAGAGGCGCGTCCGATGGCGGGCAAATACCTGGCCAAGTTCCGGCCGGCCTTTCTGGAGGCGGCCACCCGGGACGCAGAAAATAATGGCACAGCAACCTCTTCCACCGCTGTCGCTGCGGCGTGAGGCAGCCGGGGGGGGGGGGGGGGGGGGGGGGGGGGGGGGCGGGCATGTAACCTGCAACCTACCTCCGTACGACACTTAATCTGTTTCGTTTCGGTCTCACAGCGCCGCGCCACCATTATTAGCATTGGCGAGGATGGTACTTGACGTTATGGAGCTAATCCCTCCCTTACCTTTTCTGATGCTCCCCCACCGCAACGGGACTCGGGGAATTCGGATCGTCTGGGAACTGGTCTGATTCTGGTGTCTGCAATGGGACGGGGTCGCAAGGAAAAAAGAACGCGAAGAGGGACTATCGGAAGGGGTGTGTATTTTGGATGGGGCACGTCTTCAAGGCGGTATCCAACGGAGGTGTCGTTCGCCAAGCCCGACGACATAATCCGTAAGAATACTTCGTGGGAATCTCGGAAGAACCAGTTTACATTGAACAGAGACTCACACTACACAGGAGCGGGAGGGTGATAGGATAGGTCTTACTCGTAGGTCAGGAAAAGCAAGTCACAAACAATACCTACCTTGGTTAGGGCCAAGCTCATTGGCCTGAAAGATGAAGGGAACGATAGGTAGTGTAAGGTAGTTCGTATATTTCAGGCCGACTTGAGGTCGGGTTTCTCGAGTTGCTGAGAAGGCGGCGGCAGCTCATAATTACAAACTGTGAAGTACCTTACAGACCAGACGCCTAGAGCTTATGAGGTAATTTAACAGGGGCAGACACGCTGACAGGTCCCCCAGCTCATGACCTGTCCGTGCTGGTGGGACGCAACGAGGCTCGAAAGTTGTTTTTAGTGGCTGCTTTAGTGGGGCGGGAAAAAGACGGTCATTGCGCTGCGGGCCGGCCAGTGTACGTTGTATGTACGTGTACGGGAACTCAAATGTCCTGTCCCCAAAGAAACCAAAGAAACCAAAGAATACATGCACTGTAAGGTAAGGTACCTGACAGACCCAAGGTACTCAATCCTGTACCTGGCCGAGAGTGGCAGAAGGCGGCTTTCATCAGAAAAAGACTAATAATGGGCGACGTGTTTCTTCTCCTCCATCCTCCTTCACAATTAACACCGTTCGCTCATTTTCAGGTTTGTTCTTGGCTGAATGGCTTCAATTACATTCTCCTTTCGAATTGTACTTGTACTAACTCGCTTCGGTTCCCATTCAGGTTCTATTTCGATCACTGTCGCTCCCCTTCCGATTTAGCCAGCGATTAGTTGAATACCTAGGTATCTACCTATCCCCGTCACTCTCTCGATAGACGAGTCGCTCGTGTCCAAAAACGCGGCCGCCACTGGATTCTTCATAGCACAGCAGCTGCTGTGGACTTCTTCCCATGCTGGGAGGTGGGCAATAGACATGCGAAGTCGATTACAGAAGTATCGAAAATCCCATGGTTCTTCTAAATCGATAGACATATCCATCAACTCTACGGACAAAGACCTAGGAGACGGTATGGAAACCCCTTTGTCGCTCTCTTCAACTCGTGTCTCTGCTTTGCTATATTGGTCTCAACACGGAAAACAGAACCGCGTAGCAAGGTTCAAACATAATAGCATCATCGCCACTATGGTTCATGCGAGAGCAGCCAGCTAACAGCTTGATAGCCACCCGACAAACACCAGCATCACAGCCCGGCGAACCACCATATTTACCAAATGCACCGTCAACCCCGAGCCCTACAACTGCCATTACCTCTTCCCGAAGCGTGAATCGTCTCCAAAACAACCACGCTACCCTCAGCTCCCCAACGCCTTCCTCACATGCGACTCCTACCATGGTTCAGACCATCCGCACCGTACCCAGCTTCGGAGACCCCAGCGACACCAGTTCCGACGCCCCCTCTCGTACCTCGCCCTTCTCCAGCTCGGTCAACAGCAACGCGAGCAGAATCACCATGTCGTCGTCCCACCAAGAAAGAGCCTCAGACGTCCGATACAGCTCGCAAACGAGCAACGGCGACGCCACAATACGTGCGATGGTCTCCCCGATGAGGCAGGAATCAGAAGAAAACCCGGGCGCGTGGGACTCGACGATCGGGAAAGCCGGGTTGGGAAAGACGGGCCGGGTGATCAACAAGCTCGTCAGCGACAATGACGCGCTGAAACGCGAAATCCAACTCGAACGGCTGCGGGCGGACGAGGCCAAGCGGGAAGCCAAGGTGGCGGAGGAGCGGATGGAGCGCATGATCGGCGAGCACGAAAGCCAGCTCCTCGAGGCGTCGGTGACCAAGACACTACTGGCCCGCAAGGAACGGCAGGTCGAGACGCTGATGTGGGCCGTGGGCCACGAGAAGCAGCGGGCGGCCGAGGCGCTGGAGCGCGAGAGCAACTGGCGGGCCGAGATGGAGAAGACGCGGGTGGCGACGACGCGGCAGGTCGAAGAGGCCAACACGTACGCGGCGCTCATGGAAGGGCGGTACAACGCCATCTCGTCGCACTGGCGGGAGCAAGGCGAGGAGGTGAAGCGGGTCCATCGGAAGCTCAGGGGGGAGATGGACGACCTCGTGGCGGAGAGGCGGCGCGACGACGAGAAGATATCGACGCTCCAGGAGCTCTGCGACCAGCAGGACGGCAACATCCGCGAGCTGAAGCGGCAGCGGGACGAGATGGAGGCCAAGTTCGAGGAGTACAAGCGTCAGCAGGAGGAAGCGCTGTCGGACATCAAGACCCACGCGGCGGAGAGGGAGGCCGAGCAGGAAAGGATGCTCCAGGAGACGAGGGATGTGCTGAACAAGTTGAAGTGGGCACTGAACGTGAAAGAGAACGTCAAGGATGCGGGCTGAAGATGGCCGTCATCTTCCCTGGCGTTCCACCCTGTTTTTTCTTCCCCTCCTCACGACTCACGACAACAACCAAGGTTATAGAAAAGAGAGAGAGAAAAAGCCTTCCCACGAACGAGAATATCGCATCGGATCTCGACATTGTTTCGCTGTCTTATCGAAATTCCCTCGGTTCCCACGGGCTTCACAGAAACGACGAAACGAAAGAAAAAAAATTAGATATACGTACGCGGTGCCAGGCATGTTCTTCATTTCTAGACAGGATTCCAAAGCAGGGAAACGGATTTGAGGGGTTCTCGGCAGGGGAGACTACTAGGGGGCCGACGAATAACGGGACTTTCCTATGCCCGTCGCCGGGACGAGAAAGGGTTCGGACCACCTCTCCAATATCAATCACGGTGGGAGTCGCTGGCGTTGAACGGAATTGTACCTTACGGTTTAATGGTTTTTGTCTTTCGGGATCTGATGACAGGCTCGACAGCACGCAGAACAATGTATATAAGGTACTGCTGCACTTTATATCTGGTTTCCAGACAATGACTGATACCAGGGAGGGATTGGCGGCACCCATGCCTGATGAAACGGCCTCATAATAACGGAAGGGAATTGATACATCTTGACTGCGAATCTCGCGGCATTGGAGAACATCATCGTCTTGGGCCCAACGGAATATCAGGCAACCTAAGTCTCCTGCACGCCATGAGCGATGGACGTCGCTTGCTTCACAGGTTTCCCCTGGCCCTAGCATGGAAAGAGAGCACACAAATTCCCCGGAGTGTCTGCCTCTTCAGCAGTTCATTACAAGTACACTATTGGGTGAGGCTATTTCGACTGGAGTCAAGGTGCCGACATGAAGATGTTTTTAACGTGGATCGTGGAGGTGACGACCATATATTGAAAGGAGGAAGCCATTCGTCAACGATAATTAGAAGTGAGGCGACGGAGACTTCCTTCTGTCATGTCTTGCAATTTAGAGAGCTTAGCTCTGCTCCCCAACTCGCCCGACGCCTGCGTTGTCCGGTTCCCTAGGGATAAGATGATTGCCGGATCCTCCACTTGAATGCAGGCCGACAAGCCTGGTTCATGGCTATTGTGAGTCATAGCATAAAGAAGAGATGAAACACCACGATGGTAGATGTGGCCGATGTTTCTGAAACAAAACATGGGGTAGGGAAACACTGTCGTGGGAAGATCGAGTTCTAATTAGTGTAGGCTGCTTTCTGCATTCATCAGTCCGTCGTTCGCCCGCATCTGTCTATCCTCGGGACGGAGTACGGACGCAGGGCCGTTGCGCATGCCAAGACCTTCAATCCTTATTTATCAACCAACCGAGTGGATGGCACGACAATTCGCGTCCCGATTGGATGGAACCTCACGGCGTCGCGTCGAGATTGGCAGCTCACCGTTGGGCGCGAAACTGGTAACCAATGGCAAGCCAGAGAATGTGTGTACCTCGTTTTGAGCCAATGCCGATACAGAACAGCGCCGTCGCGTTCCTGTATATTCCCGTACACGTATATTTTCCATCGCAGGCGCTGGGATCGTAAAACGTGGCAGCTACGCGCCAGGAGTTTCGAGGCTGTGCAATGGTGACCTGTTCCGTTCCCGTTTCTCTCGACTTTCCCGCGTCCCGTTTTAAGAACTATCCGTAGATTCCTTTTTTTTATGGGGACATGATCTAGACCTCGCAGGGGAATTAGGTAACCGTTCGAGCCTCCCGTCCTCCACTAATCAACGGCCGAGTCCAAGTACCAAATTTCTACGTATTGAACGGCGCTTTGGCTTAGCGCTCGCCGCCGTCGCTAAAACAAAGCCAGACCGCGGCTTACCGTCGCGGCTGCATGGTGTACGTGCACGCATCGCTTCAGGTTCAGGCTCACACAGTCAGCTCTGTGAGGCTCCGCTGCGGCGGCAAGTGAAGAGAACCGGCGCACAAGAGACATTAGGGCAACTTTGCGCTTTCATGCTGGATCCCGTGCTGCGAACATTGTCTGAGAGGGAACTAACGGCGGCGGATTCGGGGGCGGCCCGGTAATGATGACACAAGTCTTAGACAAAGCCATAGTTGACGTCTCACAACGATGCCTCCGGGTGGCTGGTGGGAAGTACAGGTATTAATTACACGGTAAGGAACAATTGCGCTCAATGTCAGCTGTGCAGTTGTAATTTTGATGGACGGGACAGGGGCCCAGCAGCGCGCCAGCTATGTCGTCTGTGTAAGCGCCGTGCGGACGGCATCTAGCCGATGGGCGGTTACAAGGGAAGCTCGGACGCCGCCATAAACGTTCAGGTACAACGTACGGCTTTTGGTGGGGCTGGAAAGTGGCGGCTAAGGTAGGGTCCATACACTGAACCACTTCTCTCATTACGGGACAGACAGAGTGCCCAGTGCCCGGGCAGTTCAGGTTCGATTTTTTCGTATCCATATGGCAAGCTCATTCTATACATTGCCGCTCGGCTGGGGGAAATTGCGAAGGTACACGGAGTATAGACAATAAGCCAAAGATGCGCTGGCCAAGTGAGGATCCGTACCAGCGTCTCTGACGGTGAGCTGGTTCTCGGCTAAGCTAATCCTCAGTCCTGTCACGGTGATGGTTCACGATTCTCATCTCTGCTGATTTTGGCAATGTTTGTCCGTCGCGTCGAGTGGTATCTGAGCGCGTTCATATCACGGTGGACGAGGTCGAGGGACGAGGGCGAGTTACTATGGTGACCGCGTTCAGAGTTGAGTCGTCAGCATCAACGAAGTTAACACGCTCGGAAAAACACGCTAGAAGCTGCAGATCGTCTGCAGCTTTCTGGTGGGGTAAGGTACCTAAGGACCTAATTGCGATGTAGTGCACCGGTAGCTTTTTCTGCCGAAGTGACTTTGCATCTTGTCACCCCTAGAAATGAGTCATAGCCGCCTGCAGGAAGCGTGCAGATGTGGCCGTCCAGTGAAAAGTCGCGAAGAAAGGAACACCAACCCTTGGCTCTGGGAGAGGAGACTTCGGGAACTGGGGGATCTTGCTGTGGATCCCCACCGCACAGCTCCACAAGCTTTCTGGGTACGTACCTCGTCTTCTTCCACTTCCATCCAACCACCATCGTCAAGTTCACCTCCACCCGACCATATCCATAGGCCATAAGCACTCCCAAAGGGTTCTGCGAAGATCAGGCGGGTATTGTACCCGTATGCTTTTACCTTCCTGTCAGAGATATCAAAGGCAGTAGTCTCGTTTCAGATCTTTGAGTATTCGTGGCTGTTACGTCTTATGGCCGAGGCGGACAAGACCCTCACCTCCATCTTCCTCTACCACCACGATGCCGTCATGCGCCTCCGTCTAAACCCCCCCTGTCCCGCTGCGGATCACATCAAAGTCTTGTTCGGGAAGATGGGAAGGATGGTAGTGAGTAGGATGAAAAACGACACCCCCCGGTTCGAAGGGTCCCGCGCCCGCGGCATCGCGCCACGTCCCATCGATGCATGCCATGGATCCCCACGACCGCGACCACGACCACGGCCACGTCCACGTCTGCATCCACGGTCTACTCCGTACACCTATGCCATGGACTGCCGCGTGCGGCCCAAGCTTTCCGAGATTTGGCTTTTCGAACCGCCGTCCCTGACCCTCGTCGCACTGGATCACCAGTCATTGGATCCCCGTTTCTCATCGAGGATAAAGATGGCCCCTTTCCCTCTCTCCCTTTCCATGGCCACCTCTCATCTCAACATCTCGCAACGTCTCTTTGGAGTTTGGCTTCTCTTTTCCAATCATCTCTCTCCTTTGTATTCTCTGTCCTTTCCTTTCGGTCTTTTCAAGGTATCCAAAAAGAAAAATTTAGATCTCTTGGGTTCGTCCTCAACACGATCCTCCGGCTTCACGGCATCATCTCAGCATCTCATCTCTTCACTTATTTGGTTTCACCCATTGCCTCACGGACAAGAGCTGGTCTCTTGAGCAAACACATCACTGCCTTCCCTCCACTAATAGCATAATCGCCCTCTTGGTGTCTGTGCTCGGCAGATACCCTCGCACCCCCCCAGCCCAACATGTCTACGTACGTCCCTCTCGCCTCGGCTTACTCCTATCGCATCTCGCTAACATTTTGCTTAGTCTGGCAGCAGACATGCCGTTCGATTTCATCTTTCCCTCATGCGAACCCGCAACACCACCCCAGTTCACCTTTGATCCGTCATTGCTTCAGATGCCCTGCAACCCCGGCCATGGCCGTTCCAGTTCCTACAGCTCCGTCTATTCCGCCGTCTCATCTGCCGCCGACTCCACCCCTGACTCCACCACCGACTCCGTGAGCACGCGCATGACTACCCCGAGTCGTTCTTCGCCTCCCATCCGCCAACATGGTCCTATTCTGCTGCCCAAGATCCGTTCCCAGGACCAGGCCTTCGAATCGCCTGCGAAGCGCCTCAAGTCGAACTCGCCCCCTGTCTCCGGCGGCCCGCCCAAGCGGTCTGCCTTCCGCCCTTCTCACGCCCGGAGCTACACCAGCCCGGAGTCCATCGCCTGGGGCATGCCCTATGCCACCCCCAACCCCTCCCCGCCTCAGCCAGACCATTCGTCTGCTTCCACTTTCTCTTCCTCTCTTCTCTGCTCTCCTGTCAATTTTGCCCAGGATGACTTCCAGTCCCGTCGTGCCTCCACCTGCAGCCTAGACGGTGGCGCTCTCGAGAAATACGCCTTTTCGACGTATCGCCAGATGCCCACCTACGTCTCTGCTCCCGCTGCCGCTGCCAATCAGCAGGTCGTCGTCGCAGACTCCTTCCCTCTCTCCTCTTACGCTCCTCGTGCTCCGTCTCCGCTGAGCCTGTCCTCTACCCCCGAGCCCGTTCCTAGCACTACTCTATTCTCTTACCTCACTGGCCCCAATCCGGCGCCGGCGTTGGTGCGCACCATCTCATACCCCCTTCGTGATCCCCACACCAAACATTTCTGGTGGGACGTGCGTCAGGTTCGGTCGTGGTCCGATTTTTCCACCTCCACTATCCTGTCCCTCCCCGGCGCTTCTGCCCTCCTCAACTGCCCGGTCCCTGCACCTCTCCTCCCCAATCCCTCGACCAGCACACGGCATCCCGAGACTGAGGGAGCCCTCCATTCCATCTACGCGGGGCATTACCTGCCTAAGCTGAACGCTGCCTTGGCCATGACCTCCAACCGGCCCCTTCAGTTCTCGACGGTGGCGCCAAAGTCGTCCGCGTCGTCTGGTCAATCGGATCTCCTCTTCGTCGCCAACGCCCGGGGGGACGCTTCGTCAGCGGCCGCCATCTTCGGCGGCAAACCGTCGGCCCGCGTCGTGGGCATCGTCCGGTCCTTCGACCGCTTCAACACGGGGATGCGAGTCGAGGGGAACATCAAGCGGGTCGAGTACCTCCGCGGGCTCGCCGCCATCCACCACGCCATGCGCGAGCACGGCTGCCGCTACGGCTTCATCCTGACCGAGATCGAGCTCGTCGTGGTCCGCAACGGCACCGAACCCACGCCGCACTTTGGCTTCCTGGAAGTGGCGACAGTACAGCTCGCGGCCTCGGCCTCGGCCTCTGGTTTCGCCGCCTCTGGCTTCTCGGCCGACACCGGGGCACAGGCTGACCAGGAGCTGACGGCCTGCCTCGCTCTGTGGGGTCTGTCCATGATGGCCGGCGACGAGGCCAGCCCGGGACAGGCGCATTGGAAGGCGGACATCGGGGCCCCGGCCGAGGGGACGCGTCGGAAGGCCTTGGCGAGGGACTCGTGGATGCCGCAGCCGCAGCTGGCGGAAAAGAGGGAGGCGAAGCGTGCTCGGGGATGGGTTCTCCCGGAAGATCCTGTCGGCCGCAAGGAACTGGGCAAGAGGGGCGTCCGGTATGGTGGCTGCTGAACGGAGGAACGAAGCTGACGAGGATATGAAGAAACGGGAACCAGGGTTCAGGTCGAGCAATGGGCTGGTCCCATGCTCTCCTCAAACCCTTAACTGGACGGATGATTGGAATGAATTGAAGTTGATAATTCTGAGAGGCGACGAGTTGTTCTTTTTGGTACTTGGGAATATGATTTGATGATAGCTAGCTTAGAATATTTACCATGGTACTATCTGTGTACTTTTAATCAATCTGATGCCAACATTCACATTCTTTAAAGCTCGATTATGGCCGTCTCGTCATTCGTAATGCTTGTCCCTCAGGGAGGATGAGAGAAGTCGTTCTCCGTTCTATTATACACTGCTGCGGTCCCACCGAGGCTTGAACATCCGTGCTTGGTACACGCCACTTACGAACACGACCCTTCCACCCAGTCAAAGTACTCACAAGGACATCCATACGGAGAAGAAGAAGCCAAAGAAAAATAAAAAAGTAAAGAGAACAAAAAAAAATGAAGGGACCATTGAGATCTCGTCAGGAATTGAGCCCGACGTGGGGGTCGAACCCACAACCTTGAGATTGTGACCTCTTGTAGTAAGAGTCTCACGCTCTACCGATTGAGCTAGCCGGGCAGGCTTCGCTTCTTGTTGTTGAGTTGGTTGCGAGATTTGGTATAAGAGGGCTGGCCCTAGGACACGTCCCGTGGGGTTTGTGCTACGACGCGTGTTGTTGAAATTTTCTCGTGTTTTCTTCGTTGGTGGGTCTGGGTGGGAAAAGAAGACGAAAAGGAAAAAGTTACCGGATGGGTCTTAAGCAGAGCCGCATGCCGAAGAACTGGGACCGTAACGGACATCCGGTTATTACCGCTAGAAGATAAGGTACCTAAGGTACCGACTTCGCAGAGACAACGCTCTTTGAAGGGGAATCCTACCTTATGAATAAGGTAATACCAGGTATTCGTACTTTATAACCCTCGGGCCAGTCCGACATTGAAAAGCTAATCCGAGCAACCAATCACGTACCCAATCCCCTCCCATTCGTACTTTTCGACTTGACATCGGCTTCGTAGTAATCGTGATCTCGGGCAGTTTGGCAAGGTACGTTGTATTTTGTCAAATAGCGTTATGTCCAGGGATCACATATCCAATTCCAGCGTGGCTGTTCCTGTCCGCCTGGTAAGTAAGTACCTTAGCTATTAATACTTCGTTCTTCGTAGGTGCGGACACAGAAAGCGTGAGAGCTCGCTTTTACCAGTCTGGACCGGTCCTTAGGTGACCCCACAGGTCTCCCCAGTCCCTGCACACCTCAGCCAAGCCTGACTACGTCATCAGCTAGGAGGAATCGGGTTGGGCACGCACCAATTTTTCCTACGAATAATTAGAGAGACAAGTACTACAACCAATTCATGGCAGGACGCCGTGTCATCCGACCACAAAAACGACCAGAGACATCGTCACAGCCTTACACCAGGGCGGGTGAGGGTTTCCATACGCTCGGGTGTTCGTGGCTTTCTCTTTGTGGTGACCATGTCGCGGATGACGTCGCCCTGGGCTTAGATCCCCATGCCGTCATTGGTCCCTTACGTACCTACCAAGTACGCCAGCTCATTCGTTATGCCGAACGGATAGCTGCGTTCTTTGTCTTTCCTTGTTTTCTCACCCCTTTAACAAGGCCGCATTCGTACTCATCAGCTCCGGGACTGTGGCTGACGCACGGCCCCGTACTATGTTCCCAGCATGGCTGTGTTATCCGCTTCTTCTCTATATATCCGTATGTCGCGAGACTCTCTTCCTCACCATCCTAGGAAGATTCACTCTCATACCGTCTTTTGAGGCTGAAGTAAACACGTGCCCCACGGAACGAACACCTTTTCGAGGATAGACCACGACGGGAAAACAAGGCCAATTCAAGGGACAAACCTTCATCCTTCTCGGCACTACTATATCACGACCGCCGCCACGTCGCTCACCCGTACCGCTACACCTCACAACAACTCGGAAGTATTGGGAGCTCAGCATTGTCACAATGGGTCTTCTTAGCTTTGTGAGCCATTTCGGCACATTCCTGTTGCTCGCGGCAACAGTTCTTCTCGTTGTGTCATCCATCACAGCTCCCACCGTGAGCAACATCTCCCTCTTCACGGTGGACTTGGGTAGAGGCAACGAAGAGATCACGTTTGGCACCTTTGGCTGGTGTGTCCGGGGGATCCCCGACAGGTAAGGCCTCTACATATCATTTCTGAAGTCTAATCAATTCGATCTCAAGAGAGAAGCGCATGGTATGCTAACGGGAGCCTTGAACAGGGGCTGCTCTTCCTCATCCATCGGTTATTCACCCACCGATATCATCACTGCGGTAGAGGGCACCGAATTTTCGGATAACCGCCAAAACACAGCCGAGGCCCTGACCAACGTCATGATCCTGCACCCCATCGCCGCCGGTATTTCGTTCCTCGGCTTCGTCCTCTCCCTGGGCTCCGGCATGTTCGGCTCCCTGCTCGCCTCGCTCGTCGCCGGCGTGGCCTTCCTCGTCACGACGATCGCCCTCATCTGCGACTTCGTCTGGATCTCCGCCGTCCGCAACAACGTCAACGACGACGACAGCGGCGGCAGTCCCCTCAGCAACGCACACTACGGCGCCGCGCTGTGGTGCGTCCTCGTCGCCGCCCTGTGCGCTCTCGTCGCATCCGTCATCCTCCTGGTCACCTGCTGCAGCGGCCGGTCCAAGCGCCGCCGTACCGAGAACCGCAAGTCCGACTTCCATGCTCCTCCTGCCCACACCGGCCGCAGACGCTGGTGGTCGCGTCGCCGCCACTAGGCTGGAGCAGTCACAGCTGGACCGCCTTTCCAAGCCATGAGCAGATGTGTCGTGACAGTGGGGGGTAGGGGGTGGTGGGTGAAGTTCCGAGAAAATGGAGATTGTTAATAAGACAGATGTGATCCCCGGGGATCTGAGGTTTTCCAGGGCACCCAATACTTAATTACGGAGCGTGGTGAGGAGGACGTGGCCCTATGATGAGGGATTGATACCACATGCCCGACGATTATGCGTCGGCAACGAATGAGCCTGTCACTGTTTTCTAGCGTCCAATTGAATGATACCTACTTCAAAACATGTATCTTCGCACTGATGCGTTTCTTCAACCGATCAGAACAGTCCTCGCTCGCTTGTTGACCTCGGCTCGGGAATCGAGTTTTGCATCTACAAGGAACCAAGTCATGTAGATCGCCGTCGAGGGCATGTGATTTTGGTTCCTCGGCGCTCTAGATTGTCCAACCGGAAGGAAATCGAGTCGACCCAACCTTCAACATTCAAGCCCTTGACTTGATGGAAGCGAGTAAATTGATTATTCAGTGAGGGCAGATGATTTTGTCTCATCCCCCCCTTTTTTGATGTCTCAGTGAGTTCATAGTAGATACATACATACGCATCTACTCCAAAACGGACATCCGAAGTGCGTTGTTCGGTTGTGCGACACGGCGGGAGACGTGAAGGATATGTGATCTTGAAATTGCACGTACGAAGCAAGATAGGGTGACGTGACCTATCAAGGTTCGATGGACGCCCACGATGCGTGAGGTCTGGCCATATTACCTAGGTCCTGGAAGAAAGTCGGTGAGCTTTAATTATGTATCATGCACTGCTGCACCTCTGTGGCCGCATTGCATGCTGCTATTGCCTGCTGGCCAGAGCGCCACTTTATGGCCAGACACAGTCGGACGACTTTTTTTGGATTTTCAAGACTCGCCGTACCTTTTTGAGGTTTATTTGCAGCTAATAAGCTATGCGATTTTATTTTATTTTTCCTCCTCTCGGATGCAGGGCACTGGACGGGACGATGAAAGAATGCGGCGGATTCTAGGCATAGGTGACTAGAGTGTAGACGTGACGTCTGGTCATGTAGGTATTTATTGGTCGTGGTGGCATCGGCGCTGGCGCTGGCATGCAGGTTTGTGATGAAGAGGGGAGACTTGCGAGAACGCGTATGTCATGCATGTAAACAAAAGTCCCTTACTAAGAGTAATTTGTAAATGGGTCGAGGTAGAGCAAAGACTCGTCTTCCTGTCTTCCATATAGCATATAGCGAGGGTATTCGGAAGAGCACGAGGACGCCGAATAATGATGCCGGTAGAAGTTCTGCAAGGTACCTAGTAGGTATGATTGACATTTGGGTTGAATCATTCGTCCAGGGCGGCCAAAACGGGCCAGGTCCCCCCTCTATCCGAGAGAACCACCACCGCAATGTCGTCCAACAAGGGAAGGTTCTCCAAGACATATTACCTACCACGTACACGTGTACTTCGTCGGTTCGCAAAGACCAATAGGCGGGCAGCAGATCTCTTCGCACGCCGCTCTATGTACTCCCGGTCTGGCGATGATTAGCCGTGAATTGCCACCGGAGCACATGCTTGGAACCTGAGCAAAGGGGATAACTATGATGTGACCTTTCGAGGGGCAAAGGAGCTGGAGAGTTAAAATGGCCAGCAGGTCGGTCGTCATGCGTCGAAAGTCCAGGCACCCAAAGGCCAGCTTTATCCTTTTTTTTCTTCTCCTCTCTCGTCTCTCGAATACCAACCCTCGAACAAATCTGCCAACCTCCCCTTCAATCCGATACCGACATTGCGATTTATATCGTGCACTTTGGCTCTCCAATTCCATCCAGTCGACAATTCAATCTAACCTACCTTATCTTATAAGTTCGGTACAAATTGTCACCCCGTCCATATTTGCCCCAGGGCAAAACACATTCCAACCCTAGTCCAAATTCAGCTGCGTTCGTCATCCCTCCGCTCGCCATTAAGCCGCAGCGACTCGATCAAATACAGCACGGAGTACATCCGGAGGGACCGCCATTCACTCCGGATGGGCTCGTCCGTCTGTCTCAGCCGCCGCTGAACCGACACCGACTCACCACCGCCAATGATCCCATCCATAGGCAGACCGACCACACCGACTACATAGGCACCCTCTCTATGATCGGGCAAATATATCCCTGCCTATCTGAGCGGTCCCTTTTTCTTCTTCTTCTTTTTTCCCTTTGAAGCCCTCTCCACCTCTTATTCCCCGGACTCTAAGCAACAAAACCGCGCGCTTGTTGACGGAAACCCACCGAAAACGCTCACGGAATCGGGGGCAGGGCTCGACCATTCGGAATTCCCCATCGTCATCTCAGCTCCCCCCACTGTCCACGTAACCACTGTCCACGTAATCACCGTTGCCGCCCAGCCGCTAACTGAGTACAACGATACATCATACGTATCCCACCCCACACATTTCACTGCCCGGCCAGAAGGTACGTAAGTCAGCTCGTTTCCTTCCACCTTCCGTCAATCTTTTGGTGGTTGTGGGCCTGGACCGCACCCTCCCCACAAAGTCCACCGGTCCCCTACGTTGTAATCCCGTTTGGCTTTGTTTGCCTCCCATTTATCAGCCCTCCCAAGACTTTCCAAAACTCTCCAAGACTCCCCAAGACCTCCAAGACTATTATTCCAAGACTCCCCAAGTCTCCCCAAGACTCCCCAAGACTCTCAACAAATTCGATCCTTGGCATTACCTATAGGACTTTGCCTCTCCCCTTCTTCCTGCCCTCTCCTCGGCGTCAACGATCAAGGGATCCCGTGTGGCTGCAAGCATGCCATCGGTATAGCCTTGGGAAGGTCGTAGGCGCTTCACCTATCCGTTAACCTGCTCCAATGGACCCTTCGGCCTTAGCGAAGAGAGGAATGCTCCTCGGTGCTCTCTCATGACATGCTGGGGATAGGAAAGTCAAGAAATAATTGGGTTGTACTTGCGCATTTCGCACCATGCACCATGTTTATGGGTATTGATTGGTGTGTGAAGTCTGAAGTACAGTTGTACGTGCGCTGCCTCGTCATTACCTCAACGTACCTTAGGTACAGTACAATCAAGACATGTCAGAGCAAGTGGCCGAAATTGCTGGCGCAAGTGCGCCTCCCCGGGGCCATCTTGGGAACAATATCCCGCTCCGAGGGCCTTATTAAAAAGGACATCACATTCTGACTTCCTTTCTTCGGTTTTTTGGCCATCCTCTCTTTCTTACCTGCCATTCATTCTCTTCCCTTATTATTACTCGGTCAAATCACCTCCTAGCCTGACGCGGAAAGAAAGACCTGCTTGCCAATCCGAGACTTCCCGCTTCGCTGACAGATTCGTCGAGCGGTGTCTGTCTGACACGCATTTCGGCGCCGAGGTGCATTGTTGGACTTTTACCCCAGGTCTTGCCTTGAAAGCGGCATTTCCACACAAATTCATTCATTGTTCCTCAGTAACATACATCTATACACTTTTTTCTTCTTTTTTTTTTCATATTTCTTTTTCTCCTTTCTCCTTTGACCTTTCACTCTTTTTGACCGTTTCTATTCTATTACAGTCCTTTCCATTCAATATCTTCCAGTAATCCATTTATTATCTATACTCTTTTGTCGTCGACAAAGAACACATCATCACAGCCACTCAAGTCATACACCTACCTACCTGCCTTAGACGGCGGTCTTTTTGTGCTCCATTTACCGTCATTGTCAAACTAACAGCTGTACGAAGTACCTTACATTGCAGCGGCCGCAATTGACCCCTCTTGGTGCATGCCGCCTTCCTTCACCTGCCGTTTCCTTCAAATACCCCTCACGTCCACCGACGGCATCGACCACGGGTAATTATAATAGTTCCCGTCCTCTTTCTTCATCCACAATTAATCGGATCGGCAACCATCGCCACCATGACTTCGGATACCCAAAGTCCACGAACTTCGACCTCCAGCAGGCGAAGGATTCCAAATCATGACACGGGTTTCCCTGAACCCTTTAACGGAGGTATGTCGGACCCGAGCGAGAAATCCCCACTGCCCGTGACTTATTGAAGCTCAATTTCCTCCCGTAGTGTCAAACACCACCCTACCACATCCCGAGGCCAATATATCGCCCGATGCCGTCATCAGTCAGGAGGATATCATTTTTAGTAAAAAAGGCCGGTCGTCTCGCTCCTTCCGGCAAAAGCACAAGCGTACCATCAGCCACGGCCGTATCACACAGCAAATGCAGGCCATGTACAGCGACGTCGTCCTCGAGGAGGACGAGGACATGCTCGAGCCACCCATGTCGCCCATATCAACCATGGATTTTGAAGCAAGCCTGCAATCCCGGCGCACCTCCAGCAACCCCCCGCAAACGCCACCCGAAATCAGCTTGAGAACTGGCCACATGAGCCGCGGCAAGGACGGGGATAGCCTCCTATCCCATAGCGCAGGGGAAACATCTCCGACTTCTTCCGAGCGTTCATACAAGAGGAGCCTGCTTCGTCGGCTAGGCCTCCGCAGGAAAGTATGATGGAAGGGTAGGGAGGGGCAACGCCACCAATTCCCCCCCTTCACCGAAACTCCTAATAACGGCCGACCATACCGAAGGACCACGAATGCGAGCCAAACGAAGGTGCCGCATCCTGGTTCTAATGATGATACCATGACAACGACAAGCGATATTCGGGATTAAAATATTGTTAGCGCGGAGTTTCTATTTTTCTTAATCCTTTTTTCTTCCAACAGCATTTAACTACTTGGCTCTGAGTACATTACATTGTTTGTGTATTTATCTAGGGGGAGTTGGTGGGTACTGATAGCAAAACGGAGGCTGCGATGGACGGTGGGAAACAGTCCGAAGTCGTCCGACGGAACAGGCGGACTTGCAACAAACTTGACTTCAGTCTTATCGCACGAGTGGGGGGGGGTAGCTTTCCTTGAGAACACTCTAGCAATATATCATAACCGTCATGGCCACAGCTGCTGCGATATTATATTTATGGAATCAGTCGGTCGGCGTTGGTAGGTCGCTTTGATAGTTCAGTTCTTTCTCGTTCTTCAACTCTCCAACTGCCAATCACAATAGCCTCTTCTTTCGCCATGCGCCGCGTTTCCTCCTCAGGAAGGACATGCTAATGCACTCGGTTCTTCGTTTTCCTCTTCACCGCAAAATGTGTCGATCCTCAGCTACCGCGGTAGGTGGTGTAGCTAAACGGCGACAGCAAGAGGGGGACATGATAGCCCTGGCCCTCCTGGACGTTGAAGACGACGACGACCTCGGGGAAGAAGCAGTCCTTGCCCTGGTCGGCGAAGTAGCCCTCGACGTCGAAGCGGAGGGTCCAGCGCGAGGGCCCGCGGATGTCGCCGAGGACGTCCTCGAGGGTGTAGACGGGGACGTCGCCCGAGGCTGTGGCCGAGCTGTAGGGCAGCCAGGACTTGACGCGGCCGTCGTCGTCGGTGAGGGACTCGAAGGTCTTTGAGGCGCCGGAGAGGGTCGGGGGGAGGGTTGGGTCGGCGCTGTTCCTGGTCGAACCTGGGGAGGAGAGGCGCACGCGGACGCCTCGGGCGGGACGGCCTGTGGTGGTGTCGAGGATGTGGCAAGTTATGCGGTCTTTGGTGGGGGTGGGGGCTGCCATTTTCCTTCTTTCTTTCTTTCTTCCTTCTTGGGGTTTCTTCTTTTTGTTGTTCTGTTTTGTGATCTGCTTTCCTCCTCCTTCCTTTATGTTTTGTGGCGTATTTGGGCGGCGGTGACGGTTGGGGGGAAGATGAAGTTGGGTTTAACCGATGAGGTTGAAGAGGGTGGTGGTGGTGGTGGTGGTGGTACCTGATTATTAGCTTGTTCTTGCGCCGCTTAAGGTAGGGAGGGGTCGCAAAGTGGGATGTTGGAATGTAGGGGGCGGGGTAGCGGCAGAGGTTAAGGTACGCTCGAGGGCCGGTGTCTAGGTCCGGCAGGTTCCAGCGTCTGATGAGCCGGACGTACTCTCGTCCTAGTTGTTAGGCCGCGACATCGATCGGTTCGAGAATAATCGAGATGACAATATATGATATTTGTGACGGAAGCAGATATAAGAATAAGACGTGTATTTTTTTGCGTATCCTTATTCCAGATAGACCTCGAAAAGACAACCAATGTGCCGCCAGACGCAGGCAGTTTTGGCTTCCTCCCGCTAAGGAGACAGGCGGGTATTACTAACTCCGTCCAGAAGATCGCCTGGTTGTAGCGTTGGCCAGTTCCTCGGCGGATTAACCCAGACGGCCAGAACCCCCCGATGCCGGTGCCGGGACCCACTGTGTTTTTATCAGTCCGGGTCCGTGCTGGTGGGGGGAGGGACTTGCCCTAAAATCATCGAATTGTCCGGTCGTTGCTCATGATTCGGGGGGTTCAGAGTGCTTTTAGTACAGTTGTAGATTAAAAAAAAAGTCGTTTGATTGATTGTTAGTTCGGACAGAGTGATATGTGCAAGGTAAGGTATTCACGAAGTAATTCGTGGTTGGTTGACGTCAGAGATCGTACGTGACCATATGGCCCAGAACAGCTTACGAAGTCTCCGTTCATACAGTACAGTTACTCTGTAAGACGGCTGCACTATTTGTAGAAGCCTGGAAGGCTGGAACCCAGTACATCTTTGAGCCACTATGCCTCCATACCTTGGCCAGGGTGATGAGGACCCGCTGGACGCAGCACTTTATGACTTGTGCATCGTCTCGAGGCTTGTTACGGGCTTTGTTTGTGTGCAGTACCAACCAAGAAAATAAAAGAAAATCAGGTACCCATGGATACCTACCTACCTTACCCGTGCCACGCCCCACTTATATTTTGGTTCGTTGGACACTCACCAGCTATAAAGTGGGGCGCGGCACGGGTAGGTATAGGTACTTTACAGCTATGGCATGGCTGGCAATCAATAGGGTTATCGGTCATACCGTATTAGTACAATACACACAGTCTGTATGGCCGAGGTGTCTTAGTTCTTACTGTGGTAGACACTGTACGGGGTCAGTCAACGATATGATTGGAAAGGAGCTAGCTCTGACGCCATGACACGATGGACGGACATTGGCGTCCGGTTCGCACCCCCCGGTGTGAAAGGACCGGACGAAGCTTAAGATTCATTTCCTTCGTACGAGGCCGAGAAATTCGCCCTATCCGTTACTGCTTGGTACTGTCGCCTCAAGGCCTTGGCATCCACCCAAGTACGTGTAATGAAAAGAGCTGACGTACTACGGTCTTGGAAAAGGAAGAAAAAAGAAAAGGAAAAAGAAAAGAAAAGAAAAAAAGAAGCGAATACCAGCTCAATGCCGAGAAATCAATTCGTGGAATACCAACAAAAAGTCCTTCCTCTCTCTTTTTCTGCATCTTCGTCCTCATTCGTGTCATATTACTCCTGCTTCCGTTACCCCCTTTGGTGCTGGTTGTTCGTCTGCTTGTCCACTGCTCTTCTTCTGCGCTCAGTTCAAATGCGAGTCATCAAGTGAAGAAGCCTTCTCTTCTTCCCCTCGGCCTACTGACAGACAGTCTTGGGTCGTGTTTCGTGTTCATCTATCCTCTCTTCGCTACAGCCATTCATTGTCTAGGTCCACACGGGCTTCGCTGGAATTTTGTCACGTCTCGATGGCGTCGCATCCAGCTCGCGACGTTGAGGATGTGCAGTACCTCAACGACGACGAGATCAACCGCTTCCTCGACGACCTCGACCACAACGACGACGGTTACATAGACTACGGCGAGGTGGAGCACAAGCTCGACGCGGCCCACGACAAGCTCAAGCTCAATTCCCACCACGTCCGAAAGCACGAGCACGACTCGCACGGCGAAAAGGACGAGCACGACGAAAAGGCGCGTCATGTCTTCCTCCGCAGCCTGATGGGCTCCGACGCCCAGCGCATACCCCGTGCCGAATTCCGCGACATCGTCCGCTCCTGGAAGATCCCTTCCCTCGAACAGGCCAAGAAGGAGGAACAGGAAGAGGACCAGTACGTCAGCCGCCTCCACGGCTGGCGTAGGGCCCGCGCCTACTGGGCCGTCCACGGGCCCGAGATTGGCTTCCTCGGCCTCGTCGTCGCCATGCAGCTGGCCTTCGGCATCTGGCAGCTTGTCAAGTACCAGACCACGCCTCAGTACCGCGACGCCCTGGGCTGGGGCGTCGTCATGGCCAAGACCTCCGCCGGCGTCCTCTACCCGACCTTCTTCTTCCTCATCCTCAGCATGTCGCGCTACTTCTCCACCTGGCTTCGCCGCTCCTACTACATCTCCCGTTTCTTCAACTGGGACCTCTCCCAGGACTTCCACATCCGCATCTCCTGCGTCGCCATCTTCTTCGCCACCCTCCACGCCATCGGCCACCTCAGCGGCTCCTTCGTCAGCGCCAGCCGCCCGGAGAACCAGGACGCCGTGGCCCGCCTCTTGGGTCCCGACATGGTCCCCCTCCGCTACGTCGACCTGGTCCGCTCGCTACCGGGCTTCACCGGCCTCACCGCCCTGGGCCTGCTGTATGTCCTCTCCCTGCTGAGCATCCCGCAGGTCCGCCGCTGGAACTACGAGGTCTTCCAGCTCGGCCACCTGCTCATGTTCCCCATCATCGGCCTCCTGATGGCCCACGGCACCCGGGCTCAGTTCCAGTGGCCCATGTTCGGCTATTTCCTCGCCTTCCCAACCCTCCTAGTCCTCTTGGAGCGCCTGACCCGCGTCTTCCTCGGCTTCCATCGTATCAGGGCCACCATGAAGGTCCTCGACGGCGAGACGGTCGAGATCACCGCTGTCATCCCCAGCGAGCGTCTCTGGAAGTACAAGGCCGGCCAGTACATCTTCCTGCAGGTGCCCCAGATCAGCTTCTTCCAGTGGCATCCTTTCACCGTATCCCTCTGCGTCGGCAAGAAGATGCAGGTCCACATCAAGACCGACGGCAACTGGACGCAGAGACTACGAGCCCTGGGCGGCGAGTCGGGCGAGTCCGAGATTGAGGTGGGCATCAACGGACCTTTCGGCGCCCCGGCCCAGAGGTTCTACGACTTTAACCACTCCCTCATCATCGGTGCCGGCATCGGCGTCACCCCGTTCTCCGGCATCCTCGCCGACCTGCAGGTCCACGACGATATGGCCCACGGCGGCCCCTTCAACCGCATCGGCGAAATGCCGAAGCCCAGTACGACGACGACTGCGGCGTCGCCCAAGGACAAGACGGGCGATTCGGCGGAAAAGCCTACGGAAGAGAACGAGAACGGGGCAGCGGAGAACGGCGGCACGTCGGAAGCGACAGTGGCGGGCGGGCAAAGCGCTCTGGAAGGGAGCGGCGGAGCCCACGAACTACCCAGGGCGGGACTTGACGGCGAAACCCACCTGGGCGCCGTCCAGTCCAACGAACTCACCGAGAAGAACCAGCAGTCGTCGCCTGGCGGGGAACCGCGCGACTTCCCCGACGACTACCGCCGCGTCGACTTCCACTGGATCGTCCGCGACCGGAACTACCTCAAGTGGCTCTCGGACCTGCTTAACGACGTGTCGCTCAGCCAGGCGTGGTGGCGGCGCGAGCGGCCCGACGAGCAGCTCCACCTGGACATCCGCATCAACACCCACGTCACCGCCAAGCACAAGGACATCGTCACCCACGTCTACCGCTGGCTGCTGGAGATGCACCGCACGCCCGAGCACCCGGCCAGCCCGCTGACGGGCCTGCTCAACCCCACGCAGTTCGGGCGGCCCGACTTTGACAAGATCCTCGACCGGCACTACGACGAGATGGTCCAGTTCCGGGCCAGCAGGAGGGCGACGGCCGAGAGGAAGAACGGGAACGGGCAGCAGCAGCAGCAGCAGCAGCCGTATAACGAGGATTCGGGACTCAAGGTTGGCGTTTTCTACTGCGGGGCGCCGGTGGTGGGTGAGATCTTGGCGGATAAATGCCACGAGCTCACGGTTCGGGGCCGTCATGACGGGACCAAGATTGAGTACTTTTTCATGATGGAGGTGTTTAATTGAACCTGGAACGTTTAGGTGCGCACAACTCGATGAAATGAGGCATTCCGGTGATATTGGCCTGTATGAGTGATACCCTCGCCGGCCAACCTATGGATATGTAGATTTATATACTTCCAATCTCTATAATTGTCTTGCCATCTTTTTACATAGAATATCCCACGTCATGGAACAGGCGTAAAGCTTTTGCTAATTAATGGCATCAATCCCCCATCCCTACTCATGAAACCTAAACCATCAGTCCTATACCTCTATTCTCTCTATTCTCTCTATTCTCTCTATTCTCTCTATTCTCTCTATTTTCTCTATTCTCTCTATTCTCTCTATTCTCTCTATTCTCTCTATTCTCTCTATCCCCCCCCCGACCCCCCATATCACAGCTTAGCGAGGGCAATCTGGCCAGGGACCTCAACCACAATCTCGCCCTCGCCCTCGCCCTCGCCTTGCCGGTCCCCGAAGATGACCTCCTGGCAATCTTCCTCCCCGACGCCGTTGGCGAACTGCGTGACGGCGAACTCAACCACCGCGCCGGGCGGACCGAGCGCCACCATAGGTGCGTGCCAGGTCCCCGCGCCGTACGTCACGCCTTGGCCCGGGCCGGCGATGAAGGCGCGCAGGTTACGAAGGTCAGGGACACCACGGGCCGGCAGCACCGTCGCGCTTTGCTCCTCCCGCTTCTCGTCTCCGGTCCCATCCGACGACGGCGGCGAAGACGGGGGAAAGGGAAGATGTTGGTCCAGGGGCCCGGGGGGGAGGCTCGGGGCCACAATGACGAGGTAGCTGCTTGCCGGAGCGGCTGGTCCCTGGGCCAGGGGCACGAATGTTTGTGTCGTGAACGGGTGGCGTTCGAGGATCGTGACGAGGAAGAGACCCGCGCCACCCCTGGGGGGTAAGGGTGAGGGTGAGGGTGAGGGTGATGAGGATGAGGATGAGGATGATGAAGATGATGGCAGCGGAGGGGGCCGGAGACGAAGAGGGCGGGCGGCGCAGACGAAGATATTGAGGACTGGTTTGGAGGAAACTTTGCTCGGGGCAGAAGCGTACAAGTCCAGGGGACGGGATAGATGCTGATATTTAATTGCCGTGCCTTGATTCGCCGACACGGCGTTGTAGGCGAGGTTCGTGGGGAGGGACGGGCTGGGGTGGATAGAAGGGTGAGGGTTCTGGACCACGGAACCGAAGGGGGCGAACTCGGCCGGAGTCAGAGGTTGGGCAGGGATGGCGAGAGAGTTGGATTTGTCGAGGGTGATTCTGATGGGTGCCATTTCAGTGGTGGGTGTGATTAATGGCGGTTTATCACAATTTCGGGGTGGTGAGAGTTGCCCTTTGCGGTTATCCGTACTGGATTCAGACGAATGGCTTGGGTAATGGGATAAGGGACGCAATACTGTTTAACGAGAGAGGCGTGAGAGAGAAGAGAGATAAAGGAAGAGTCGGTGAGCCCACCTAGGTGAGCCTACCTAGGTGAGCAAGGTGGGGTGAGGTTATCTTGATAAAGCGTGGGGGTCAAGAATAGGTACACCAGGATAATGTATTGACTCTTGCCGTGAGTAGAGTATTACAGTGGTAAATAGGGCAGTACAAGTAGATCCAGGAACCGTGTTTATTAATCGTATCTTCACTCCATACGACGATTCCAACAACTTTGTATCGTCATGCCGCTTCCCTATGATCTTGGTTGCTGTTGTCCGCGGATACTGCCTTGCGGAGTCGTTACATTTGTATGTTACAAATGAGCTGACGGCGGAAATGCCTGGAGCACTCCCAGATTATGTCATCAGGTGATTCATGGGTCACGTGGGGATCATGCCCACAATCGACGGAGAAGGTTAACCGCAACCATCGACCTCCATCTCCAACTGGGCGAATGTTCTCGCGCCGTGGTCGTTTTCCCGTTCTGCCCCTTTATTAAGCCTTCATTGATCTATTCATTTCAAGCAGATACTTGATGACAGGAGTATGCAGCTATCTTCCGAACAATTGACCTTGGGAATATCCAATTCGAGGTCCCCCACCAGTCCAAGTCCGGCGTCACGCATCGCATCGCATCGCATCGCATCGCATCGCGCATCACGAACAACCAAACCACCATGGCAAGCCTTTTCCGAGCTTCCCCTGTGCTTCTCCATCTTTGCCCCGCCCACGCGATGGTCTTCTCCAGCTACCCCACACGCAACAAAACCTCCTAATGACTAGTGTTAGCCGTCTTGGCTTTGCCCCCATGACTTCGCATTCGCTGGATTTCGTAGATTCGGGCTGTTCGCCTGCCTGCCTACGGACTATATCTGTCTAGACTCGTTCCTCGGTACGATGAAGATGCGCTTGCCCCTCTCCTGAGGAGCTAGTTTCCGCAGGCATAATAGTAGACCGATTCATCTGTCGCGGGGATGCCCCTGAGTTTGTCTTGACAATCTTGCCAACCTTTCACGACATACGCACCCTCTCCCAACCATCCATCAACAAAGACCAAGCCAGCCAACAGCAGCTCCATTACATACATGCCTTGACGAATACCGAACGAATTCTAGCTCGTCCGTAGACCATACTTCCCAAGATGGTTCAGCTCAAGACCAAGCTCGACTACACCAAGGTTGACCCCAGCTTCAAGCCGATGCCCAAGAACGGCTGGCTATCGACCATCGACCCGGATTTCGCCAAAGTCAAAGAAGCCGCCGATGCTTCCGTCGCCCAGCTCTGGGTCCCCGAGCTCGACATGGCCGCCTTCAAGGCCGCCTGGATGGTCGCTCCCCCCGCGCCGGAGGGATGTCCCGTGGAAGGCGTCGACGTGGCCACCGAGCTGCGCAAGATCCCCATGCGCGACGGAGCCGAGATCGAGGTCAAGATTTATAAGAGCAAGACGCCTTCCGCTGAGACTCCGGCCCTGGCGGTGCGGTTCCACGGCGGCGGCTGGGTCGTGGGCGGCCACATCACCGAGGAGCCCGAGAACTTGCTCTTGGCTGGCAAGGCCAATGTCGTGGTCGTAAGCGTGGACTACAGGATGTGAGCTCTTAAAGGCCATGTAGCAGCGCCTGTAGCGCTCTGGGGTGCCCTTACAAAGCGGTTCCCAGATCCCCGTGGATGTGGGTTTTCAGCTGACGTGCGAGCACCCAGGGCCCCTGAATACCTGTTCCCCTACGCCATCGACGACTGCTGGGACGCTACGAAATGGGTACGTACGACTGCTCCCACCCTCCTTTCCTTGTTGCCTGTTCCCTTCCCCCCACTCTATCGCCTTGGTCAGGGCTAACGCCGCAGATTCACACCATATAGGCCAAGGCCAACGCCGAATCCCTTGGCGTCGATCCCGAACGCATCATCTTCCTCGGCGGCTCTGCCGGTGGCGGTCTCTCTACCGTCGTGGCTCGCCGGGCCCGCGACGCCGGCATGACCGGCGTACGGGCCCAGGTCCTGAACTTCCCCGCCACCTGCCACCCCAAGTTCTTCCCCCACGACAAGTACGAGGGCGGGAGCTACCAGCAGAACATCGACGCCTCGGTCGTCGACGCGGTCCGGATGGAGTTCTTCCTCGATGCCTACATTCCCGAGCCTACACCGAATCCCGATCACTCTCCTCTACTTGCCGAGTCCTTGAAGGGGATGCCGCCAGCACGTACGTCCATGTTACCCCACCACTCCCTTTATGCGTACCCAACCTTCCCCCTAAAGGATTCTATTAACCCCACCGACAGTCGTCCAAGTTGCCGGTCTGGATCCCCTGCGCGACGAGGGTATCGCATACGCCGAACGCCTCCAGGCCGAGGGCGTGCCCGTGGAACTCCACACGTACCAGGGCATGCCTCACTGCTTTTACATGTTCGCCGCACACCCCAAGTCGGCGGACTACTACAGCCGGACTCTCGAGTTCGTGAAGAAGCACGCCGCCAAGTCGGGCTGAAGTCGATGCTCGTTTCGTTGAGGGAACTTGAGGGCCGGCAACTTTGTGTCTGCGTTGTCTGTGTGTCTGGGTGTTTGTATACCATATATTGCCAGCCTAGTACCTGATGAACCAAGCAAGATAATACGTTCAGCTTTTGTTTCTTTTTTTTCTTTTTTGCGTAAACTCTTCAGGTGAGAGGATCCATTGGTTCTAAAATAGGTTTGTTCATTTTCGTGTCATGCAAGATAACCCAAATTAAATCCCCTTTTTAGCTCGTCGAGAATAGCCGAAAAAGTACGTTGCTATTCATGTCATCAGGGGTTCAAAATTTGTGTAGACCCGTCCCTCCCATGCCGCAAGACCAGGCCATGGCCCCCCCTTACTTGCAGTCGTCCGGTCCGAATCGAGGGAATCAGCGGTCCCGACGAGAAGATGTACATCGCCCTCCTTGCATCCTAATGCGTTTGCTATGTCGCCAACATCCCTTTCCGACCTGGAAAAGTTCATCATCACCAGCGCCTTCCTCGGCATCCCGTCCCTCCCGTTCACGGGACAGGGGCTCTCCTTAACATAGGCCCAGACCTCCTCATCGTCTGGATCGAGCAGCTTGTGCGCGCCAAAGACGAAGACGTCCTTGTACCGCTTCCGCAGCTTCAAGACGTGCTTGTAGAACGAGAGGATCGAGTCCGGGTCGTGCCGCTGCTTGGCGGCATTTATGGCCACGTAATCGTCATGGACGCGCATCCAGGGCTTCGCGCCCGCGTCCGAGAACCCGGCGTTGGGCTCGTCGCTCCACTGGAAGGGGATCCGCGCGTGGTCCCTGGCCAGTATCCTCAACCCGTCTATCGTCTTGCGGACCCTCTCCCCGTCGCCCGACTGCACGGCCTCGGCATAAAAATTGGAGCTCTCGATGTCCTTGTACTCCTCCACGCCCCACGAGGGCGGCATGTTCGTCATGCCGATCTCCTGGCCCTGGTACAGGAACAGGGTGCCCGTCATGGTGGCCTGCCACAGTGCGATGGTCTTGGCGGACCGGGACCAGAGCTCCGGGGTGCTCGCGTCGCCGAAGCGCGACACGGCACGGCCGTTATCGTGGTTCTCGCAGAAGGCGGTGGCCCAGGCGTCCGTTCCTTCGATGAAGGACTGCCACTTGGCGGTGAGGCGCTTCAGGGTGGAGAGGGGAAAAGGGTCGTAGATGTACTTGGCGCCGAAGCCGTTGCCGTTGCCCAGGCGAATGACGGAGAACTCGAAGACCATGTCGAGCTCCTGGGCCTGGGCGGAGACGTAAGGGATGACCTGGTGAGGGTGCGGCGTGAGGGACAGCTCGCCGACGGAGACGGCGTTGTAGGGGGCGAGGATGTTGCGGTTCATCTCGTGGATGAACTCGTGGATGCGCGGGCCGTTGCACCACATCTCGGGTGCCGGCTGGTGGGGGGAGGTGTGATCGGTGATTGGGGCGTCGACGAAGTCGGTCCTCTTGGAGTACTTGTTCACGGTGTCGATGCGGAAGCCGTCGACGCCACGGTCGAGCCAAAAGCGCATGGTTTTCTCGTAGATGGCCTCACGGCACTCGGCGTTGTCCCAGTTCAGGTCTGGCTGGTCGGGGGCGTAGAGGTGCAGGTAGTATTCTTGGGTCTGTTCGTCCCAGGTCCAGGTCGGGCCGGCGAAATAACCACGCCAGTTGGTGGGCGGATGGCGCTTCTTCCCGTTGTGGTCGTAACGCGCGGGTTTCCAAATGTACCAGTCGCGCTTGGGGTTGTCTTTCGAAGAGCGGGATTCTTTGAACCACTCGTGTTCGACAGAGGTGTGGTTGACAACGAGGTCGAGGATGACCTTCATCCCCCTCTTGTGGCATTCTTCCAGGAGGGTGTCGACATCCTCGACAGTACCATAGGGGGCATATATCTTTTGGTAGTCGGACACGTCGTAGCCCATGTCTTTCTGCGGGCTTTCGAATATGGGCGATACCCATACGACATCGACACCGAGCTCTTCAAGGTAGTCAATCTTGGAAATCAGACCGGGTAGATCACCCCAGCCATCGCCATTGGAGTCCTTGAAACTAGCGGGGTAAACTTGGTAGAACAGAGCATCCTTCCACCAAGGTTGTTTGCCGAAGTAACGGTTCTCATAGTCGCTGATGAGGGATCCCATGGTCGTCGGCAGAGTGGCCTGGAAGTGAGAAGAGCAAAGATAGGGGCTCAACTGCGTACTGCGTTATGAGGGGGGTTAGGAGGTCGCAAGGTCTGAGATGTTAACTTTGATCGACAAGAAGTCTGCAACTTGCAAGATGGGCGGGTGGGTTCAAGTGTAGTTTGGTTATCGGAGCATCCGAGACGATAGACCGAGCCATGGGAATATCCATCATCTAAGTAACCAGCTCGGTTGAGAAGCTCTGGTAACACTGCTGGGGCTAAGATTGAACTTCTTCCCGTAGCGCGCGGAGCTTGTGGAGGGAGTTCCAGGAAATAAAAAAGAAGAAAATCCGACACAGTTGATTCACTCGGTACTTTTGTGGCAAAGCTTCTCGCGAATGGAGATTTTCGAAATCGGCAGTCGCAACTCCCTCCACGATCCAAGCTCCGCTAGACTCCGCCTGCCTATAAGGGTCATGACGTCAGGTACCTATGATAAGCCAACCAGACCTAAAGGATCTCTTCCTGACAGAACCCTCTTTCCCGGAGTCTCCGCAACCCCTCTCCCTGACCCCTCCCCCTGACCCCTCGTCCCTTCCCTCTTAGCTCGTCGTCGCTTCCTTGCTTCTCGGTCCGAAAGGGACCTCTCAAGTTCCCCTACACGTACAACGACACTGATCCCACTCAGGACGAGGACCCCAATGTTCCCCCAACATTGCCGCCTACGAATCAATCCGCCAATTATTCCCATGCTCTTCGGGAATCAACCCATGTCTCTCTTCGTCATGGCCACCGAACCGAAGCAAGGCCATCTATGAGCCCTTGTAGTTGTACTTTTAGTTTCTTTCTTTCTTTCTTTTTATGCCAGACACTCCACACCACCCGCGTTCATCCCCTGAACTCTCTCCGCTTCCCCACCTTTCGCTAAATCGTCTTTTGGGACTGGCCTCGTGATCTCCGGCATCGAAAAGCTGGAAAAGGAAGACCACCGTGTGCAGGGTGTGCAGAGTGTGGAGGCCCTCAATCTCTTCTCCCCGAGTCACTGCAGTAATACTACTCAAGTACATGCAGGGTAGCGATGAAGACTTACAAACGCGAGAAGAGGGACAGGGCAATGTTCACGAATGAGGCCCGGGAAATAAATAGGCCCTGAATGCCCTCTCAATTACTAGCAAGCGAACTTCGGGGCATCTGATACCCCTCTCCTCAAAATCCTTCCGCAAGCCAGCCACTCCCCCCTAGCCCATCATGGCCGACCAGGACAACAAGCCCACGCCCGCGAAGGACTCAATCTCCCCAGAGAATGAGATGCCTGCCGCCGAAGCCGCGCATGACGAGACTACACGGCGTCTCTCCTCGGACGCCCTCGCCTCCGAGGCCAGGCTGGCCGCCGAATCGGAGCAGAACATGACCTTGTGGCAGGCCATCAAGACCTATCCCAAGGCCATCGGCTGGTCCGTCCTCCTCTCCTCCACCCTCATCATGGAGGGCTACGACCTCTCCCTCCTCGGCCACCTGTACGGCTCGCCCGTCTTCAACCAGAGGTTCGGCGAGTGGCACGAGCCCAGCCAGACCTACGTCGTCTCCGCCGCCTGGATGTCCGCCTTGTCCAACGGCGCCCGTGCTGGTGAGGTCATCGGTCTGATCCTCGCCGGCTGGATGCAGGATCGCTGGGGTTACAAGAAGAGCATGATCGTCAACCTCATCTTCATGATCGTTTTCGTATTCATCTTGTTCTTTGCCCCCAATGTCCAGGTATTGGTTATTGGGGAGGTCTTTTGCGGTGAGTACCTTTGCCGGAGGGACGACAATGACCCGAGTATATGCTGACTTGCTACTGATGCTAGGCCTTCCTTGGGGTGCTTTCCAGAGTATCACTCCCGCCTATGCCTCGGAAGTGGCCCCCGTCAAGCTGAGGCCCTACCTCACTACTTTTATCAACATGTGCTGGGTGTGTAGAAGTGCCCTTCCCCGAGGTCCAAAGGGACGCGCATGAAAAAAGAAAAAAAAAGAAGAAGAAAAGAAAAAAAAAAGAAGAAAAAAAAGAAGAACAAAGGAAGACCTTAGCTAACATGAAACTCGTCCGTTCTGCCTAGGTGATCGGCCAATTTTTCTCCTCGGCCGTAAATTACAGCTCCATATCCCGAACTGACGAGTGGGCTTATCGTCTCCCTTTCGCCATCCAATGGCTCTGGCCCGTCCTCATCTTGGCCGGTGTATTGTTTGCCCCTGAGTATGTAACTCCATATTTGTTTTTGACCGCGTCGACAGAATCACCCGGTGACAAGTTCCGGCAGAGCTGACACGAAACCTCCTCCATAACAGGTCTCCCTGGTGGTATATCCGCAACAACGACCGCGTCTCCGCTAAAAAGGCCCTCCTACGCCTCACGTCTCGTAACCAGCCCGGTTTCAATCCCGACGAGACCATTGCCATGATTGAGCACACCAATGAGATGGAGCGCCAGCTCAAGGAAGGTGTACGCTACCGAGACTGCTTCAAGGGGACCGACCTCCGTCGCACTGAGATTGTCATCTTGACGTGGGTCGCCCAAGTGCTCTCGGGACAAAACCTGATGGGGTATGTGTCTCCCTGGTCTTGGTCTGTACGACTCTGTATAAGGCTGCTGACGAAAAGTTTTGCCAGATACTTCTCCTACTTCATGATCCAAGCCGGCCTGGATCCGGCCAACTCGATGGCCATGGCCATGGGCAACGGCGCCCTGGGCCTCGTCGGCACTATGGGCTCGTGGTTTCTGATGACGCATATCGGCCGCCGGAGGATCTTCTTCTCAGGCATCTGCACCCAGCTTTGTATCCTGCTGACGGTGGGCTCCTTGTCGTTTGCCAGCTCCAATGCCTCGGTCTGGGCCATTGGCGCCATGCTCATCCTCTTCACTTTTGTGTACGACTTCACCATCGGCCCCGTCACCTACTGCCTCGTGTCCGAACTGTCGTCCACGCGCCTGAAGTCCAAGTCGATCGTCATGGCCCGTGCCGCTTACAACGCTGTCAACATTTTCGTCAACGTCATGACCAACTACCAGCTGAATACCGGCGCCTGGAACTGGGGTGCCAAGACCGCCTACTTCTGGGCTGGCAGCTGTCTTCTTTGCACCGGTTGGGTCTTTTTCCGCCTTCCCGAGCCCAAGGACCGCACCTACGCCGAACTCGATTTGTTGTTCGAGCATCAGGTCCCGGCGCGGAAATTTGCCAAGACCAAGATTGACCCGTACTCGCAGGACCTCGCCATGGAGAAGCGGCTATCAACTGCAACTGAGTAGATGCAGGAGAAGAGAAGGGGAAAATGGCCTTCGAAGGTGGAGAATTGGGGGGGGGGGGGGCGTGTTTAGAACTATAGTATCAAAGCCGGGACAAGCCGTTGATCTTTTCGGGCTGTTGCCATGGATCTCGGAAAGAAATTCCCTCCTCATAGCCCCGGCCGGGCTCGTTTTTAACTTGGCAAGGCGTGCACCTGGCCCAAGTGCATACCCGGCACAGCTTGCTCGATATGCTTGTCTAGCAGAGCATCGTAAATGTCCCGCCCGCCCGGCAGCTGCGTAATCAGCCGCCTGACGTAGTTCAAATCGTCCCTCGGCGACGTGCCAACGCCGTGCGGGCTCGAAGGCGTGATGGGCACGCGCGCCAGCACGTCCACCACGGCGGACGCAATGTCGAAGAGCTTCTCGGTCAGCCCGACGCCGTGGACCTTGATGCTCCCGAGGGCCAGGTCGCGTGTCGACAGGGTCAGGTCCTTGGCGACCTCGAGGGGGTAGTGGAAGGTCAGGCTGTGCTTGGCGGCGTCTTCGGTCAGGTGGCCGAGGCGCAGGCGGATCTGCCAGAGGATGATGCGCAGCCAGAGCTGGGTCACGCGCAGGTTCGCTTTCTGGGTGTCCTGGAGGCGCAGGGTGGGGTTGAGGGCCGTGTTGACGCAGCATTCGATGTAGCTGAGGGACGCGGCCGTGGGTGGGGCCGCCAGCTTTTCGTGGTTGAGGGCGGCGACGAAGGAGGTGTCGAGGGGGACGAAGAGGGCGGCCAGGCTGGCGAACCCGCCGAGGACGGAATCGGAATCGGAATCGGAATCGGACTCGGTCGGGCTCAGGAGCGGAGGGGTCTCTGCGGTGATCTGCAGGGTCACGGGCCGTCGGTAGCGCACGCCGTGAGACCGTTCGGAGATGAGCAGGACCCAAAAGAGTCTGTCGATGAGGAGTTTGACGGAGGGACCGTGGCTGCTGGGTTTGAGGAGGAGCCAGAGCGTCGTCGTCTCGCGGAGGAATATGAAGGCCTGGCTGTGGTGGAGGAGAGTAGCGTGGCAGGCGTATAGGAAGAACGTGAGCAGGCATAGCTCGTAAGAAGGGTTCGACTTGCGCCCCAGGCTCCGATGTACGGAGAGGGCTTCTTCCAAAAGACGCTCGCCGTACGCCGCGTTCTTCTCCGTCGCAAGGCCTTGCCGGTAGAGGCTGTCCGGTTCCTCGACCTGCAGCAGCACCATGGCGCACAGGGCGGCAAGGAGGCAGTGGGCCTCGAGGCCGGCCTCGGACGCGCCCGCGGAGCTCTTGAGACGGGTGACGTGCTCCGGCGTCAGGATGGGGATGGTGGTGTAAAGTTTGGCGAAGAAGCGCTCGGTGCAGTAATCTAGGATCGCCACCGGTAGCAGCCTGGCCAGCCTTCCCACGGCGTCGTGCGGACCGTAGTGGAGAGCGTGGCCGTGGTAACCCGTCGTGACCAGAGGGTTAGTAGAGGCGCCTCCGAGGGCCGGACCCCGCCATGCCAGCTGGACGGGGCCGGGCATTCCGAGACATTGGTCGGCAAGGCCGTGATTGACGCATCGTTGGCAGGGTCGGAAGTCGCTGCATGCGCGGCGTAGGTTGCGACAGCGCTCGCAGGCGCGGGTCACCTGGGCCCTCTTGAGTTTCGGTTGTCCATCCTGGGGGCCGGCAGTAGAATCTGGACCGCTGCGTCGTTTCTCGGGTCGTGTGACTGGATGGGATAACGAGGAGGCGGACAAAGGGGAGAGCGAGTGCGAGGGCAGAGAGGATGGTTCATCCGGCGGTGCCTCAACAGACATGACTCATCATCACCCCAACCGAGGGAGTGAGATGCATGATGCGCCGAAGCAGGAGTAACTCCAGACGTGTCGTTAACTTTGAGGAACGGACCCGGAATGATGAACGATGTGAGAGGGAGCTACACATATGTGCGGAGGAGAGAAAGATGACGCTTGAGCTGATACTATTACTAACCCGCTCAACGAAACATGTGACGACACACGTGATATTGTCCATAGGTAATTGTAATTATACCTATGGGAGGTCATTACGTTCGGAGTATCCCGTACTTTGGGAAGTTACGATGGTGAAGACGTGTGGTGCGTGGGGGGAAAGTACCTTACGTAAACATGTTGTTAATTCGACAGGGAATACGGGTATCACCGGTCCATTTGGTCCGACTCCGGAGCAGGGTCCTCAACAAAAATGACTGTACTTGAAATACCTTATCTTAAAACAATGATGAACCCCTTCTCTTTTTTTCTTCTGCTTCTCTTCTTCTCGTGATATCTCAATCCTTTACCCAACATCACCCCTTCCTGTCACTTCACATTTCCCTTTGCGTTAGCTACGGCTGCCTTGTCACTACACATACACACACACACGGGTTCCAAGCTCAATAGCGGACTTTCAGCAAAGTGGTGAAGATAAGCGGCCAGAAACAGACGGTAGTACGCGCCTCCATTGCTTCTCAGTCCGAGTATGGCCCAAGCATTACCACAGGACCCGCCAAGTGGCGTGGACAAGCTTGTCAATGAAGTCCGGTCTCCCAGCCAGGATGTCGAGAATCAGCAAGGGGCCTCGGGTCAGCAGGAGGACTATGATGCCGAGACGGTCGAGAAGGTCTACCGGTATGTCCTGGTCCCATCGGTGGTTTCTACTTCCTTGCACTTCTCGTGTCCGGCGACGGCGAGATGGCTGACAATATTATCTCGGTCCCTTTCAGCAAGCTTGACCTACGTATCATTCCCGGTATGTTCTTCGTAACTCTCCGCAAAGAAACCCTCTTCCCGCGTCTGATGTTCGAAAATACCTCTCTTGACACACTCACTTACACCCTGATTCAGCCTTCTGGATTCTGTATTTCGTCTGCTCCGGCCTCCGCTCCAACATTGGTATGGCCCAGACCATGAACGCGGAGAATGGCCACGATCTCATGACCGTCCTGAACCTGACGCCGCGGGATACGTCCACCGCCCTGGCTCTCTTCTACGTGGCCTACGTCATCTTCGACTTTCCTTCGAACCTCATCATGAGCAGAGTCAGTCCCCGCGCCTGGATGGCTCGCATCGTCATGGCCACGGGCATCATCGGAGCGTGCTCGACCGCAGCCCAAGCCGCCTGGAGCATCCAGCTGCTTCGCTTCCTGCTCGGCGTCGTCATCGCCGGCATGTGGCCCGGCATGGCCTACTACCTGACCCTCTTCTACCCCCCGTCCCGCACGGGGAAGAGGATCGGAATGTATTTCACCGCCGCCCAGGTCTCCGCTGCCGTCGTCGGTCTCGTCTCGGCCGGCTTCCAGCTCATGGATGGGCTCGGCGGCCTCGTTGGCTTCCGGTGGATGTTCCTCCTGTATGGTCTTGTTGCTATTGTTCTCGGCATCTCGCTGCTGTGGTGGCTCCCGGACAGGCCTCTCCCCCCCGGCCAGACCCGCGTCCGGACCGGCCCATTCAAGTGGCTCCCTGTCAGCCCCGAGGCTCTCACGGGCCACGACGCCGTCGTCCACTACCACGATTTACGTCGTGTCTACAACCCCCGTCCTTGGTCGGTTCGCGACGTTCTCCAAGTTCTTATGGACTGGCGGCTTTGGCCATTGGTTCTCATGTATTTTGGCGTTGTGGGCGTCGGCATCGGTACCCAGCTTTACGGGTCTGTCATTATCCGATCGATCGTTCCAGAGGCCAGCAGCATTGAGATCAGCCTGCTTTTTGCCCCTATCTGGATCGTAAGTTCTGCTGCTTGGGAATGGGGCCCCCCTGTTTTCTGTTTCGTTTTTGTTGCTGACTCGGTCAAACCC